ATGACTGATTCTTGATCCAGTTCGATTCAAACGTGCAGAACGAACGAGGGGCACCGCGTGCATGGTCAGCGTAAGGTCGTCCCCTGCCGTATTGCTACTAGATGTGCACATTATTAATGCGGCCCTGTTACTCGATCGGAGTTCATTGTCGGGATCTTCAGATGAAGACTGGAAATAGGAACTTCACTCTGTTGCGATCGATCAGTATGTATGGAAATACACGGGAATTCACTCGCTAACCGTATGACTATGACTAGACAGTGAAGATGACATAGTCATCCCTCTTGACCATCAGGATACTGCACCTGGAACCGAGATTGCGATACGGGATAGAGATGTATGTTTAAACTCAAACCGAGGGGAGGGGGGTTCACAATAGGGACTCCAGGTTAGGCATACGCTGCCAATTCGGCGGCACGTAGATGGTGCAACCGTCTCGAGTATCGCCCGAGTACACAATTAGATCTGTGTCCTCCGCCGCCGTAGCGCTGCTATGGGCTGATCGATCGCGCCCGAGGTCTCTGCCAGCAAAGCCCGAGCCCGAGCCCAGCTTGGCCTGTTACTGAATCTACGCGGCGTTCGGACCGACTAATCCCAGACCTATAGACGACGAACTCCTTCTCGTGACAATGCGCCAGGCGTATAGCCCATTGCCCTCGCTTCTGTGGCCTGGTGGTGGTGACACGTAGTCAAGTCGTCTCGCCAAGGGCGCGTCTACAACCCGTAGCACGCGTCTGACGCCCGGTCCGGCGCCCGAGACCCACAAAGCGCGCTTCGTGAGAAACATGACGGTTTGACGGGATGTTCCTTGCATGCCTCTTCTTCCTTGCGTCTTCCATCCTTCTCGTTCATCTCCTCATTCATGATCACAAGGGACTACACGGAGGAAAGAAGTATGAAGACCGGCCGCGTGAGTGATGAGAAGCAGACGCTGTGATGATGATGCTGCAGATGTGCCGGGGCGCAGGGCGACAGAGCTGCCCGAGGTAGGATGTCAGCATGTAGACTGCTGGATAAGGCATGCCCGAGGTGGCTGAGCGTCAGTGCGCTTGCGGCCGCCAGGTGGCTTCGTAGAGCTTGAAGCTTGAAGCTAATCGTGTAGGCCACAATTGTATGGTTTTGGCATCGTGCTATGCGAAGTTCATAATGGTCGCACTCGCCCACGGCGACATTTGGGATAAGAGATATAGATTCTCAGATGAAGGGGTCGGAAAAGCGAAAGATTCCCTGGAAGTACGAGAGACGGGCGTTTGCCACGGCGCCAGTCAGACACAGGGAGGGCATTGGGAAAGATTGACTTGCAGCACCTCGCGTGAGGAGCAGGGGCAGAGGGGAGATGTCCAGGCGGTAGCGGCGACCTCGCTTGCACTCAGGTCGATGACCTTGATCAAGCCTCGCGTTTACAGTTGGGCTTCAGAGGGAGAGGTCTAGTCGGATGATCAGAGAGGGCGAAGAAATGCAATCTGCATGTTCATCATCGCGAGCAGAACTAGAAGCTCTACTTGCAGTTGCCCTCTTCGGCCGAGCGGCGCCAACGGCCGTGTTAACTCGTAAAAAGCATGTCATGTTCGTGTTCCAACGCAGATACAGCACATAGAAGGCACGTTCACTTAAAGCAACCGCGAGCGCGCATACGTCGCCGTCTAGCCAACACATACACGCCCCGAACAGAAGAACAGCGAAAAGACCGAGTTGCGAACTCTAGCGTATTGGCACCCTGGGCCTTCAGAGTTGACGCTGTATGCGCCATATATTTGGCGGGGTAAAGTGAGCCCTTCTGCGCACGCGGCGTCGCGGACCCGGTCCTGTGTGCTTTATGGGGAGAGAGCCGTATTGGTGGCGCAGGCGCACGTCGCTCGCCGGGCATCAGCGCGGTATCTATGCATTCTCCCCAAACAAGTCGCGTCTCTTTGCGCTTGGCATATACCTCTTGTTGTCTGCACAACAGCGACTACAACAGAAACAAGTCATAGGGATCGGTCGGCGCCTCAATTGAGAGCTTGGGGGTAGATTTCTGATCGTGCTGCACCTCCTGCGACCCAAAGTCTACAACCACCGCAGAGGGCGCGTGGCGCGTGGACGAAGAAGATCGCATGGCCATATCCATATCTGCCTTCCGTTCGCAGCATCGGCACGTCCCTTTCTCCGACTCTAGAGCCTGTAATGTGTGGCGCCAGTGCACCATGTGCGCGCGCTGTGTTTCTAATCTCAAGAGTTGTAAGTCCTGCAAAGGCTGCGCGCCATAGAGATAGCCGCGTATGAGGACGGACGAAACAGTGGGTGCAAGCGCACGTACACCAGTGCGATAGATAGGCGTTTGTTTGGCCCGGTTTGTCGTCGCACGTATGCGAATCTGCAAATCAGAAGACCAACAAGCAAAGTCCGAGTTCAAGCCGCTACAGCACGATCGAACCTAGCAGCGCGCCGACGTCACAAAATGAAGCAGTCATGATGTATCCTCCGTCGCGACCCTGCCCATCCTTGATAGCCCATGCACGAGCTAAACCAGGGTGCCTCGTATACAGTAGTCGCCCGCTCCAACCCGTCCAACACCTCCACTCCCGAGAACCCAAAACGCGCGCTCGGAGCCCGCCGCGGGGCCGGCGACGTCAGGGGCCCGTGGCGAAGGAAGCGTGAAGCCGCTCGCTTCCGAGCGCCGTTCCAGAGTTCCGCGGTCCCAGGATGTGTGCGCGGGGTGGCAAGGGCTCTGGCGATTGCGGTTTAGACGTTATATTCGAGGCACCATCTGTCCCGCGTGCGGGCGCCAGAAGCGCGGGGAAACGCGAGTGCTGGGATACCCGCGATAAAGCTCTGCGAAAGTAAGATAGGGCAGGGATTGAGGAAGCAAGGCGTCCGACCGGCTGCGGACTGGGAGGTGGGTGACGCGGACGCAGACGGGCGAGAGAAGGCGTGGCTGGAGATCTAGAGGCAGCGAGGCCAAGGCGTCTGTTACGACTGAGTAAAGAGACGGGGCACGCCAGTGCGTCATGGCCGAGGCGCAAACGGGCAGCCGTAGAGCGGGAGATACACTCACCCACACAGCGAAGGCCGGGCTCACACGCGCGTGCGTGCGCGCGTGCAGGGGTCAGGCGATGCGTCGGAAAAGCAGAGGCGTCTATACATACGGCCAGGACGCTGTTGTACAAGTGGTGGGTACTATGTAGTAGGAGACGGAGCAGTAACACAAACATGCAGCATGGAGAAAAGAAAAAGAAAACATAACGAAAAGTGAAGTTATAAGTGGGGATAGGGGGGCCGAAGAGGACGGAGGTCCTCAACGGGGGCATGGGGATGAGTGTAAGAGTATAAGGCAAATTGAGAGCGACACAGCAGCACGACGACACGACAGACGACAGCAACAATCCAAGGCGCACAGAGACTCAGTGCGTTATCTGAGTTCTGTCCGCCGAGTAGGCGTGCGCATTCGGATGCCAGGCGCCGAGCTCGGCCGTCTGGCCAAATGCGTAGCCAAGGTTGCCCGTCTGACTTGGGGCCTAGAGATTAGATCCGTCAGATTCGAATACGTGTACGCCGCAAATGAGATGGTTACGCACGAGATAAGACTCGTCCTCGAGCTTGACGGACGTCGCCGTGTCGTAGAGGCCGGTCGGGAAAGAAAGGCGGCTTGGTAGGCCGAGTGAAGAATTTGTAGGACCGGATTCAAAGCCGGCGGGTGTCTGCAGAAAACAATGTCACTAGGATCCGTAGTTCTAACCAGCCTGCGAATCGCCGAAGCGAGAGCGAAGGTAGGGAATAGAGGTACTTGCCGAGTATGAGTAGCCCAATAGGCTGGACTGGTTTTGTGCGGGAGAGGGTGTGTACGAAGATGATTGAGGAGGGGTGTACGATCCGCGAGCGTAGGCAGCCGTCGTCGGTGGTGACGGGGTCTGGTCGGGGCTCTGGTAGGCGTACTGGGCGGTGAGGGGCATGCCGTCGCCTATGGAAGCTGGTCGCACAATGTAGCCAGCGTCTTCGAGTGACGAGCGGCGGCGCTTGGTGCCCAGCTTGGGATAGTCGTCTATATAGCGACCCGAAGACTGGGACACGAGCGACAGTTGTCTGCGGACGTCGTCGAGCTCTGCGCGTAGTGCTGCATTTTCATGCTCGAGTTGACGGATGCGGGCGCTCGGAGGCGGCAAGGCGGCGACTTGGTCTGGCGAGAGCGCGAGTGCGGTCTGCAGCTTGGTGACGGTCTGCTCGAGCTATTAAGAGATGTATACCGTAAGTATGACGGTATAATAGAAGGTACAGAAGCTGTAAGCACCTGTTCGATGTACGCCTTGCGCTTAGCGCGATGCCTGGCCTGGGCCTTTGCGTTGCGAGACCGTTCGGGGCGGTCCGCGTTCGGGGAAGGCGGGCGAGGCGAGGCGGACTGGGAGGAGGACGTGGTGGCAGAGGTGGCCATTGCAGCGAGGAGAGGAGTGTTCGGGATATTCGAGGGAGAAGTTGCGAGGGCCGTTATAGATCTCTGCTCGGGTTTATGTATTCCCGAACCACGCCCAGATGCCCGATCGCGTAGCTGAGTCCGGGAATTCGGTCTGAGCCCCCCCGTAGCAGTCCCCCCGTTCACGGCATCTCAATCATCCGCCCTTTTTCGTATATTCGTCCTTCTCTCCCCGGCGCTAGGAGCCTCTGAGGAGCCACAACAGAACATGCACAAGCTCAGAGCAGCTGCCTGCTCGCCCACCGCAAAGGCCTTCCAGACGCCCGTGGTGGCTTCGGGCAAGTACGAGGCCAAGCTCCACTCACAAGACCGCCGCCTCGGCGATGTCCATGGTTGTTGACTCTTGTTGTACCCGCGCGACCTGAATTGCAAAACAAGTTGGGCGTCTCCTGCCCGAGCTGCGTTGGAACTGGCAGGCCCCCCGCCTCCCGTCACCGTTGATGCTCGCAGACGCCCCCCACGCGCGTCCAAGATCTCCTTCTTGATCTCTACCCGTGTGAACGCTCACAGCCAAAGCAGCAGCAGAGGACACACGTCTGCCACTGTGCCAGTGAGTCCGACTCGGCTGGCTGTAGATGCACCCGCATCCCCAACCCAACCCCCTTTCCGCCCGCCTCGCCCGATGACGCGCATCGAGTCGGCCAATTCCGCCCCGCCTTTCAACCGCCCGCTACTCCGAAGCGAAGAACGAACCTCGAACGCAGGCCGTGCCACAAACTGTATTCGTACGTTGTGGCGCGCGCCCTTGGAGCATCGTACTCTCAGAAAATATTTTTGCAGATCGCTCCTGGCCTCAACGATGATGACCTCGACCGCCACAACGGCCGCAACGTCCGTCGTTTGCGCACCTTAAACTGCGCGCGCCGCCGATCGCTCCGCGCCGCGATCTGAGACCCGCGCGCGGCGTCGAGATGCAGAGGCGTAGCACGCGGCACCTACAGCCTAGCGCGTTTCATAGCCGAAGCCAGATAGATCGCCTCCTCTTCTCTCTGGACATCATTTCTACCTTCAAACTCGTCGGCCGACGCGGAAGCCTCAGAGTGGCGCGGCGGGATGTGGCGCATCGTGTGTCGGGATCGTCGCTAGCTCTATATCTTATCCTGTGATCGCTGCCTATCCTACCCTGGCCGTCGCCATAGAACTTTCATCTATCTCCACCATCCGCTCTGTGCGATCGAATAAAAGTATCCCTCTAGCTCGACGAAAATACGAATGGAAATGGAGCGTCTGCTCTCGACCCTGTTTTCCGTGATCTCTCCATGCGCGCCTGAAGCCGTGAGCGACGTCGAGTCTGGACAAGGCGGGCGCCACAGGTACTTTCCATACTCGTCATCCTCGCACACACAATGCATCCCCAATAACCATGCTCACCGAGCGCCGTAGCGTCAGCGTCGTACTCTCATTCATGACTCAAGTCACGCATGTTCTCCTCAGCAGTTTCAGTAGTGAGTCCAGGCGGCCGAAGCCATGCATCTACGGCTTCCTATGCTCACTAAACAGACAGCGAGCCTGTACCATACTCGTACGGCGTCGTCCCACAACAGGTTCCCGAGGGCAACGACGACGTCAGCTGCCGTTCCATCGGTTGGGCGCGCCGGTCTCTTCCGCCCGGCGCTCGCACTCTGTCTAGTCCGGCCAGGGTCTGTGTATGCTTCTGCACTATGTCTGCGCGCGCCAACGGCCATCCGGGCTGCTACGCGCGCCTGTCTGGGACGTCGCGGGAAATGCCGAACGTCGCCGAGGACGCCTCGGCCACGTCTCCCGGCGCTAAACGGGCTACAATCTCGTATCCATTCAACCGTTTAACATACCGACTCTTCATAGACGATGTATTATGACGCGCACTCTCCTCATCGCTACCTCATATCGGTATCCTAATGTGAACATACGATCTGAACATGTCAAGAATTCGGCGTCTAAACCGCTGACCACTCCCGCGCAGATGCCCGAGGCCAGGCGCCGGTCCTCTTCAGCTTGCTTGCACTGCGCCCAGATACCGTCGGAATGTTCCTCTGCATTCAGTGTAGCGTCTATGCTACGGAACGCTTGAACGCTTCGAAAGATCAGTCCATGCGCTGACCTGAACCCAACTTTACAGGTTTGATGCCTGCCCGACCCCCCTTCATCCCCGCGCCTCGACTCGCTTTCCCCCATCCCTGCGGCGCGCACTGCGATCCTGAATCTACGACGCGGAACATGGTCTTCCTCTGTACAGGCCCGACCGTCCGACGTGCGCGAGAGCGAACGCAGTGGGAGAACGAGCGCGGGGTTTACGACCTGGCATGCCCGAGGCGCGGTCAGCTCGCTGGGTACGATGCTTGGACCGGCAAGCAGCGTATCATGCTCCGTCCCTGATCTCTGCTGCCCGTGGAATGCGGGGTGCGGATCCATGAGCTTCACGTACAGCGTGCAGTGCTGCCTTCTCCCTCGGTGTCCCAAAGGACCCATACTGCGCCAGTCGGGAAACACACTGTCTCTAAAGAAGGCTTCTCTTCTCTTCGATGCGCAACGCTCAGTGTCCTTTGCTTCTATCATTTAACCACAGCGTCATTTGTGGACTGGAGAACAAGAGGAATGGGCCTGGACTGTGTACTCTGCGAGAAGCACACGCAGGCTGAGTCCATCTGAGAGAACGATGTTTACGTGCCGAGCTCGCGCAGTGGTGGTCCGCACGCTTTGTACGCTGGTACCCTCTTCCTACGCACCTGGATCTGCATGACATCTGAAATCAATGTTTAACCTGCACAGGACGACAATCCAGTAACGTACACTCGAGCGCCGCCGCTCTCTCTCATTCGCCTTTGCCTTCGACTGCTAAGTCGTGTACATTCCCACAGCGCCAGCGTATAACTTGTTTCGCACGTATCAGAGAACCTGGTGCTCGCAAACAGATACGAACGCGCATATGCGCAGATTTCGTGGGAGGCAGAGTGTGCGAAAGTGTAAGGCTTGAAGTGCACAAGCCGCCAATTAGTCTGCCTATTCTCTCCTAGTCCTGAGACTTACCAGGGCTCGAGCTGTCTCTACGTGTAGCAGTCTTTGCCTTCAGCCGTTAGGAATCTAGGATCGACGCCAACATGCGCAGATCAAGTGAGAGAACACCGGTGCACGACATGCCCGAGGCACTATGATTGTCAGGGATGGGCTAACCGCCGCTCACGCCCATGATAGTCCAGCTACATACTGGATCTACATCCCTGCGCCTCTGCGCACAGCGAGCAAACGCAAATCTTTAACGTACTTCAGTGACAAGCGACTCTACCAATCCCACGCTCGCTCTCTGCGAACTCTCGAGACGCAGTGCCACAACAGTCGCGTGGGCGAATATTACGGCTTTGGCGCATTTTCTCGCCCTTGCGTCCGTCAGCCCCTCGGCCACTGCGATCTACTGGTACCCTTGCAAGCTCGCACGTACTCGAGATCACAGAATAGGGTGGCTCAAGCAAGACAAACGATCAGAGGAGGACGAACGTCAGAGTGGCATTGATCCCGAGCATCGTTGCAATGGAGGAGGACATGGTTCCTGCCCCCCTTCCTCGTACCGAGCCGAACAACCTGCCGTCGCACCAAACCTTTGCCTAGTGTGCCCCGTGCGAGCCTCCATCACCCCAATGCTCCTCACAAAGAGCCTGGTAGCCAGCTTGTCAGCGCTTGCGCAGGTGAACCAGCTCTTATTCATCGGCTTACAGAACGCTGCAAGGGGAACCTAGTGCCTGCGCGCTGATTGCGGGCCCGGCATCCGCCTTCCCGGCCCCGCACGACGTGTACTGGTGGCACCATCAGCTATAGATCTTCATCCTTGTGCACGCAGGGAGTCACGATTCAGAGCAGAAAGACAAGAGAGAAGCTTTGCGAAGGCCGCGGGCCTGGAGTGATGCCTGATGTGATGGTACGCGCGTGCGAGAAGAGCCTATGTTGTTTCTGTTCATCGCTCGGCCTGGCGTCATATGCACAGGGACGCGGAGCGTTGTCGAGTTGCATGCACCGCGGGGTATGAAGCGACCTGCCGACCCTTGCCCTGACCCTCCCATATTACATGTTACTTACGCGCGTGAAGCAGAAGAGCAATATATGCGAAGCATGCGACAGGATGAATACAGCACCTGGGATGGGCGGATAGCCATAACCAGGAGAGAGAGTACTGCCCGAGCCCCGCCGGCCCGGCTGCGAGCATCGCGCTCGCATTTGCCGTGCGCGCTTCTTCCTGAACGGGGATGCCCGAAGCCTGTGGCGCAGCTCAGACGCTGTCCCCTGCTCCCACAGGCGACGCTCCGTTCCGCTTCGCCGTCCTCCCGCTCGATCGTGTATCGTATTCGCGCAGCCGTCGCCCAGACCCAGCAACGTCGGTCGCAGCGGCTCGCACCATCATGTATTGGCTTTGGACGCCGGGCACAACGATGGCCGACCCTGCAATAGGCTGACTGCTAGATCCCCGAGGTGGCCATCATATCACCTAGAAGCTGGGTAAAGAGTCCAGTTGTCGTGTGGCTGTATAGCCGGCGAACAAACCTACACAGTGGATAGGTGTACTGGTCCCACGTACGGGACAACCAAGATGCTGAGTTCAAGCTCCTACTATACAAGGCGCATCGCCCGTCCATACCCGGCCAATTGTGCTGAACTTCGTGCGCGGCGGTCCTCATGCTCACGCTCACACGCGCATATACGCGCTCCGTATTTTATTCGAGTTCGCCGCCCGCGGCCACCGAGCGCGCGACGTTAGACGTGTAAGAGCGCGGATAAACCATTGCGAAACCAGCTCGTTGGGGAGAGGTTGATGGACGACCGCATGCGCGCGGGGCCAGCGCGTCGCGTCTCGCCGCGCCGTGGCGCATCGGTCCGATATTGCGAATATACAAGGACCAACAGGCATGGCACTCATACCGGCGACCAGGGCTACATCCGGCGACGAAGAGACTCGCCGACGACCGGCCTCGCCGTGTATCGTCCAACTGCCAAGAGGCACGTACCATGCCTCCCTCGTGTCCAGCGCGGGTTCTCGATGAGACCTGGTTTGAGACGAGCGCCTCCCTGTCTCCGTGAGCATCGTGCAAGCCTTGTATCGGTGCCGAACCCAAACATCGAGGGTACCACCACAGAACACTCCCCAGGTTGAAAACTGCAACTATAGCCCGATCTCAGATCTTCGCTATGCCCAGAGAGGTTAAAGGACGGTTTAAGCACGCGCTCGAACAGAAGATGCTATCCAGAAAATCAAAGATCAAAATTGACGAGGTGCTCGGATGGAAACAACGCGCGATCTGCTACCGTGGGTACAGATAGGCCAGGTCTAATCGTCTGCGTCGTCGTCATCGTCGATGATCGCGCGGCGCACGACGCGCCGCCGTACGGGCGCAACGTCGTCCGAGTCCCCGTCCCCGCCCTCGTCTACACCCCCCTTAACCCCCTCAGGAGAGACCGTTGCATCTTTGGGCGACACAGCAGAAGCCGCAGCCTCACCACCTGCTTCTGCGTCCGAGGCATAGCCAGAGCCAATTCCACCTGATCCTTGCTCGGAGGCGGCCGCGCCTCTCGCGCGGCGCTGTACAGGCCGTGGTCGTGGCTGCGGCCGCTTCTGGGGCGGCGACTGCGTGCCACCTGCCATATCCGAATCGGCGTCGGAAGCACTGCTGTCGTTCAATATCGCGTCCGCGTCGGGCGCAAGACTGACCGGCTCATCGTCTACCCCTGCGGCAGCCGGATCGGCCTCAACGTCGCTACTACCGTCCAGCAGTCCGCCACCTGCGCGGTGACGCTTGCGCGCACCCTGGCGTATTGGGCGTCCTTTACGCTTTTTGGTCCCGGTTTTGCGCATTGTGCCGCTCGCCATTGCGTGTCCACTCTCCTCAGCGATGCGCGCCGTGCGCTCACGGAGTGCGGCCTCTCGCGCGAAGAACTCCGCATCATCCGCATCGTCGTCCGAGTCAACAACAAATTCGGCACTCTTATATGCCTTCTCTTCTTTCTTGCGCTTCTTCCGACGTGCAGCGCGGAGATCGGCGTCGCTGTCTGAACCCGAGCCGTCCGATGCTGCAGGTGCGCGGACACGCCGTCGCCGCTTCTTCTGCAGGAGCTGGGAGGGCTTTTGACCTTTGAGATCAAGAGGGCTCTCCTGGAATTGGGTGATGACGTTGAGCGCCGTTTGAAGTTCGGGTACCGAGATACCCGCTGGAATATACCAGTCCAGCTCATCCGCGTCCTCATCCTGTATGTAGCAGTGCACTAGCCTGAGTAGCAGTTTGAGGTTCGGGTTGCGCGTCGCAGCTTGCGCCTGGTCATCGTTGATATACGGGATGACTGGAGCCTGGTCAGTGAGAAGAGCAAGCAATCGATGTTTGTGACTTACGGTAGTCCGTAATCTGAGCAGCAGCGTCGGTAGACGGACCCTTCTTCAGCAAGCGGGCGCGTAGCTCGTTGTCGTCAAGATCTTCGCCTTCTTGAGGCACTTCTCTTGGACCGTCGATCTCCTCAATGATCCTGGTACGCTGGGAGATGACGACACTAAGAATCTGCATCCCATTGTCAGTAAGCCATGTCGAGGATGCCGCTCAGATGTACGCACATCCTTCGTCCATTCAATCAGGTTCTCTTCGTCAGCATCTTGCAGCGCCGCCATAGCAATGGCGACCTGCTCGCTCCAGGAGTAGCCCTTCTTGACGATAACATCCTGCGGGAACCGGCTGTCGACGGCACCCTTACTGCTGGCCTTCTCCTTCTCCTCGGGCATCCAGCTCGAATGCCTTTTCCAACGACCGCGGTTCGTTGGGAAGAAGGCTTCGACGAGTACGAACGAATCTTCTTGAACGGTCTTAAAGAACTGGCGTGAGATGTATGTGATGAGCGCGACGAGATCTTTGTACGGTTGCGTAGACGGCAAGGCTTTCTTCTTGGAAAGAATCTCCTGGAAGAGGTCCAGCGTTGAGACCTATTGCGATGATGAGTTTGAAGTGTAAGACATGAATGAGAGCCCGATAGTGCCGTACCTGAAAGAACAGGCCCTCCGCTTTCACGCGGACGGCCTGCCTGTGCATCAGGCTCACGACTCGTTTCATGCAGTCATCATTCGGAAACTCGGCGTAGCGAGCGAGGTATGTGATAAGAGCATGTGTAACGTCCGAGTTCGCGAATTTCTGTAGAATTATCAGGGGCTTTATATGTGAAGAGCACGGCGCCTTGGCATACCATCTCGAAGGCCTCGAAGGTGAAAATGCTTTCTTCGACCGTTTCCTCCTCAACGGCCTCGTTCACATCTTCGTATTCAGGGACACCATCGCCATCATCGCCGCCTAAACGTCGACTAGTCAGTTCTCTATTTGCCGAACGTGGATGAGGTGAAGCGACTACCTTTTGCGCGTTGGCGCCTACGGGCCTTGCGTTTGCGGACGTATGTTCCATCCCCGCGCACCTTTTTCCACTTCTCGAGCATGTGCATGAGTGAATACGCCAAGCTTACGCCAGCACTCAAGAATGCGAGTGACTGGGTCCCCTCTTTGTACGTGCGCAATCCGTCGAACGCGGCGTCAAGGACCTGGCCGTTGTATACGAGTTGCCCGAGCAAGAGTTCGGCCGCACTACGCAGCTCGGAGTCTGCACGCTCACCCGCCAGCGTCTCTATCAGGCCAAGTAGCTGGGTCAAACACTCCATCCCGGCCTGCAGTTCCGTCCATAGCTTTGGCTGTTGCGGTATCAGCATGGACGGACCACACGCGGAATGGAGAGAGAACGAACCTTCTCCTCTATAGCACCGGCCATACGCCGAAGCACCCATACAATCCAGGAACGCTCTACAACTGTACCCACAAGGCCGAAGTCCCAGAGCGTACCATCGGCAGCCGACAAACCCTCCCGGAGTTGCCGCGCACGGCAGGCCAGAAAGAACTCCAAGAACCACTTTGCGACGAAAAGTAGTCTGACATTGTCGCGCTCCGTGATCTTCGGCCGCTCCGACTTGATGTCTTTCAAGAGAGAGGTTAAGAATGCTGCGAGGCGTAAGTTGTGGGCCGACTCTGACAGTGGAGGGAAGTGCACGCACGATTGAAACATGACTCGATGAAGCCTTGCGCGAAGCTTTGAAGAATCTTGCGAGACTCCAATGACAGATGCTGCTCGCGAAAGAGCTCATCGGCCTTGGTCTTCGACTTCTTCACCTTCTTTCCCATGTCAATCATGACGCCGACGTCCTTGCCGATGGCACTTTGCCGGTGCATGACAAGATTGCGCGAAGGACCCCCGGCAGGAGCTGGCGCATCCTCGCCTTCTGCCTGGGGCCGAACTTGCTTCTTTGGGTTGAGCGTGACGGAGATGGTTGTGCCAAACCGAGAATGCCGAGTCGGTGCGCCACGGTTGAAGTCCCGACGACGCTTCTCTTCGATGTTCAACAGCTGCTGAAGATTTCGTTGCGATTGCTGCCAAGGAGGTCAATTACGCGTTGGACGCATTGCGGTGTTCCAGCGTACCAAAGTTTGTTCGAGCACGAGTGTGTCCGGCTTGATCCCACGGAACAGCAGAAAGAATATCTCCAGGATCAGAGTGTTCCACCCGTTATACATGGTATCCGATCCAGCGCCCGAAGCAAGCATGAGAATCATATCGAAGAAGTGCGTTTCCGACAATGTACGGACGAGCTTATTCTGGAGAGTAGAGAACTCGGCCTGCTCGACACTTGCGTGAATATTCGGGGGTATGTCGCGGATGAAGGCGAGGTTGCGGATGAGATGTAGGATGACGCTCATGATCTGAACGTCACGTTCTACCCGAGCTTTCTTCTCCTTTGTCAAGAGCATGATCATGACTTGGAACAGGGCTTGCAGCACGCCGGGCCTGAGAAGCGCGGCCTTGTAGTGTAGGTGGCGTTGCACGAGTACGGTGTAGTCTGCACGGCGGTCGGCTTCGTCGTCCAATTCCTTCAGCTCCTCCGCAAGATCAATCGGCCAGGTCATGGCGGTGATCAGGTCGACGCAGGCCACGGCCCGTTTATCGTCCAAATGGCCCTTGCCGGCAGTTTCGAGCAGAATTGGGACCAAATCGTTTGGTAGGACACGCGTGGACCACAGGATACGGGCGACAGTGCGGTCGTCATCCGTATCATCTTTGCGCCAAAACTTCTTCAAATCCTTCAAACAGCCCAACGCCTCGTCTCCCATTCGATACACGCCTCCCTCATAACCTCCCAGCGCATCGACGACGTTCCGGATAGCCGGCTCGAGGATCGCGCGACGTTCATTGACTTGAGGTTCGGTCCCAGAGTCATCAGAGTTTATTGAGATAACATCGTCATCCATGGTAGGATCAGAGCGAGAGGTGAATGCGCCACGCGCAGGGATGGCGGTGGTCGTCGAAAGTTGTCCTCGACGCGTCGCGGCGCGAACCAACGGTCACGTAGTGACCTCACGCGCTCGCTCGTGTATCCGGCAATCAAGGTCTGTCGGTAACGTTGCCGGCTTGATCTCGTCCGTCATCTTCTCCGCTCTTCTTCACCGGTGGTCTCCACCTCAACCTCTCCGTAATGTATCGCGGCTCATTCCTGCGCCTTGCTATCTCCCCCGTTGGCTATCCCCCCTCAGCGTGAAGCGTGTACATCGAAGCTGTTTGCACCACGGAAGCATCTACTTCTTTGATGAATGCGGCTGCATCGGAAGATTATGTCCAAGGCTCCTCCATGGCATATCGGCGCTGGTGGCGGTATTGACGGGTCCACATGCGAGTACCAGACAACCACGCCCTGCCGCTTTCCTAGGCATTTACGGCACGTCATGCCCCTCATAGCCATCACACAAGAGGGGCGGTCGTACTCGCCCTGCCGGCATAGCGTCCACGCACCCGGTTCTCGTCACCCTGCTAGCCAACGCGCCGGTGACGCGATTGATGGCACGGCTTGCTTTACAGCACCAGCAATGAAGAGTGACCTAAGAAAGGCAATTATACAGGGTCCTGCTATAAGCATCGGGGCACCGGTGTTCATCCATCCTCCGGCCGATCCACTTTTTATTGAAGGGTTTGGGCTGTTGGGTTCAAGGATGGCATTGTACCTGGTCAGAATGAACGCCGGGACGAAAATGCAACCCCTGGAAGACGTATGGTCTTCGTCTGCGTGCCCGATGGTGCGATCTGGCGCGCCCACGATAGTACGGTTGCGGTCCCGCGGTGAGGTCCTTGGCGCGTTATACTAAGCAGCCACTGCGCTGCTGACAGACGCCTTTCCTGCTGACTGTGCGAAACGGCTGGCGCCACACGGCGCGTACTCGTTCAACGACGGGGTATCTCCTACGACGATGTTGTTGGATGTTGCTCCCGAGGCGATTTATCCTGATCCCTGATTGCCATGCCGGAAGGCCCGTTGGCGTTTTGTGCTTCTTGAGAACGCGAGAGTTACGGTACAAATCATAAAGCTCAAGCGTTTTGGGCAGATCCTAAAGTCACGACATATCGAATGTCACCTTGTCGCTTGTCTGTCCCGACAAATTGGATCTCGTACATCCTTCGTCAACATGGACCGACACTGATCATCGTGACCGTCCGATCGTGACCTCTGGTTGCTCCCATTGTGGTGCTCTCATTGCGATGTCTGTTCTCATTGTTGGAAGAACCACAGCCGACCAAACCACACGCTATCCACAAAGGATGTATGTTATATATTCGTCTATACCTCGAGACCGTACTGATTTCGAATTCCCCACCTACAGCAGTGTACCTCGTCTGAAAACATGCCTTCGCCGCAGAACGATGAACACAGGGACACAGACGGTGCAAGTGTGAGCCGCCGCAGGAATGCTGTTCAACATGCATACCACAGCGGCCGTGGCGTGATGCACACAGTACAAGGCGAGATCTTGGAGAGACCACGATTAATGGAGGCTCTAGAGGAGGTTGATGTTGCCCGCATTGCGCTCACGGCCGACTTCAGAGGTATGCTAAAACTTCAGTGGTACGGCGTTCTCCGCGGGTTCTGATGGCCATGTCCTTTGAATACGCAGTGCTGTCAAACCCCGGTCTGCAGCCGCATTGGACCGCAACGATGGTCAGCTCTGACGAGATTGCCCGAGCACTGGGCGAGGACGAGAGAGAACGGACGGTCTTCGGTTATCTCTGGCTCGCAGTGCGAAAAACAATCGAGCAACACGTCCGGTGCGCAATCGCAGTCTTCTCTGTACACAAAGGATGATATCCTTACCTAGCTTCATCTATAGGAACGGCTTGATAGATTGCCACTCTGCGCTCACAGAGGGACACCAGTTGGAGGCCGCCGTGTTCGACCAATTCGTGAGCGTATCTTGACCATGCACTGGATGGATGTTGACAAATCTCACCTAAAGCTCGCAGAGTTGGGGTGCGCCATGATGGAAGTGATCGAGGGCCCCCACATCACCTTTCTTCCTCTTGCCGCGAGCGCTGATGCAGGCACGATTGTCGTCCGTGCGAGACGGGTCGTGGCCTCTTTCGTAGCTCTAGGTCGCACCCAGGATCAAGTTGTCATTTCGGTGCGTGGCAGCCTCCGACTAGGTTCTCAATCACAGCGGAGTCGATGTTCTTCTCTATCAGATACCTGCCACGGCTGAGGGCATTGACGCCGGACGGATCCTTCAGACTGAACATGGTATCCTTGTGAACCTGACGCACGTTGTGGGACCAGACCACGCCGCTGCGTGTGCAGCGGCCGTCCCATATGCGATCACTTTGCTGCTTGCTCATACGGACATAGCACCGTCACCACAAATGAGCAAGACAACGGCTGATGTACAGGCGGTCGCAGATTGCTTTCGGACACACGATCTTCCAACCCTGTTGATCGGCGGCACGCTCCCTCATGTGCGTGGTTTTTGATTCCGCCCGCTATGATACTCGTGCTGATACGGAGAGCTACAGATCGACGATGCATGCGAATTCACAATGCTAGACGCTCTTCTTTTCACGACTGAGCAAGCGGCTCAGGCGGAGTACTACACGAAGTATCCCTCTATAACAGAGTCCCGGGCAGTCACAAGTCGAAAGTCTAATGCGACCTTTTCAAACACCAAATCTGCCAATGTCCCTCATAGCCAGAGAAGAGGGAAGCTCTACGATGTCATGCAGTTGACAGGGTCGCGCACGCGGGCTACATCAGGTCGCTGCGTCTCCGATATTGACTACCGCCCCGAATCCGTTCGCACTATAATGGGCTACTTGCAATCGGAACTTTACTGGCGGATATCTTTGACACGTCCGTTGACCTCGGTCAATTGCCTTAACTCGCTGCCCGCCCGCTCAAACGTGAAGACGCCGAAGCGACAGCGGAATAGCTCTGATGGACCTGCGCCTACATCGAAACGGAGCAAGGCTTCCGAATCTGAGGAAGATGAAAGGGACTCTCTTCCGACGCCCCCTGTCCCTTTGCAGACTCGCGAGCAGATTGCAGAGCTTTCTTCAAGCCTCGTCGATGGCTCGTGGAGGCGTCGTCTGCTCACAGGCGTCACGAGCAAACCGTCCACCTCGCCGTGCGTGCCACACAAGCCCGACGAGAATTCGTCGCCGGCCGACGCTGGGAACGCCGCACAGGTCGGACAGAAGGCTCGCCCTACTAGACCTCTGCCTAGGCGCGCTGCACTCAGTCAGATCAGCTCTACGCCCACGCGTACTGCGGCCGCATTTGGAGTAGACGGACTAACTTGATATTAGTTATGTAGCATCACTTGCCGGCTACGGTCTGAGCCTAGAGCATTGTAACCTATGTCGCATACTAGTATTTTATCTGGCCCCTGCGTATGGCTATGAATGGAATGCAGCGATAATCAATATTCCTATATCTTTACCTGCGAGCCTCGAGGCAGATCACGCACGTGTCCGGACGTTCGCACCGATATCCGCCGATGCGCCGACGTCGGACGAGTGGATCTTGACTTGACCAACTCGATCTTGGACCACCACAACTATACGACCGGGTTGACTGCCCTGTAATAGTTTCATCGTTCCCTTGCCGCATAGACTCTAGACTACTTCCTTGGTCAAGACCATCAGCTTGATTGACACTGCTACTATCATGAGCACTCGCCTAGATCCACAGAACTCCCAAGCTTATGTCGATCTGATCGACAAGTACGATACCTGGCTTTTCGACTGCGACGGAGTGCTCTGGCGCGGCGATACTGTCATAGAGGGAATCAAAGAAGTTCTGGCACTCCTACGGAAGAAGAGTGCGCAAGTCTACGTTACCGCCCAGATCGTGCAGCCAACTTGACACAGACAAACACATCCTGTTTGTCACAAACAACGCTACTAAGTCCCGAGCAAACTACAAGAAGAAGTTCGATAAGCTTGGAATCCAGGCTGAAGTGGTGCGTGTCGCTGGTGACGAGCACTGGACTAGACCTGATAGGCGTTCGTCAGGATGAGGTCTTTGGCTCTGCCTACGCCACTGCCGTATATGTGTCGACCATCATGAAGCTTCCGAAGGATAAGAAGGTGTTTGTTGTGGGAATGAAGGGTCTGGAAGAAGAGCTCGCGGAGGAGGGTATCTCATTCATCGGCGGCACGGTAAGCACGGTCACCGCTGTTCTCCCTTCTAAGTCACGAATCTGCCCTACAGGATACCTCATACAACACACTTGTACCGCCTGAAGAGAAGATCGAGCCCGATCCAAGGGTTGCTGCTGTCGTTGTTGGCTTGGACATGGCTATCAACTATTACAAACTATCGGTCGCCTTCCGGTATCTGCATTCCAATGCCGCGACTGCTTTCATCGCTACCAACGCCGACTCCACGTACCCATCAGACAAAGGGCTTCTACCTGGTGCTGGCGCTGTCTGGTCACCGCTGACCACCGCCCTCGGCCCTTCCCGCCCACCAACCGTCATCGGCAAGCCGAATGTGCATATGATGGACGCTATCAAAGCGAAGTCCGTACATCGCACCTCTTTGCAGGATCTGAAGCTCATGCAATTTCCAGGCACCATATTGACCCGGCACGCTCAATTATGGTCGGAGACAGGCTCAACACCGACATCGCATTTGGTCAAGCGGGCGGTCTGGCCACGCTCCTCGTTCTTACAGGCATGCGCTTTACTCTAGCACCGTCGCTCTTTGACTAATGGCTGTACTACAGGTATCATATCTGAAGCCGATCTCGTCGGGTCAGCTATTACCCCGGACTATGTGACACCATCCTTGGGAGATCTTCGCGCGGCGATAGAGCAATAGAGGCCTTCACACTAGACGTACGCTAACAGAGTAATGGACCATTCCTCAAACCTGCAGCTCCAACTCGCCTGCATAGACGAATGTAGATGTCGAGTGAAGAAATGGAATGAGACTCGTTCTTGGGGAAAGCCTTGCCGTCGTGTTGGCTCTTTGAGTAAATGCAGTAGCAAGGACCGAACTACTAATGTATGTATACAAAGACGATAGTTTCCAATGACGTTTGAGCAACACTGAAAGCGTAGAGGTGTCTGACACAGGTCTACCGTACACCCGGCGACAACCGATGAGATGAAGAGGAAGCAAGTATGATAGTATCCCTGACATAGGAGAACGTAGACCACGCTACAGAGCAGTCCCAGAATCCCGTCTGCAACCAATGAGAACCAGACCCATTATATACCCAGTGATACACAGTCTCAGAAACAACACATCTGCCACATATGCATCTATGCGGATGGAATGTCCTCGTTCTAAGTGGTCTTCTCTGCGGTAGACTGGCCCACGACAGTTGCGTCAGACTCGTCAGACGCAGTCTTCTGCGCGACTCCGGACGCGCCGTATGCTAAAAGCATCTCTTCTTTGGCGGGGTACAATAGATGCGATGGGTGGAAGACGTTCAGTGTGAACATCGCAAGGACGATCATGGCTCCGTCACAAACGTCTTTGAAGGACATATGAGTTTCGTGCCACTGAATCAGAGAGGAATGACATACTGAATAACACCTGCTTCTGAATGACGGGTCCTGTCCAACCATCGGCAAGCTCGCAGGTACGATAGACAGACCTGCATGCATGAAGGTCAGCAGATATCGAGAAGAGAGATTGATGAATACGCACCGGATGAAGATGAGGACGGTCATGAGCGCCATGCCAGACAACATGAGCTTCATCTTCAGAGGAGTCTTGACACGACGACTCTGAGGGTCTGCGAACTCGTGGCCGGAGATCGGCCTGTCCATGATGTACCGCGTGAGGAACTCGGCCGCGAGAACACTGTAGGCCACGATGGCCACGAGCTGAAAGACGATACCGCCGAGCATGATGTTTCCGCCCTTCGCGGGGTCGGTACCCTGTTCGGCGGCTGTAGATGCTATGCTTCCGCCTACAGCCTGGACGACGAGTGCGATGATATCCTATACAACATGTCAACATGGAGGTATGCGAGTCATGACGAGCAAAGACTCACACATGCAAGGAAGAGGATGGTGTCTGTTTCAGGTGGTGGTCAGCTCGATTACTCCGAAGATAAAGCAAAGACGCGAAACTCACACCAAGCGGCACTCAATCGGCTATAGCGCAATCCCAATATGTTGATGATCTGACCAAGGAGGATGAAGTTGGCAGCGACGAGCGGCGTGGGTGCGATGATCGTAGTTGTAATCCTTCACAGCAAACAATCAGTCTGGGGCTCTGGGTAAGACAAGGGTGAATCCGAGTACTGACTGCATCAAGTACGGATTCAAGTCCGTAGGAGTGATTGAAGACCACAGTCGTCCGCTCCAGCCGATTATCTCCGCGATACCTGCGAGCACGGCAGTGGGGAACAGCCACCAAATGTGGGCACGCGTCGCTTGGCCGACATGGAGGACTGCAATCAAAAGGAGTTAGTTGGAGCTCTGATGTAAACCAGTCTGCGGCACGCACTTGTGGTTATGGAGTACAGCGCAACAAATAGTATACAGATCCATTGAGTAGGTGTGTAGCCGTACGGCGACTGCGCGCCTGGAAGTGCCTCTACATTGATCGTGAGTGAAATCCGATGTTTCAGCATGTGTGCTACGCACCTCGGGTCTCGGGCGTGTAAGGCATGGAACCACAGCTGTACAGCGTTGCCCTATAGGAAGGCCCTGCGTACTATGCGCAGATCGTGGTGGGTAGAGACAAAGGAGAGACGGAGAATCAAGTCGCAGACAAGACCGATCCCTTATTCAGTCTCGCCTGAAGTACCCCTGTTTCGCCCGTGCCCAGTCGGAAGTCCGCGCGGTGACTATACGAATAGCTGATACAAGTGTTGATCTCGGGTTCAAGAGATTCCACATACAGCGACGCGTTGTATTCTTCGGAGACCGGCACGGTCTCAAGGCTGACAGAGAAACTTTGACGCATGCTATGGCCGGGCAAATTACCGGCCGCTGTCGGGACAGACTTTACCACAGCGGCTGGGCGAGCGGGCTGTTGAACGCCTTCATGGGAGACGTGTAATATCGTCTGAATGGTTGGCTGGTTATCGTGCGTGAACCAAGCCTTGCGTGCACGGTGGGCCTCGTTGATCGTTGTAAGCGGTCAAGTTCGCGAAGCGAGGGCCCGTGCCGAGCGTCAGGGCGAGAAGCGTGCCACAGCTACATGGATCCACGCCGCTCGGCACCGCCAGTCTCGGTCTGCGCCTCGTCGTGGCTAGTAGATTTCCTGTCAAGAAACATATAGGTTGTCCTACAAGCCATGGTGAAGCACAAATACTCAAAAGTCGCCGGTCTGTAAACTCCGGACCTCTAGCTAACGATCAGATGTCTATCCTCACACCCTCGGCACTATCAATAGGTCTGAATACACCGCGTCGTAGACCGCCAAGTACACGTTACTAATATCCGACACGGACTCTGAGAAGGAAGTGGTCTGCGGACCATAATACAAGCGATGCAATTCAGCGAAGAGGCAGCTCAAGTCTTCATCATCGTAGTAATACATCCAGCGTACTTCCATCACGATCTCTCAGCCTCATACTTCTGCAACATCTGATTCTGGAGAACCAGTAGGAGCGCATAGAGTACGTCTATCCTAGGTGTCTCCACCCCATATCTTCTTGCGAGTCTCACGACGTTTCCAAATATCACTTCAACCTCGATCGGCCGGCCGGCAAGGGTGTCGACGAGCATACTAGGCATCAAGCCATTATCCGGCACACGATGCAGCCTAGCCGTGTTCTCGAAGGTCTTGTCGACATGCGAGGCTGGGACACCGGTGTCTTCTGCGTCGGACCAGCCGATGGCACGCGCGATCGATACAAGTTCGTGAAGCGCGCCTTTGAGTGCTGGGACGGCGTGATCGTCCAGCTTCAAACCTTGCGTGGCGGAAGCCGGTACCGGTCCTGAGGACGGAAGCGCAGGAGGACAGAATAAGGCTGTCAGAGGATGACGCGTGAGCGCAACGGTCGAGCTGAAGGCGACGTTCCAGAAGTTCTTGTTGAACTTGACGCGTTGGATGTCGGGTACGATCGTGGCCGAGCTGCCACCTTCTGTGATCATGCTCGCGAAAGGCTCGAGTATGGATGTTTCCTGAGGCGAGTTGGTTGCAGACGTGTAGTCGTCATAACGGTAAACACCGAGCGACATACGGTCCTGTAAACACGGATCAGGAGGGCGAGGAGGACTACTGTCGTGGAAGGGCGCTCACGAAGGTTGAATGAATGAGTGTATTCTCCCCAGCCGTCTTCGTTCCGATGTACACCTAGGAACACTGATGAGTACACTTCGGGCGTAAAGTTGAACACCAATGCCTACAGCGGTGCCGATGATCTGCGGCTTATGCCCAGCCTTGACGAGCGCCTCATACAGGTCTCGTTCCACGTCCAACCCATTCTGCATGTTCACATAGACAGGCTGAGGAAACTTTGAGGTATACGCGGCATCGAGAACTGGCGCGAGTAGCTCGGGTGAGGTCGTGAGCTCTGGCAGTGCCTTCGTCGTCCAAACGACATAGTCATACGCCTGATCCGCGGCATCCTTCACACTGCCCACAACTACGAACTCAGCGCATCAGTACGAGGCACTCGCAGATCTCAGATGCGGGTGCTAGAACGTAGCACAGGCTACAACTCCCACGTACCACGATGCGCCCGCCAGCCCAGATGTTCCCCGTACTTCTCGCTTCGCACGTCTAACCCTTTCTCGTTCACAGCACGGAAGTTTGAGCGCGCGGCTACGGTGACGCGGGCACCTCCGCGGGACAGGATGAACGCATCTGGTTGGAATGGAACGTGGTCGGTAAAGTGGATCTTAGCAGCTGAACCGAACAAGGCGTTTGGAAGGGTAGATGAAGGAAGATGATGACGCACAGACGGCGCCTACTGCCCCGTAGCCGATTAGGAGGATCTCTTTGGGCTTCCCGCTGCTGATGGTAGCCATAGCTCGTACTGGTGGTAAGAGATGAGAGGGGACAAGGGGATCTCGGGAAAGAGGTTTGAGTGCAGTACGGCCGATTGCGATACCGGATGCCCGTCGACGTCCGAAAGCCGGCGGACCGCCCAGTCGAACAACTGACTTTACGCTAGCCTGGACAGCTGTACAAGCGCGAGCCATAAGCGGTTCACGGAGATCTTGCATTGAAGGGAAAGTATGCCTCATGGTGTAGGCGGGGAGCATGGCGTAGGGACTTTGAATTCCGACGAGGTCGGCTCATGTAATAGACGCGCAGCGTAGCGCAGGTGGAGGGCAGAACGTAAGCTGACATGGTCACAGAATGTGCATTGAGTACGTAGTACAGCAATCCTCGAGGCTCAAATAACTCGTACACGGGAAGGATGTGAAGAAGCGAGGCGACAGCGTACGTCAGCGGCACTGGCAAAAAGCGAAAGGCGCGATTGATGCGATGGATAAGGGACCCGTGGGAGTGTGGTTGACTCCTGTGCGAGAAACCACAAGTTTGCTCTTTGCCGCGTACGGCTTCCTTTCGCTATAAACGTGTTTATCCCTAGCCAGACCCCCTTCAACGCCTCAAGATCCTAGCTTCAAAGGGCAAGCCACTATACGCTTTGCGTCTAGAACGGGTTGTAAGGCTGTCCCTGGGGCCGATCACGTCGTGTGCAACAAACCACAATCGACAGAGTTGTGCATACCTAAGCCCTTAAGCGGCCGACTTTGAGTTCTGCTTCCTACCACCACACACTCTCATCAGATCGTACCTTCTGAAACACTAGCTAACCATGTCTGATCGTGGAAGAGGCCGCGGCGGTGACCGCGGTAGGGGAGGTGACAGGGGAGGACGAGGTGGAGGTGATCGCGGAGGCGGAAGAGGACGCGGAGGTGGTGATCGCGGCCGCGGTGCACCTCCCGGCGGTGGCGGCGAATACCGAGGCCGAGGTGGGCCTCCCGGTGGTGGCGGCGGTGGCGGTCGCGGAGATTACCGAGGCGGAGGACGCGGTGGCGGTGACCGTGGTGGTTATGCGGGCGGAGGGTGCGTATTTGTCACAAATATTGTCTGGGTGAGACTGATGGAGTTTGTAGGCGTGGTGGAGGCGACGGAGGACGCGGTCGCGGCGGCGGCGGCGGCGGCGGCGGCGACCGTGGACGCGGCGGCGACCGAGGGCGTGGGGGAGGCGGAGGCTTCAGAGGACGTGAGCCTGGAGGGTAGGTGCATCCAGTAATATTCCATGACAAGTGCTCATGATTTGTTCGCAGCATCTTCAACCCTGGTGGACGCGCCGAAGTCGATTCTCGCCTCGACGCTTCCCAGGACGAGCTGGTGGCCTCCTTCGGCGCACTCACCATCCATCGCGATGACTTGCCTCTGCGCCCCGGATTCGGAACTGTCGGACAAGAGATCAAGCTGCGCGCCAACTTCTTCCCCGTCAAAGTGCCTCGCGGCCCTCTATACGAGTACGACATCAAGATCACGCCTGCAGCGGGCACAGCAAATAAACGGATGCGCCGGCGTATCTTCCAGCTTGCCGAGGATACTCCCGATTGGGCGAACAATGGCCTAAAGGGCAACGTTGCCCACGATCACGCCTCAAAAGCAATCACCGCCAAGCAGCTTGCACAGCCGTTGACTGTTACTGTACCATTCTACGACGAAGACGAAGACGAGTCTCAGGCCAGCAAGAAGGAATATGTCCTCACGTTCAATTTCATTCAGCCGATCGACACGCAAAGTCTCATCAGGTAAGCGCAACTCAGCAAGCATACCGTCCATACCATCGCTAACATCTATGCAGTCATCTCAACGGCGACCCCAAGTTCCGCCAGTACGACATCATGCCCATCATCTCCGCGCTGAATCTCGTTCTGGGTGCTCATCCGTCGCGTACTCAAGAAGGCGGTGGTGTCATGGTCGGCCGCAACCGCTACTTCTTCCCCTCTACGATGCAGCCCATGCCACTTGGCGGTGGTCTCGAAGCATGGAAGGGCTTCTACTCGTCCGTCCGACCAAGCTTCAAGCAGCTCATGGTCAACGTGAACGTGGCAACGACGGCATTCTACACGCCCGGCAACCTCGCAGATGGCATGTACGCCTTCGAGCAAGCTAGCTTCGGGGCGCGCATGGCTGGCTTCTGCAAGGGAGTCAGGATCCGCACGGAGCACCTCGGGTATCGCAAGACCGTCAAGAAGCTCGCGAACGCTACGGCAAAGTCGCATAAGTTCGACTGCCCTGAGCTTGGGGGTATGGTCACTGTCGTGCATTACTTCAAGCAGAGTAAGTACATCATGTCCGCTATGCATTCCACCGGGCTAACCATATCCCGCAGAGTATAACATCGACCTTCGCTACCCCGACATGCAGCTCGTAGATGTGGGCGGCCAAAAGCAGAACCTACTCCCTCCCGAACTTTGCACCATTCTCCCCGGCCAGGCCTTCCGTGGCAAACTGCTCGACGAGCAGACCGCGAACATGATCACCGTAGCCGCGAAGCCGCCGAATGTCAACGCAGCGACGATCACTCAGTCCGGTCTGAAAGAACTCGGCTTCAAGTCCGGTCCCTCGCAATCACCTGCGCTGGGCGCCTTCGGCGTAGGCATCGGAACGGAGATGGCCGTCGTACCTGGTCGTATCCTCCCTCCTCCGGGTATCCAATACGGCCGCGGAAATCCTGCTGTGGACGAGCGCGCGAGCTGGAACTTGAAGGGCGTGAAGTTCGCTCTTGGCGCTCCGCTCAAGCAATGGGGCGTGCTCCTGATCAAAGACGGTGGCCGCGACGAGTTCCAGGGCATCAACGATCCGGAGCTGAAGCAGACGATCGATGGGTTCTCCCGGATGTGCAGCACGAGCGGTATGAAGGTCGATGGCGCGCAACCACAGTTCGTTGAAGTACAGCTCCCGCGCAAGAACCCCACGGACCCTACGCGCGACCAGGCAATCGGAGCTATCCGCTCTGCGATGATGGGCCAGTTCAAGCCTAAGCCTACCGTCGTCCTCGTCATCCTCTCGTCTGGTGACAAGCACGTCTACGCGGGTATCAAGCATCTCTGCGACGTCTGGCTGGACGTGCCGACCGTGTGCGTGCAGAGTTCGAAGATCCGCAAGGAGAAGGGCCAGATCCAGTACTTCGCGAACGTGGGACTGAAGCTCAACATGAAGCTCGGCGGTGTCAACCATTCGCTCGACGAGAACAGCCTGAGCATCCTGAAACGCACGCCGACCATGTTGGTCGGAATGGACGTCACACATCCAGGCCCGGGCACTGTCAAGGGTACACCGAGTATCGCGGCCGTCGTGTCGAGTCAAGACCTTAGGTTCGCTCAGTATCCGTGCAGTATGCGCATTCAGGAGTCGAAGAAGGAGGTGCGTCCATTCTATTCCTTTTTCATATCGAGCATGAATGCTGATGTCTACTTCAGATGATCTCCGACTTGGAGCCGATGATGAAAGAGCGGCTGGAGTCCTACCAAAAATCGAACCAAAAGCGGACGCTTCCCGAGCGCATCCTCGTCTACCGCGACGGTGTCTCCGAAGGCCAGTTCCACCAGGTACTCGAACAAGAGGTCCCGGAGATCAAGAAGTCGTTCCGGCACTTCAACACCGCCGGCAAGCCCTACATGCCCCAGCTCACCGTCGTCGTCTGCGGGAAACGCCACCACACGCGGTTCTATCCCACCGACGCCGCACACGCCGATAAGGACGGCAACCCGCGCCCGGGCACCGTCGTCGACCGGGGTGTAACGGCCGTGTACGACTTCGACTTCTACTTGCAGGCGCACGGCGGGCTTGTTGGTACGACTCGCCCGACGCACTACATCGTCATCATGAACGAGATGGGCCTCGGCGCCAACGAGCTGCAGACGCTCACGAACAACGTCAGCTACACCTTCGCGCGGGCTACTAAGGCCGTCAGCCTCGTCAGTCCGGCTTACTATGCCGATCTGGCGTGCGAGCGCGGGCGTTGCTACATCCACAAGCTGCTGCAAGGCTTCTCGAGCTCGGGCACGACGAGCGCTAGCGGAGAGAGCGGGAACGATAGCGTCTGGAGGGAGGCCGAGCAGCTTTGGCACGGTGGCGTTAACGGGAGGCTGAAGGACATCATGTTTTACTTGTAAGAAAGGCTGCAAAGGGTTGCTACTGTGTTGTATGAACTGTGTATTGTACTTTATGTAAATGCTATCCACAGGCTATGGATACGAAAAACGGTGTAGGAGACTAGGCTTTCATGCGTGACGCAGTTGGTAAAACGTATGAGCATTCACCCAGGTGCTGCTGAGCAGCTACGAGCAAAGCGAAACTGACTAGAATAGAGCAACGATGACATTATATATACATGAACAGAACTTCCATAAATCTACACAAAATGGCAAGCCCAGCATGCCCTCAAGCCCCATGAATAGTATGAACATCCAGAAACAAATAGCACATCTACGGGTACCTGTATAGGTAAGGGAGTAGTAATGACCAACAAATCCCGGAGAGATCTACAGATTAAACAGGCTTATACTCAACATCCGGCACGACAGCCCTCATCTTCGTGATAAACATGTCGAGATCGTAGTCGCCCATGTCGAGGTCGACGATCTTCACGCTCTGCACCGGCGCACCCGCACGCTTGCGCGCAGATAACATCTCCACAACGTTGTCGGGCGTGAAGATGGGCTCAATAGTCACATCATCGTCTCCCGGACGTGGCACGCCTTGGAAGCGGAGCGTCTCGATCGACAACGTCTTCAGCTCCGGCAGCAGCAGAGCGCCTTGCTCCAACTCAACAACATTCCCTTCAGCATCGGCCGGGATGGGCGGTGTAAGCGCTTCGTACGCCGAGTGGTGCATCTTGTACATGTTGAGCGTGTGCACTTTCGGGAATGATCCAAATACGGAGCGCCATTGCGCGACGTCGCCAAGGTATGTTTCGAACCCAAGGTCGAGCGTGCGAATATCGCCCAGCGCAAACGCTCCGCGCGCACGCTCGACGGCCTGTGTGAACGGGAACAGCGTCTCGATGAGGAACCGGCGAAACGTGAGGTCGAGCGTCAACACATGATCCCGTCCCAACGGACCCGTCCAGCCGCGCTTCTCGGCGCCCTCCTCGTACGCGAAGAACGTGAAGCGGAAAGTGGAGAACCCCGATGTCGCCGAGTTTAGGATGGCGAGGCCAGCTGCATGTCTTTCAGATGTGGCGCGGAGATTGTGTGCCCCGATGGCGTCGAGTAGGTCGAGGCGGCGGCTATCAAGGTAGGGTCGGTCGCGGTTCGGGTATTCGCTGTAATCCACGTCGATGTCGAGTTTGGCGGTGGGAGGCACGGAGAGGTGCGTCCAGAGGGCGTAGCACCGGGGCAGCTTCTCGTAGAGATCGAGGGTCGTGAGAGCGGGCAAGTCTATGGCGTGATGTTGTCGTTGTTGCGGTGGCAATGGCCGAAGGTCGGGAGAAGTGTAGTTTGCGATGCGGAGGGTTTGCACGTTCGAGCACTGCTGGAGGATAGATAGGAACTGAGGCGCGGAAGGAATAATTGCCTCGTCGTTCAAAATGTCGCTGTCGGCCGAGTGCTGAGCGCGGATGAGCTCCAACCGTGTAAGTTGTGTCGCGTTGAAGGGCACGAAGACATTCTTCAGCCGCAGGCGGCGGAGGCGCGGCGCGATAATCGGCGCGTAGTCATAAACCTGCTGATGCAACCAGGTGGCGTCCCGGGACTGGCGGTGGTACACATCCAAGATCAATGTCTCCAAGTGTGGAAACTCCGCTCCTGCCAACGAGAGCGGGTCGCGTGTCCAAAGCTCCTCGTCGCCACGGTCGCCCTCAAGTACCTCGACATGTCGTGCACGCGTGATATTTGACATCGCAAGATCTATCGCGGGCTTGCCCACGGTATCTCCAGCGGCGGACCGCATCTTGATATACAACGGAGTCTCTCCCGCACGGCGTAAGACTTCCTCACGCGCCTCGGAATCCACAAGGAAGACGGCGTCCGCCCAGAGCGCGTGCATGCTGAGCAGGATTGAGCGGAATGCCCTGCACACTTGCGATAAACCCATCCAGCCACCGGATAGATCGCGGGTCGCGGGAGGGTCGACGGCGGCGACAATAGTCACTATCTCTCCCATCACTTCGGGCGGGAGTCTGAGAATGGGGGCGCTGCATGAGTTGAGCCAGAAGTTGAAGTGGGCGGATAGGTAGCGGAGGGCGAGGGCATCCGCGTAGAGGTCTTGCGAGTGAGCCTTGCGCGCCTCCCAAGTCGAGTCATGGGTGAGCAGCGTTTCCAGGTGGTGCATTCGCTGGCGCGCGGGGTCCGATAACCATGCCACATTGGCACTGCGGGGAAGAAACGAGGCATAATTAGACTTGATATAATTCTAGCTCGTGTGCCACTACTCACAGCGGGGAGTTGGCTGAGAAAGGCATGGTGAGCGTCACGGTAGGAGAGCTGGGGAACGCATGGCCGGGTATCTGCTATAAGCACAGTATAGTCCGATCAAAATTCGCACGGAAGTAGATAAGTGGGCGGGGATGCATGGCGGCCGGTCCGAACGCGTGCCGACACGCGCTTGCCGCGACGCCGAACAGCACCGAAGGCTGCTTGGACAGCTTCAAGACGACAACCATGATGGTCGGACCGATGAAATGGCTCTTGAAGATCGTTGCGCGACGTTGAATATGCCAGGAATGGCGGATATTGCCAGAGGCGTCGCCGAACACGAGCAGGATATTCCCTGCGCGCACCTAATTTCTCCCGATCGCCGCCGAGGCTCCGTCTGGACACCTCATGTCGCCACACCTTGACATCCTACAAAAAAAGGGCTGGAAAATGCATCTATTCGCAAGGCTAGTGGAGGAGATGGAGGTTGGAGGAGAAGGGCGAAAACGACGACTGGAAAACCTTCAAAGGCAATGACGTCGCGGACGACGCGTACACACGCCGGTGCGGGCCTGGCCTCGGCTCTATCCCAACTTGGCTTCAACCACCACCACCTCTCTCGTTATATTCCTGTTCATTCTTTTTTGGTTGTTATGAGCGGCTCGTACAAGGAAAATAAGGAAGCTTTCGTATCCGACGGAACTGGATCGAGTCTCGCGCACATCAACTTTGTGTCCTCAGTCGCAGTCGTGAGTTGAATGACTCTGAAGCAAACACACCTTCTGAACAAGCTCTGACAGCTCTCGATTGGACTACATGTCGTCCTTCTCAAGCGCCTGCCATCACTGGGATATCTGCTATTCCCAGTATCTTTCGCTACTCTAGTCTTGCCGATCTTACTGGGTACCACTACCTTCGCGGATCGACCAGGCGCCTTCTTTCTCTACTTGTTCGCCGCAACGGCTTGCATCTTCCTCCTACCGACTCGAAAGGAATTAGGGACACCATTGCCGTCCGCCTCGCCGATTCCAGATGCCGCCCATAAGCCCGCGTCGACCGTCATCGCTCCTTTGCCGGCGCTGACGACATACCGCGCCCATATGCTGCTGTTGACGGCGATATGCATATTGGCAGTCGACTTTCCCATCTTCCCCCGCATGCTGGCCAAGTGCGAGACCTACGGCGTATCTCTGGTGAGTCTACTCCTTCCTGGCCGGCTCGCCCGCGTTCCGCAGCATTTTCGTACCACTATGTATACCCTCACTGTGTACTCATCATGTATATTCCGACCTGATATCTGAATATACAACATATGATCGCTACTCCAATCATCGGCCCTTGCACTGTCGCACGCTAGCCGGCCAGTGTTGTGTCTGTCAAATTGTGCAACGCTTACAAGCTGTTCCGCTCAGATGGACATCGGCGTCGGCTCCTTCGTTTTCTCGTCCGGTCTAATCTCCGCGCGACCTATCGTGAAAGACCCAAGATACCTCTCACAGAGCCTGATCCCTAAGTTGTTGAACACTCTGGGCGGCTGTATACCCATCCTAGTCCTGGGGATAGTACGCGTGCTGCTCGTCAAGGGAACAGAATATCCCGTAGGTCCGGCCTTTGCTACCTCGTGAATCAGCGTACTGACTTCTACAGGAACATGTCACCGAGTACGGGGTCCACTGGAACTTCTTCTTGACATTGGGCGTCCTGCCTCTACTTCAGATTCTGCTTCATCCGATTCTCGCCAACCAGACTGTGCCCATTCCTGCGCTGGGACTTCTTCTTGCTGGAGGTATGCTGGGTCCTGCATATATTACCGCCTGCAACTAATGGTAGTTGCAGCCCAACAGTTGTCACTTTCAACTGGTGCTGCGAACTACATTCTGCACGCCCCACGTACATCCCTTCTAAGCGCGAATAAAGAAGGTCTCCTTTCTCTTCCCGGCTATCTCGCGCTTCACATCCTAGGACTCGCGACAGGAACGACGACGCTTCCCCCTTCACCATCCTTCTTCCGTCGCCAACAACAGCGTCTTGATAAGCGTGATACGCGGTCGCTCAAGAAACGGGATGATTCGGATGACGAGCAGACAGATGATGAAGACGAAACTGGGTCGAACTCGGGCGCGGGCACGAGCGGCGTGCAGATGCACCGGGAGAACGACAAGACCGCTACGGAACTGTTCTCGTGGGCGTGCGTATATTGGACCTTGCTAGGCGCCTGCGCGCTCTTCGGTATCGACATGGGCGTCTCCCGCCGAATGGTAAGCCCACATCACTCATTATACTCTACAGAACTGACGTCGATGCAGGTGAACCTACGCTACATCCTATGGGTCTCAGCCTACAACACGACCTTTCTCCTCCTCTACCTCGTCCTGGACCTAATTCTCTTCCCCTCTCCCCTTTCAAAGTCCGTCTACGACCCTAATTCAGGCCTCAAAGTCCATTCTCGGGCCGCGGCCTTTGAGATGGCCCGGGCGAGTACCAAGGCGGAGGGGACGGCGCCTGCGCTACTTGATGCCATCAACCGCAATGGCCTGGCGTTCTTCCTCGTGGTGAGCGACCATCTTCTCATTCAGGGCTTCGAGGGGACGTCGGAGACTGAAATTAGCCAACAGGCAAACCTTGCGACGGGCGCCGTCAATCTGTCGATGGAGACGATGTATGCGACGGACGGGACGGCGTTGGCCGTGCTGACGATGTATTCGCTTGGTATATGCGCATTTGCGTGGGTGTTCCGCGGCCGGAAGCTGTTATAATCTTTTTGCGGGTTATCTTGGTGCCAAGCACATCACTCTCGGGTGGAAATCAGATATACGATACGCTGATACATATGTACATAGGAATACAGGGAATGATACGACCTAGATGCTACATGGGGTACGATATACAAGTTGAACCACATCTGCTTTGATGACGGCCTCAGATGATACTCTGGTAGCGAATACCAGCTACGCGTCTTGTTGCGTAAGGGCTCCACCATCTCGCAAGGGAGTATACAGGGCCACTTGCGAATACGGAAGAAGATATTCATGATCATGGTCAGGAGTCGATGGTCGTCGGTACTGCCAACCCAAGAACGCCAGGATGAGGCCCAGGACTATGTTCAAGTTAGCACTTGATTGCGCATGGCTTCGATTTGGCAATGCTTACGAAATGGCACTGTCAGATACACGACCTCTACTCGTGACTGTGTAGCATATATTTCCTGGCATGATGTGCGCGCATCCAGCAGAGCATGCGACGACCGAGGTAAGTAGGCCGTTTCGTCTGAGAGCCAGAAGTCGACGTCGGTCTGTCCTGTACTGCCTAGCAGCACTGAGGTGCAGAGCTTCGAGATATCGGGCTAGGGGCGGCTCTATAAGAAGCTCGGCTATGCGGGACAGAGTAGCGCGGCGTACCTTCATGCCGTGGTGCAAAGCTATGCGCACGGCGCTGGAGATTAGCAGCTCGAGGCAGTTGGCGCCGGAAAGTAGAACGAGGAGGTCTGGCGGGGCTGTGAATCTACTACCGCGCTTCTGGAGGCGCTTCAGTATGAAGTCAGATAATATACGCCAGGGACGCTACTCACTCGTGCTGTGTAGATGACGAGGGCTAGTACAGCTTGGTATGCGCTAGCTGCAATTTGTGCGATCACGAAGAGCAGTGTCAGAGGGCCAGGTCCTCCGAAATGGATGCTAGCTACGAGATACCAGGTAGTGTGTTCAGCGGCATGCCACAGAGTGGAGATTCTAGACTCACTGGAGAGTCTATGCAGTACATCATATAGTATGTACGTCTAGATACGAATACGTCAGTGTGTCTTCATGACAATGTATTCTCTGACTGTATCGGTCAGGCCGGAGCTCACCGACCTGTGACGATGCGCATCAGAAGGCGCTTGAGGTGGGAAGATAGTGTTCTCAACGTACCACGCTATAGACAGCGATCCTACCAGATGTACGCCATCTATACTTAGACGAGTCAGGAGAGCCCACAACACCCGGAGAAGACCGCACCTTCCAAGTGTGCGCTTCCGCGTGTGCCGCTACCGACACTCGACCCGAGCTTCGACCAGGCGCCCATGGAGTTCTCTGCGCTCAATAATGAATCATCTGAGGCGCCGGGTAAAAGGGCTGCACGTACCCCCATCCCCGAAGCCAGCGAGTGTCATGAGGGAGGCGTGATGGCACAAGTCTGACGGGGGCTCGACGCTATATGGACAACATACCAAGGATTACGCCGCACAGCTTCGGTCAGCTAGCAAGTCTGCTTGAAGCACTTGGTTCACTCCGTGCGCAGTGAGCGTATACAAACGAGGAAAGAAGTCGTCTTGTTTGAACCGCCTTCACTAGCTGCGTGAGAATCGATACTGCCACTATCCGCGCCGAGCTCTGCGCCGCATCTCCATGGGGCTTGAAGATTGCCGCCGGCGAAGGGGGCCAGCTATGGAGCACAGGCGCCGTGCTGAGACTCAGTACACAATGGGCGCGCCGATCTTGCAGAGAGATTGGTCACAAGGTATGAAGGCGGTCCTCCAAACCTGAAAGCCGTGCAAGGTCGTACGTTCTTGAACGAGGGGTTAAGATCGGGCAGAGACGCTGCCCAACTACACTCCCTACGTAGACGAATCCACCGCATAACGTTCGTTCGAAAACATCGATAACAATCAAGAAAGCAAGACCTAAGCATCGCACGTCGTCTATCTACAGTCCGTGACTGGCCAAAGCATCCAATAACCCACAGCATCGCCTTCCGGGGAAGATCACATCCACAAGATACGCTGCGTCTATACCTTGAAGTCTCGCCTGTGGCGAATCTGCACAGGGTCAGGTCCCACTGACTGGCGCGAGACAGGCTCCCAAATAGGATCGACGTCTGGTCCGTCCAGATCACCAGCGCCATCCCATCCCCAACACCAGACTAGTAAACCGGTCAACGTGGAGTCGTGTATAAAGCTCATCGGGACGTACCATGCTCCGGTCCCGGCACGAAGCTCAAAGCTTCGGATTCCTCTTCGGTGAATAAGCGGTCGTGCGGCCCGAACCACGACCGGTCTTGGGGATCTGTTCGCGGATTATCGGGAAGGCCTCCCAAGCGCACGTATCCGCGTATGGAGGTTAAGTTGCGCCGCGACGGGTGTATGATATCGAAGACTTTCTGTAGGCACGATTCAGATGACTGAGCTCACAATTCGGGGAGAAGCTACTGACCGAGTCGTACGCGAGCTTGACGCGAGGTACCATAAGAATGCGCCCAAAGCCCTTCTCCCAGTAATCGTTACAGATGAGTGAACACTCAGATGCCGAACATTCTCCATCGGCAATCCGCGCCATACGAAACCTGACGCTCGGTGGCGTATAGAAGGGTTCAGGATCCATAACGGCGATACCGTTCCAGCACGACTGGACCTGAATTGGGAGATGGCGCTGGAAGCGCTCGGCAGAGTCTGAATGATGGAAGACCTGCTCGAAGGGCGCGTTCTCAAGAGCCGTGCCGTTGATGTCGCGCGCTACCCAGTTGTCGTAGAATACGGGTGCACCCTACACACGATACGTTAGTCACACACATCGCATCGATATCATTCAAGCCTTACAAGTTCGTCGTGGAACATGTAGTCTGCCGCGCAGGTGATACCAGCGTTGTTATGGCGGCTTTGCCAGATGAGTTCAAGCAGATCATCGACGCAGGGCAAGACGTCGTTCATGAAGATGATGGTGTCGAAGTACTCGTTCTCCGCGTCACGCAGTTCGTGCAGGGGCACGAACGCCGAGTTGCGAACTTCGGCGAGATATTCGATACGATGATTGAACGCTCCGCGCGTTCGTTGAGACGTGCGGATAACGAAGCGCATGCCGACGCTTCGCGTGAGTGCGTCAAAGACGCGCAGTAGTGCCTTGGTCTGATCTGAGGAGCCGTTTTCGTAGATCGAGACAAAGACGTTGTGATACCCCAGTACTGCACCAACGCGGAAGAGCGTGGCGAAAAGATCCGGAATGATGTCGAATGAATTGTACAAGTTGATTGCAAAGAAGTATTTGTGCTCTCCGCCAGATAGGTCTCGCCTGTGCTGATAGTAGTTGACTTCCTCCTGACTAGGTCCAGGCATAGCGTCCAAGCCTCCGAGACCAAGGCCACTGAGCCAGGACTTGGAGGAAGACGGATTATGCCCGATGAGTGGTGCATATCGCTCGCGCACTTGCTGTGCGTAGAGGGGGTTGGCAGGTCGTGTACATTCACGCGTGTAATGCGGCGACAGCGTGGTTAAGAGATCAAGTACTCGTCGACGTTGGTCCTGGGATGGAAGGGGAACAGTGTGTCTCGAGCTAGCGCCACCGCCTGTGGCATACGATGGTAGATGGCTTCCTTTCCAGGTGGATGCGCTGCTGGGTAGCGAGCTCGACGAGAAGCCGAATAGCCGCATGAGCATAGCGCCGATGAAGATGCCAATAAGCACCGCGAGTGGCGTAGGTATTCTTTGCGTAAAAGCTAGTGGGCCTCGTGCGTACGGCATTTTGGGCTGCATGTTCGTCTGGTGTCGTGATATATTAGCTTACACAAAGGAATTGATGCCTATGTAGGGCACGCACTGGACCGGTGCGCGTCTCCGCGTCAAGGACCAGCCGGTAGTCACCGAGAGGTTGAAAGGCTGCAAGCTGAAGTATATGTGACCACTAGACGTACACGACAAGCAGTACGAAGCAGATCAGGTAGACACGCGGGGTAGTAGACGCAGAGGGTGTCACGAAGCAAGTCGAGCGCGCGTTCGAGCGCGCGCCGGCGCGTCTTGCCATCAGCGCGTCTTGTCTTCCCACCGCCACCTCACCTGCCGTCCAGCAAACTCGATCTGCGTTGTGGCGCACAGGCCGATATATGATCTTGCTGATCCTTCATTCGATACTGATGGAAAGCCTCGCCGGGACCGAAGGTGTCTCTCTCGGTGCGCACAAAAAACGCAACAAACGACTTGGTGACGATGTGCCTTGCGACATGGTCATCTGGACATCGATCACTATTTGCTATAAGTCGCCAAGAAGGTTCCAGGAGAACAAGCTTTCCTCACCGATTAAACGCGAGCTATGGACGTGCTGCTATATCTTGTAGCTCCTACTCCGTCGTTCGGCCATGCGAGCCTCGTTCGGCGTGGGCGCGTTGAGGCGTCAAACGTACAGGCGTGGACTCGTAAAATCGCCGGAGCCAATGCTTCTACTGAGCACGCATCACTCGTCCAATATCCGACACGCCCGGAGACTGTGATGAGAAGTCAAAGAAGGCTGCAAGCGGATCATCATCCAGAAGTGGCCTCCTTGCGTTTAGCCACATCGTGTACGGCCGACCAGCTTTGCTGTTCCGGCCTCGAAAGAGAGCTCAGCTACTATACCAGTCAAGGAGGTCCCGTGCACACGACTGGCCATTACTGGAAGCAGAGGCTGCCTTCAGCATTAACGCGGATATACGAACGCAAAGTCCGAGCCATATGTGGTCCGCCTCTCCCTTCTGCTGGGATTCTCGCTGCGGTTGCGAGGTCTACCGACTTTATGGCATTCGTATGCTTTAGAGGCCCTGATCTTAACACGACGTGCCACGCTGATGCCCTCGGCCGTGGGTAGCGCGCGAGCAACAAATGGATCTACGGCCATGGGGCATAGACCCCATACTTACTTCTTGATGAGCTCTTGTAAGGGCATGAATAGAACGATGGCCCTAGCGAGTGGGGGACCAGCGCATTGTGCTTACGGCTTGAGGCCGACTGGGGCCATTACTGAACCCTGACGTACTCACCCTCGGAATGCGCACCGTTCACGAAAGGTTCAGCCGTATCTTCTCTTCTCATATGAGCCAGTGATACATTCGCCTCGAAGGGCAGCAACCGGAACGAGGTTAGCGCGAGTGAGCGGTACGCGAGGACCTGGTAATTTGACAAGGATATCTCGATAAGTAGCAGCATCGGGGCTTCTCTTGTTGAATTGCAAAGGTTGACCCGATTCGCAGGTACGTGGTACTCCATATTCGCCCAGTATGACATCACGCAAGAGTTGAAGAGTAGTGGAATGGTACACGGCTGCCTAAGCGCATACATCCTGTCTTCGGGGAAGTGAGTAGCCCCTCCGGTCATTCTGCCATCTGATGCTTCAGATAACACCATTCACCAGATAGCCCTTCGTGCGCTGCAAGGATATCCCGGACAGTCAGCGCTGGCGCTCGTTCGCCTGTCTCCTGGCGAGTCTTCTCCTGTTGCTGGCTACCTGACCGACAGGTTTTCCTCAAAGTTCTCACCTCGTGGATAGCCGAGCACTAGCGCAGCCGTTAAGGCGCTTCTGATGCATGATTGGTACCTTGCTTCTCGCCTCACATCAAAATGCTCATCCTGGCTCATGAGTTGACAGATTTCGCTCACGCAAGCATCGGGACCTGGTCGCGTTACCCCCAGCTGTTGCTATAAAGTCTCCTGCTCGTTACTGCGCCGAGATTTCGTCCCTTTTCTCTCTCTCTCCTTTACCCCCTACATTCGTTTTCTTGGGACTGCCATCATGCGCCGGGCAACCTCTTGTGGATTTGCGCTTACTCTCGGTATCCGCTCTGCCCTCGCGGCACTCTATACCGATGCCTCCCAACTGAACAAGACTTACGACTATGTCGTCGTCGGATGTGCGTACACTTGTCCCCTGGCTAGCTCCGTAACCTGACTTGGGTTGCAGCTGGACCCGGCGGCAGCACTGTCGCCAACCGTCTTTCTGAGGACTCCAGCGTCAACGTCCTCGTTATTGAGGCCGGTGGCAAGTGAGTTCTTTCCTGATGCTTGCGCCTCAACTGCACATGCTCACCTACGGCCTTAGCCCTGACGGTAATGTCCTCGCCGAGGCTCCATGGCTTGCTCCGGGGGACTTGAACACTGCCTGTAAGTGTTATGGCATTGGCTTCTGATGGAATCGCATGCTAACCCCTTTGCGTAGACGACTGGTGAATACAGTTCCTTGATGCGTGATGCGCGCAAGTATTCTAAGTTCTTCTTTCTAGGAACTTCACGACTACCTCGCAACCCGGTCTTGATGGACGTAGCTTTTCCTACAACCGTGGCAAGGCGCTCGGCGGCTCCAGCACACTCAACTTCATGGTATGGACCCGTGGCTCGCGTGATGATTACGACCGCTGGGCGAACGTGACCGGCGATGACGGCTGGGGCTGGGACAAGCTCGAGCCCTACATGCGCAAGGTTGGTAGCGTCGCTGTCGCAGTCTAAACACCGCTAATATTCTCGTACAGGCTGAGGGTCTCCACGCTCCCACCGATAACCACGACATGTCTTCCCAGATCAACACCACCGCTCATGGTACTGAGGGCCCTCTTGGTATCACCTTGCCTGGCTACTCTGTGCCTACGGACGCACGCGTTCTCAATGCCACCAAGGAGATCGGCGGTCAGTTCGCCTACAACGAGGATATGAACACTGGTAACTCCATTGGTACTGGTACGTACATCCGCCTCTGTGCTCGAGTTACTCGCGCTCACTCCGTCTAGGTTGGTCGATTGTCGCTCAGCGTGACGGCGCTCGTTCGTCCGGCTGGACTTCGTACATCAAGCCCTACCTCAACCGCACCAACTTCGACGTCCTCATCGGTCACCAGGTCACGAAGGTTGTGCAGACCGGCAAGGAGAAGAACACTCCCGTCTTCCGTGGTATTCAGTTCGCGCAGAACTCCTCGGGTATGTTCATGCTGCTTTGGGTGTTACTTTATTCGCTGACCGTACATCAGCCCCCGTCCAGTCCTTGAACGTCACGAAGGAGGTTATCCTGTCCGCTGGCGCAGCCATGTCGCCCCAGATCCTGCTCCTTTCCGGTATTGGTCCCAAGGACGAGCTCTCCGCCCTCGATATCCCGGTCGTCGTCGACAACGAGGCTGTTGGCAAGAACATGCAGGTACGGGCAATGTCTATTTATTGAAGTACCAAACGCTGAAACTCTTGTCACAGGACCATGCTTTGATCACGAACGTCTACTCCGTCAAGCAGGGCATGTTCACGCTCGACCCGGTTTCCCAGAACGCGACCTTCGCGGCTGAGGCCATCACAGAATGGAACCAGACTCGCGACAACGAGCTCGTCCTCAACGCTTGCAACCAGCTTGGTTGGCACCGCGTCAATGACAGCCTCATCCAGGGCAAGACCGACCCGAGCGCGGGACCCACCTCCGTGCGTCTGACTGCTGATTCGAAAGTATCATGTACTCATGCCTGCGCTGTTTAGGGTCACTACGAGCTCATCTACACCGACGCGTTCGTCTCGTTCACCGATGCCCTCACGCAGCCGGCACAGGGCGGTTACTTCACCATCTTCGCGAATGTCGTCTCTCCAGCCTCGCGTGGCTCGCTCTCCATCAACTCGACCGACCCCTTCGTTCAGCCGCTGCTCAACCCTGGTATTCTCGCTGACGACTTCGACCTCGTCACCATGCGTGAGGCGATCAAGGCTGGTGCCGCGTTCGCGAACGCTAGCTCGTTCTCGGACTTCCTCGTTGAGCCCATTGGTCCCTACGCCGATGCTATCAAGGGCGGTGACGCCGCGATCGAGGCCTACGCCAAGAACCTCACCACCACTGTCTGGCACATCACGAGCTCCCTCTCCATGACCAGCGAGAAGTCGAAGGACGGTGCGCTGAACCCGGACTTGACCGTCAAGGGCACCGTTGGTCTTCGTGTTGTTGACGCCAGCGCTTTCGTACGTCGTTAATGCTATCCGCGCAACTCCTTCACTAACTTACTGCGCTTAGCCCTTCATCCCTGCCGCACACACCCAAGCCCCCACCTACATCCTCGCCGAGCGTGCCGCAGACATCATCAAGGGCAAGAGCAGCACTGGTAGCAGCTCGAGTACGTCTGAGGCCCAGTCCTCCGCGGCCACCCGTGTTGGCTCACCGCTCTTTAGCGCTCTCCTTAGCCTTAGGCATCTCTTCTGATCTCTGACCGCATCGCATCGCACACCTTCCACGCCTACTCCGGGTACACACTACATAGATGGATGGACTTAGTCTTACGTTGACTCTCTGTTGGGTTCATGCCATCGTTCTGTCGTTTCTCTAGCTTATATACCCATAATGTACACCGAGTCTGTCGCAAGACCAATCTGTGATTGTGTGATCATGTCGTGGGATCTGCCTGTTCCGGCAAGTACATGAAGTGTTCTGCGCAAAGCCTTCGCTTGCATGATGATTTCGATGAGTGACAATCGTCGGCGGTGAAGGTAGTGTCGGGAATTGATGCTTATCTGTGAACCATTTGTGTGCGCCGGCGCCGCCCGGACCGCTTCCGGTAACCTCACCGATCCCGTCTATGATGGCCGGTGGCAACATTCTCTTCCTGCTTTCATGCCTGGGGGCGTCCGACGTGAGAGCCTGTTCCGTTTGCACTCGCCCACTTTCTCCCGGCGCGAATACGAGGATCCAACTCGGATGGCGTGCAATCTCTTCGAGCTTTGCCAGTTGCTTGTGGCTTGTCAAGCGGTTGTTGTGCACGGGCCGTGCAACGTCGTGCGCCGGTCCATCCGACTGATATAGCGACATGCCAAGACATCCAATGGCCCCGGTCAGCGCTCTTTGTGCGGTCCTTGGCAGTCAACAGCATGGTGGCGATGGCGTCGTCCGAGCTTTAGCCCTCAACATAGGGTCAGATGGGATGGCAACGAAGCGTACAAGTCCCGTGTCTATTGCTAATGGACATCTCTACCAGCTTCGTGCGCTGTATGCCCTGACCGGCAAAGCGGATCGCTCGGGTTGTATACGTGCTCACAAGGCGATTATCGCTCGGAGGGACAGCACATGCTGTTCTTTCTTCCGAGCCTCGTATAAAGGCTCTCCCCTCCAGACCCGTATGCTCGAAGGTGACCTCGGTCTTCTCTCGTTTTTGCCTACCATGCGTCTCTTCTCTGCTTTGGTGTCTTTGGCATTGGCCGCTGTGGCCACTGCTTATCCGAACCCCGGCAAAGTGACTGGCAATGTTAACGTACATGATCCCACGATGTGTAGGGATAGTGCTGGGAAATACTGGCTCTTCTGTGCGTAACCTGACACTGCTCTTCGCCTGGAGTGTCATACATGATGGTGCATTTGCCTGATACTGTTCTCAGCGACTGGTGTGGGCATTGAGATCAGGACATCCACGGACCGTACTGCATGGACATATGTAGGGTTGGTGTGGCCGAACGGCGCGCCGTCCGCTACAAACACCTACACGGGTACCACAAACGGGGTGTGTTTGATCAACCAGTCTTTAGCGCGCGCACTGATACTGCTTTCAGGCTCTTTGGGCTCCGGACTGCACCTATGGTATGTGAAGCTAGCTATGAAACTCGCATGACGCGTTAACGCTATGGGACTAGTTAATGGACAATTCTATGTATGCCTTTGGGTTGCGCGTTTCAGCCTTCACGATCTCACTTTGCATCTAGCTGTACTACGCTGCATCCAGCTTCGGATCGCAGAAGGTGGGCATTCGGTGATAGCGCGATGCCATCTCTAGAGGTCTAAGCATGCCCTGCAGTCAGCGATCTTCTTTGCGAAGTCGACGACCGGTGCCCCGGGCAGGTCAGTGACATCCGGATCGCGGCATGCCTGTATTCTTACTCAGTATACGCAGTTGGGTCGACGAAGGTCTTGTCACGTCCACCAAGTCGGGCGATTCTTACAATGCCATTGACCCTAAGTAAGTAACCACTTGACACGAGAAAAGGAGAGGCTGATGTTCACCCGTCGCGCAGTTTGCTCATCGGTATGTGTTCCCATACTCGCCGCTTTTGTCTCGAGTGCTGAAGTCAGTATAGACGGCTCCACCTGGAGGTTGTCATTGTACGTGTGCCTCTCGACCAGCGGTAACCCCTTCGACATCTGATCATCTTCTGTTTGTCACGCGCAGGGGAAGTTTCTGGACCGGTATCAAGGAGTAAGCGTTTCCTCACAATCTATAACTTCGACAGCACTGACTATGGTCTTCTGGTTTTTAGAGTGACGTGAGTGTCATGAGTAACCGTGTATGCAAGCGGTCGAGGCTCATGGCCATTTCATAGCCTAGGCTCCTCGACGGGAAAGCCGTCTAGCACGACCTTCACATCGATCGCACAACGCGGTGGGACGGATGCAATCGAAGCTTCGGCAATTTGGAAGCAGGGCAGGTTCGTCCATCGGCTCAGAACATGGTCGCACGTAAAACGCTGAGCTCACTATTCTGTAGCTACTACTACCTTTTCACTTCGTGGGATACGTGCTGCCAGGGGCTGTCCAGCACTTACAACATCCGTGTCGGACGCTCTTCCAGGTAAGTCTCCTTCGGCACCGAGAGAGAAGATGTAGTGACGTGATCTGCGCAAAGCGCTACCGGCCCGTTCGTTGACAAGGATGGAGTTGCGCTCACCAGCGGTGGTGGCACGCTTGTTCTCGAGACTCACGGCTCGATCGTCGGGCCTGGTGGTCAGGACATCATGTCTGATGCCGATGGTGTCTTGCTCGTCTACCGTGAGTGAACAACGCTCTATTGTCACTGGTGCTGCTAACCTGTATCTCCTTAGATTACTACACCTCGACAAGCAGCCTGGTGAGTGTTCAATGTCTGAACATTTAATAAGTGACTGACTTCATATTGGATAGCTCGGCATCAACCTGCTCGACTTCAGCTCTGGGTGGCCCGTGGCTTATTAGGGTGAAGGGCGCTTTCCTCCAGAGAGAGTAGCGCTTGGTCGCACGCCATCGCTGCCGGATATGGGGCACAAGCTACATGTTGCCTGTCACAAATATCTTCCAAACCTCCTTTCTATAATAAAATGCACGGCGTTTCGTATCCTCCGATCATCTCGATTGGGTTGTCCAAGTACTTTGAGTATCTCGAGCGAGTCAGCAACTTCCAACCAGTGTAAGAATCAGGAATGAAAAGACAAGCACTGGTGCATATTGATACAGTAGACATACAAGAGGTACTCCGTGAGGAAGCAACAGGGCGAGGCTCCAAGTCCGTTGTCCGCAATCATTACTGAATGAAAAGAAATTACGAGGTCTGATACTACACTGAGATTCGAGATACAGTAAGATCAAAAAGGCAATCCAGATGACGCGAAAGGCCACGTAGTCAGAAGATTCAGGCGCATAAAGCGCATCTCAACGCCTACGCTCGTCATAGTCCGCGAACGGGTCGTCCAACGAGTCTTTCGATAGACTTCCGCCGCGCTTTCCGTCCACGACGTCGAACTTGCTGTCCTGAGCACCCACGCCATATCCGGGAAGTTCGTCAGAACTGTCTTTGGGTGGCGCAAAGCCTGGTGGTGGGCCAGCAGGAGGGGCGTAATCTCTCGTCGCTCCCGCGCCATATGGATCGTATGCGGCGGCGGCGCTAGCATATGGAGGCGTATAGTAGGGATTCTGCGTCTGCACGGGGTGTGACTGTGCGGGAACAGATGTGGCGTGTGCGTAGTTCCACACGATCCAGGAGATCAATCCCATGAAGACTGCGAACAGTAATGTCAGCGGGCTTAGCGGCTTTCGGAATGGACATACTCACGGATTTCAGCAATTAAGAGAACAATCTCCGACCAAGAATCGTGGCTGAACGCATCGTCGCACCCTATTGCAAGATGTCAGGGACTGAGCCTTACTGAAGACGGGGGTACGATACATACATGACGAGGCTTCGTCCTTGGTGAGAGTTCTGCCACGGGTCAGCATCGCGGGACAGCCATATTTGATGATGCAAACGTACTCTGTGACGTGCGGGCCCCATACTCCCCAGCGAAAGTCAACCCTTTGACCGGTGACTTCTTTCACGCATTCATCAAGTAGATCGCTCTGGAAGAGCCGAGATCGTCAGACCTTGTGTCATCATTGCATGGTATTCACGGACCTTCAACAGGAAGTGCGTAATTACGCGTATGAAACCAGCTCCGATAACGAGGAGGCTGGAAAGAAGAGCGCCAAAGGAGTAAATGCGGATGAAAGCGAGGCGTTGCTGAGGAAGCGATGAGCCGGGCGTTCTTCGGGTTGTGGCGATAGAACGCACCATGGCCGTGGCAGCGACACCAAAGAAGTTAATGACAGCAACTGCGATGTATATGATTCCCAAGATGAGAGCAAATGCAGCGAGTTTGGTGAATCCCTCTGTGTCGTAGATTAGTGAAATGATTTGTTTACAGCGAAGGTGGCGTACCATTCTTGTCGTCCGAGATCTCTTTGAAAAACCCAATCTACGCACATAGCTCATTTCAGCACTGTCGTAATAGAGAGCAAGTATCGCCAGCCACATACAGCCCTAGAGACACCAGTCAGCAGCAATCGTGGAAATACTCGGTACATTACAGACGTACCAGACAAGAGACCAGATCCCAACAATCGTAGATACTGCCACGCTATGAGTTCAGATACCTTATCACACACAAGTAGACGTACAAGCGAGCACGGTTGGTCGTAAATTAGCGTTGCGAACTCGCGCCACTAGCGCGTACGGAGGAGGTCGATCTACGATCAAGCTCTCAGGCGCGATGACGACGGGCTGAGTTTGAATTAACGCACCGGCCATGGTTGATAAGATTGTGAGAGAAGAGTTGAAGAGGGAGAAGCGAGTCCAGTCGCGGTAGTAGATGAAGGTGGTGGTACGAAAGCAAGATGCGAGGCGGTTCAATAGCAGTGCAGCCCGAGTAACGCGGCTAGCCTTGTCCTGGTGGGACAATTGGAGGCTGTGGGAACGGCGCTCGGCCCGAGATACCCGAGCGCCGCCCACCAACACCATCTCAGCAATCGCTGTCTCAGCTTCCGCGGCCGACCTTTCTCCTCACATCGCGATCTTCCCGTGCCCGACTCGGCGCAGCCGGCGGGTATATGCGCGTAACAGGGGTTCCGAACACTTTCGGCGCGATGTGACGCGACGCGACGCGACGCATACAATCTAGGCACACACAACCTTCAATGTCTTACTGTTCTTTCTACGGGCTTGTACACAGATCCGACGAAAGCGCATAAGATTACATGTAGCAACTGGGGGATGTGCAACAACCTGACGTGCGAGAGCGATAGCAGATAATATACAGCGAGTGTGACCAAGGAGAGATGATGTGGCTTGAGAGCGAACAAACAAGATAAGGTGTGCGTCGATAGTTCATTGAGGCTGCAGCGAGGATTGCGATTGGGAAGTACTAGCATCGCCGTGGGGCGCAAAACGAGAGAGGGCAACGGATATCTCTTCCTGTACAATCTGCCGAAAGCGCGCCTCCATGCGCGCCTCGTGAGCCTGCAGCTCACCGCGTGTAACAAACGTCTGGTTGGGATCCATTGGGCCAAAACCAGGCGCCCATTGGCCGTTGGAAAGTGGCGCGTTGCCGGGCACCATAGGCAGAGCATGGCCTGGAGGCATGAACCCCATGGGGGCCGATAATGGCGCTTGCATCATATCGACTAGACGACGTTATATGAGCGAGCCAAAAGTGCTGACACGGATACGCACCGTGAAATTCGGGCCTATTCACTCTTACACGTCGTTTTGTGGGCACCTCGGAAGAACCGTCCTTCTTTGTACCGCTACTCGTTTTAGGAGGTACGAGAGAACATGCCGTCTTGCCTGCGACACAGGTCAGGCAAGCCGAATGCGGTCCCCGCACGCAACTACGACGGGTGTCCCTACAACGCTCACAGGGCGGCTACATACATTTGCCGTCAGCATCAGGACGCTTGGCAGACCGCATGAATGACGCACATCGTTCACGCCAGCGGAGCGCATCTCGTCGGTGATGACCAACGTCTTGCCACGCATTCGGCGCCGCGCCTCGTCGTCTTCTTCGTTCTCGGCGGCCTCGCTCTCTTCGCGCTCTTTACGCTTGCTCGACCGCTGAGCGGGGAAGTCTGCTTCGGGTATAGGCACCGTCATTTGTAGCTGTGGAGTCTGTCAAGCGCGTTAGCATGGAAGACACAAGGGGACCAGGGTGCGTTACGGATTGCTGTTGGACTTGCAGGGAAGATGATGGGACGTATGCCGAGGGCGGAGGCGGTGCGTAGGTTTGGGTCGGCGTCGGCGGCATGGATCCGAAGCTGGACGATGATGCTGGCGTGTTTGAGGATTGGACGCCAGGATAATAAGTAGAGGGCGGTATACCGAGCGTGTCCCACCAACGATCCACGCCGGCATCCCGGGGCGCCCACTGAAGGGCGTCCGGATCTGCGGGCAGATTCGGTAGAGAGCGAGCGACGAGGGCGGCTGCATCGTTGTAATCTCGGTTGCTCCATGCAGTCTGCATGAGATTTGTGGCATGGAGGAGCAGAGGCGGGAGTTGGAGGTCACCCGTAACCTGCGCCGCCTCACGGTATGCATGCGAGGCCGCTTTCTGCGGAGATAATATATATTAACGCGCGGCATGGCGGAGTAAGTAGCGAACGGACAATTTCGCGGGTGAGCGGATCGAGATACACGAGCCTGGCGTGTTCGGGAAGCAGCTGCACGGCCGAGCATGCGAGCACTACACGGGCATAGGCTCTCCAAAAGACGGAGAGGCTCTGATTTCCGTCCGCCATCGCGCTCGACGCCGAAGGCGAAAGCCTCGCGCCGACCCCGCGCCAGCCGGCCCCGATGCCATCAACTCCCACGGCGTTTTACACGTGGCGCAACCATTAAAGTTGGTCAGTTGGTCACATCTCAGAATCCCACATCCTGCTTTGATCCAATTCTTTCTGTAACCGTAACCGTAACCCGGATCGGCCGCTCCGGTACGGTTCCTGCGCGTTTGCCGAAGCGATCGAGGAGTGGCACTGGGCTAGGCCGCATTGCTGAGTTCTCCCGCCGTGCGGAATGTCCTCGTAAGAGGGCTATAAGGCGGCTCTCAACTGAGCAAACCCTGCTCTCATACCGCACATCCTTTCCCCATCTGAGCAGCGCGTGGTGTCAGGCTGCGGTCGCGCATGGATCCTTCTGAGCGTCCTGGCACTTGTCAGTATCGTCTCGAACGAACTTACTCGATGTCATCTCTCGTAGTACTGACTGCGTCCGGTGTATATAGATAACTACAACAAAGGAGAGTTCATACAAGGCCAGAAGCGTCGCGGGCAACCAACGACTCCCCCACACTCGTCGCAACCTTCATACGACCCAACGGACTTTTCCCTTGAACCTCCTCCTCCTCCGAGTCCCTCACCGACGTCGCCAGCTACGACAAGAGCCTCTTCTTCACCTCGCCCAAAGAACAAGTCTCGCCCGAGACGCGTGTATTCCCCTGAGGACTTTTCTCTCGAGATCAAGACCTCTCCTTCCAAAACGTCCACCCCAAGAACTTCTCCTCCAACGGCCTCTCCTCCGATGGCATCTCCCCTGAAGCCTCGTTATACCCCCGCCGACTTCGACTTGGGCCCCGCCGCACAAGCGGTCACTATGTCCAAGCCGGTCAAGAAGCTTAGACTGGACACCAACTTACCTGCGGCAACTGATCGGAAACGCGACCAACCCGTGTACTCGCCGTCTGATTTTTCATTGGATGTACCGAACCGACCGGCACAGCCCGAGCGACCGCAGTACTCGCCGGAGGACTTCAAGCTCTTTGACGGACACGAGAACAAATCCAGTGTTGATCGTTCGGTTAAGGCCGTCAATGCAAGGGACCAACCTGATCGGGGGGACGAGGATGGGATTCCTCCTGCGTCCGCCGGCAGCGGTAGCGACGCCGTGGGAGGCCCCGGCCCTTCGCAGTCGTTCAAGGGCGCTGGTGGTCGGTCCCTAGACAGTCGAGTGCCTTCACCGGTCTCGCGCAAGGCCGCGTAGACAATCTTTGGCTTTGCGATGACCATTTACATCTTCTCCCGGTTTCCTTTCTGAGAACTCCCCGGTGGATATGTCTCGTGCTCAATCTTCATAGCTTCATATGTCATTCCAGAGACAATAGGTGACTGATGACTTGCTTGCTTGCGGTCTAATCGAAACGTCGCATTGTTTCTCTAAATTATCGCTCGTGTATCTGTACCCCCCATCCAATACTCGCACTCCCCTATTCCATATCACTCGATTAGTCCATCATCGCAATCACCGTGTTTTTTTACGCACTGTCGACTCCCCGGAGATCGTGTTTTTTGCCTCTTGTACTATTTTTGTCAGCATGCTGTCCTTCAACTCCTTTCGCCGCGCTATGCTATACAAGCTTACGGCGTCGTACAATACTCACACACGCTTTCATAGTTTTTTTGGGCATCATAAACGTACAGTGGCTTCGTTGCTTTACTATACTGTTCCTACAACCCCTGAGAGCAACTCGACGCGTAATCTTTGTAGCCGTATTCTACATTGGTAGGACGTATTGTCTTTCGCATGAGATTCACAAGATCCTCCTCAGATCTCCCCATGCGGTTAACAGCACATACGGCCGCCCGGGATTGCGTACGTATACCGATATCTCTGCAAGGCCTGGAACTAGTACAGTAGCTGATAGCTCAGCCCTCTCGCGTGTGACAAGGTTACCACATCAGCAGAAGTTTCGCATGTCCCCGCACAACGTGCTACGATCCCAGGTGTGCTTAGAAGCTCCTGAATAGTAGCCGATGTAGTGGGCGCTAAGCCTCCTCTCGCGTTGCGCGCCCGGGACGGCCGCGGATCGTACCCGTACAGTAGGTACATGAACTTGATGCATGCCCTCAATCAGCCGTGACCGTCTCAGCGAATGAGGTGACCGAGTACGCGTGACCAAGTACGCACTGGTACGTGCAGCATTGCTAGAGATCAGCGTGCTGATGAACGCCGTCCTCGTTATCAAGCCGGGCATTTGGGGATGCCGGGATCTGCGAAAGCTGCAAACGGAACAGGTTAACTGAGCTTCGGGCTATGCCGAAGCCGGATATGACCGTACCGAAATTCACCAACCCGAGCGGACCTCGTTACCCGTGTTTATGGTAAATCCAGAAAAGGAAGGGACAATCCGGATCGTTCGGTCCTCGCTCTAGCTGAAACGCCGTGCTTGAACACACGTGACCGCGTTAACTCTCCTTCTGCGCCATGACCCGCGCGGGCCGCTGTGAAGCTTTCCCAGCCTGCATGGCTCCTCGGACATCCTGCTTCTTCCCGTCTATTCATACAGATCTTGCGAGCGATGCCTTTGAGTGGACGCCCGGCGGCTTCTCACACGCCCGTTTGACCGGAAACCCGTGTGTCCAGCGTGAGCGCGTAATGAGAGAATGCAAGGGTACATCGTCTCTTTTGAGCCTCTGGCTCAAGCCGTTCTATCATCTCCCGCAGGCACAGGAGACCAGACCAGTCAGCCATACAGGCCATCAGATGAAGCATCCAACATGACGTTCAGTCAAGAACTGAACTTTCGCAGGACGCGCTTGACAACGGTGCAGGCGCGAGGCAAAGGAAAATCGTACCCCAAAGCTACAGTTCAGGCCGCGGCGACAGTTCAATTCGGGAGACCGAGTATGGCGAGCACCCGGACACAGACGCTCGCGCGGAAGACCTCTTGTGATGAACTTCGGAGAGATGACAGTCGCAGTGACATTGCTCCTTCGCATGAGATCTCTGAGTGTAAGCTAGTATCGTTTAACTGCGGCGTGCCTATCTCGAGGCTTCTGACCCCTGTAACCCACCGGATGGAAAACATTCACTGTCAATGAGTCTACCCACGTCTGGAACCTCTCACGCATCCGGTGCGTGAAGAACATCAAGACAGCCCGTGCGTACCGCGAATGCCATGTATAGCAACGCCGCAAGTAGCACCTGTCTAGAGCATTAATCTCGGCTACTCGAGACCTGCATATTTCACGTCCGCATTAGCTTCCAGCCAGGAAAGCCACTTCTTCAGGTACGAGCCGCCATGCTGCACTGTCGAAGAGTCCCCAACGACGCACTGAGCCAAACTTCAGTACACCGTACAAGTATTGGTTAGCTTGGCGAACGGCCTACCAAATGGCGGCGTGCTCGCGTCATTGCCACGTTCAGTCTCCGTTTCTCTTTCAAAAAGCCTACGTCGCGCTGTGTGCGTGTGGCATCAGCTCCACTCGCCGTGATGTGCGCAGATGTGCGCGAATAACCTACCTCGTTGTTGCTTCGTACAAGCGAAATGACCACAGCCTCTTTCTCGCGACCCTGCATCCCGTCGACGGTGCCAATCTCGATACCTGTGCCGTACGCCGGCCTCAGTAGGCTAGCGAGCAGGGTTACCTGAGCTTGGTACGGTGTGATAACCGCGATCTGGGTTGGTGACACGCCATGACCAATCTACCTGGTTCTCAGCAATGCGAGGACAGAGTTGAACAAAATATTTGACGCACCAGAGTGTCAACCCAATTCCTTACGACCGCAGCCTCGTTCTCGTTACATCGGCTACCTTCCTCGCCGTCTCCGTCGAGTCTTTCGAAGTATTCGCATCCAGCAGTGTCGAAGAAAACTACTGGGGCACTCAGGTCCTCCTTCGCTGCCTCATCATTGGAGCTGACATTCGGCAAGTCGGCCAGAAGGTGCTCGGCCACTGACTGGTGCGCTTGTAGCTTCGACTGGTACAAGATCTTCGAAGGGAACTCCGCGATCGTCCGGTGCATGCTAGCTATGCGTGAGTATAACACGTCAGGTGAGCGAGGAGACATACCGGTATTGTACGGTCAGCATGCGCTTGATGCCTGGGCCGTACATCTTTTCAAGCCGCTCAAACATCGTTGTTTCGAGTGTGCGCGGCGGGTACAGACCAGGCACCGTCTTCTTCCTCCTAATCTTCCTGTCGACAGCCTTCTCCGCCGGTGCAGGCTCAGCATCGTCCATTTCAGAGTCGCTCGCAGCACTGCTCGACGGATCATCGGCAGGGCCGGGCGCCGGCGGGGCTGACTTCGGCATAGCCTTCTTCGTCTCCTTCTTGCTTTTGTCTAGAGCGAGCACCGTGGGCGGCAATTGCTTGGGGTCTCCCGCCAGGATCAGCTTCTTCGCTTTGAAGATCGGAACCCAGCAAACAGCCTCGACCGCCTGTGTCGCTTCGTCAATGATGACCACGTCGAAAGCCTGATTGCGCAACTGGCGCCCGCCTGCGGAATGACATGTTGCAAGCACGACCTGCGAGTCGGATAAGACCGTCTGCACGACGCCGCTCTCGCGCTGGCGGTATTCCTTCCGGAGGGCCTTGACTTCTTCCCACATCTTCTTGCGCTCAGCGCCACGCGGGCGCTTACCTTTGGCGCCTTTTCCCTTGCCCGCAAGCGTGTCAAGCGCGCTCTGAAGCTCGGTCTTGACGTCGCGTGCCAGGGCGGCCTGGTCCGAACGCCCGGCTTTCACCTCGAGCGTAGCTTCTAGTACGTCTTGGTTCGCCATGACGCGGGCGGGGTGGCCTACACGCGTAACCTTGATTCTGTTTCCCCTCTCGGGTGGAGAAAGAGCGAGCAGGCGCTCGAGGATGTTGTCGACGGAGAGATTCGAGGCGCCGCATACAAGAACGCGAAGTCCGCGGCTCGTGAGTTGACGGATAATCTCTATCAAGGTATGCGTCTTTCCGGTACCTGTTCACCACACGACACCAGTTAACACGATACTGTTATGGTCGTGGGAAAGGAAGCTGCATACCAGGAGGTCCATGTATACAGGCGATCTCGTTTGATGATAGGGCGAATCTGATAGCTTCTTGCTGGGAAGAATTGAGGGAGGGGTCAAAGAAAGACAGGCTATCGAGTTTCGTTTTTGGCGAAAGGGCAGTCATGCCCAAGAGGGTCTCAATCAAGCGAGTGAGCTCGAAGGGAGGTTTTGATTGGTCCTACAGATATATTGAAGGTTAGCGTAGGAGCAAATACCTTGTTCAAGGATGTTACCTGAGGTGTCGACGGAATGGCTGTCTTCTCCAGTTGGTCCAGCGCTTTCTCCATCCTAGATGTGCCTCGATCAATTGCCAGCGTGCGTGTACGACGATCTGATCTCACCGGTCATACGTGACACTGTTAGCGAGCTTCACAACGCGACAACGTTCCGGTAAATCAAGATCGTCCGAAGAATCAGAGAGATCGACGGCGATCACAACGCGAGTGTCCGACATCTGAGGAGGGTCTGAGTCAAGAATGCTAGCCCTAGCAATCCCCACATACTTTGTATACGACGCCCTCTACACCGGAAGAAGCCGTGGTCTTGACATCGTTAGTCGTCTGATTCTTTTTACTAGTGGGTTTCTTCTTGTTGGCAGGCGCAGAGGAGTTTTCTTCAATTCTGGCCAAGTCACCGGGCCTGTCGAGCTATGAGGCTACCAACACTGGAAGAGCCCTATGCCTGCCTACCTAATGGTATGCGGTGAAAATATATTGCTCGTGTGGTATGCAGCCGGGCGCTCAAGTTCGACCAACCTGACGCAGGTTTGCTAACATTTGGAAGCGCGCGATACGCTGACGCACGTCTTCCCGCCTAGTCCAACGCTGATATTTGCTACACCGAGCGAAAGCAACGCCAGACCCTTCTGCTCAAGTAGCTTCGGTCCACAATTTGAAAGCAACAATGCACTGCGCTCGACTTCGGCGGCGCGCTCGTCCGCGAGCAGCAAACGATGCCTGTTGATGAACGCCAAGATATCAGCCTCCGAAGAGACCATAATGACTTCCAACGAGATACAACGCCTGAATATGCAAGTGGCGGTGGTGGTGGTTCGCTTTAGAGGTGCCCTTGTCGCACGGGTCGCGCTCGAACACGTGTGAGGGGGTGGGTGCATCGGCTTTGAGTTGCGCTTCGACCGCCATGTCCGAAGACGATAAGCTTCCCGCAACCTATCGCATTTCTGATCTGTTTATCCTATCTCTACCATTACCTTGTACTTAGCTGTGCAATGTCCTCAATCGATAGCCGCTAGGTCCTTCTCGAACCACCGCCATGCCCGTCTCTGCCAAGATCTGGCGCCCTTCACCATCGGCTGCAGAAGATGAACACACGTTCGAGGTTGAAGGGCAGGACGCAACGCTGAAGATCTGGGGTGAAGATGTACTCAAGACTGTAGAAGCCGAGTTGGCACATTTGGACGGGGAATTGCGCCAGCTGAATCTTGACATACACGGTGCGTGCGGTACAGGGTTTGGATGAAATGCGCTGTGCACGAGCCGAACAACAGGGCACCCCGAACTCAAGTTCGAGGAACAGTGAGGTGTTCCCTGCATATGCTTCTCATGAGTAAAGCCCTCATACGCGCTCAGTTACGCACACGATGCCCTGACGCGCTTTATGCGCGAACATGGCTTCGAGGTTGAAGAGCATTTCCATCTCCCTACTGCATGGCGCGCAACATACAGTTATGGTCAAGGTGGTCGCACACTTGGTGTCAACTCAGAGATGGACGCCCTTCCCGGTATAGGTACGCATCGAAAGGGTGTCGCGGAGATGGTACTGATTATTCTCAGGTCACGCCTGCGGTCATAACCTGATCGGTGAGAAATGTCTGTACACTCTTGTGGAGGTCCACACTCACCCTGGATCATAATCAGCAACCGCTGGCGTAGCCGTTGCTCTTGCCGCCGCAAAGGCCATTCAAGTACACGACATCCCGGGTAAAGTCGTTCTTCTGGGAACACCAGCCGAAGAGGGTGGCTCAGGTAAAGAGTTACTCTTGCGAGCTGGAGCTTTTGGTGGAATGGACGTTTGCGTCATGTACGTTCTCCGGCTTGTTATGCGTATACACCGCTAACTAGTTATGAAGGTGCCACCCTGCTCCAGGACCGGTGAACGGGGCCTCACTATCATCTTGCCTGGCAGTTGAGCGACTAGTCACGGAGTACCATGGCGCTACGTAGGCGGACCATTTCCCGGGGCAGAGCCGTTCTCTCACAAAGCATAGGACGCACGCGGCACTTTCACCCTGGGAGGGTCGCAACGCTCAGGACGCAGCGGTCACTGCGTACACGAGCATGTCAATGTTGCGACAGCAAGTGAAACCTAGCCATCGCATACACGGGATCATCGAGGGCCGTGATTGGGCGCCGAACGGTATGCTTGTATGCTACATACCTCGTATATGTGCTCACTCATTTGTCAGTCATCCCCGACTACGCCAAGCTAACCATCTATTCGCGGGCACCTTCCAAGGCCGAGGTTGCCGAACTGGCACCTCGCGTCAAGTCTTGCTGTGCTGCTGGCGCCTTGGCCTCGGGAACGGATGCCAAATACACCTCTCCGTCACCACCCACATTCGACCTTCGACAGAATGCCGCGCTCGGCAACGTTTTCGCCGATATCTTTCGCAAGCATTACGGGCCGATTGATCGAGTATTCGGTATCTCTAATGCGAGTACGGACTTCGGAAATGTCACCTACGCGCTGCCCGGCTTACATCCCGGATTTTGTACGTGTGCTTCCCCCGATCTTCATCGATATAGATACAGGTTGTTCTTACACCCATTCCAGCCATCCCTACTGAGCCATTGGGCAGTAATCACACGGCGTCATTCACTCGCATGGCCGCCACGCCTGAGGCACATGCAGCGACGATCCGCATCGCGGGCGCGTTGGCGGTGACCGGCGTGAGGGTGCTCAAGGACGATGCGTTCTATGTAGATGTGTTGAAGACATTCGAGGAGGACAAGAAGAAGCGCGACCTATTGGGATAGCCCCGTAGTGTACCAGTAAGTTCCTTTCATCCTCGCAACTTCGGATCACAGAGTTGACTTGCTATCGTTAGTATGGTGATCGAATGTGGCCGGCTATGAGAGTCGAACGACGTACTCAGCTCACTGTATGCTTATTTGATCGCGGCGGTGGTTGATATGTATTAACGCGTGGGCCCTTGAATGCCCGTGGAGACCGTGGTAAAATGCGGCCGAGTGCGCACTGGCGAGCATCGTGTTTGACGCCTTTGATCATCGACAACCACCACGCGTTCGATGCCACCATGTCAACGCGCTATATTGTAGACGAACGAGTCGTCGAAGAACCTGACATCGCCACCAGTAAACAGGCCCTCGACCTCTATAAACGCAAGAACGCCACGAAAGGTCCGCTGTCGTCTCATACAACTGCCACATGTTCTACCTATGGTGCACCAATTGCGAGCTCTAATCTGTGTCGTCGGATTAGTCGCAATCCTTTTCAAAGCCATAGGAAACGCGCCCGTGATGCTCAACAACGAATATAAGATCACGGCGTCGAATCCGTTCCAAGCCATTGTCATCTTCCTCAGGAAGCACATCGGGTGGCGAGCGGGTGATCCGTTGGTCCGTGGGCTGAATCCCTTGACACGTCGACGACCGTACATATCATTGATGCACCAGCTGCGCACAGTTCACATATATTAATCAGTCTTTTGCGCCCGCTCCGGACGACAATGTGGGTAATCTATATCGAGTACGTCCCTTCATGGCCGTCACTCGTAGCGGATCCCGCAGTTCTTAATGCAATGTTTCGCTCCTTCACAGGCATTCTCAGCAAATGGGAAACTGATAGTCAACTACAGGTAGGACTATACTCGCTTCTGAGTGCGCTGGCCTAAGTTCATGTCGCATCATAGCACAGTGGCAGCTTGGGGTTGAGTCCATAGCACCTCTTTCGTTTCAACTGCCGCCAACCACATACCGCTGTCTGATCGACCACCAGCCAGATGCGAGAGGCCTGTGAGAGTGACGCATGTATAGCGTAGCGCTAGCTGCGATATTACCTGTTGAAGATCATGTTGCTATGATAGCATAACCCTAACCTGGGTTTCATGACCCGGATCATTATTTGGTTGTTCCGATAACGAAATCGCTCTCTATAAACTCAATATCCTTCTTTGACCGGCGACCTCGATCTCTATAACCTATTCTCCCGCGAAGTAGCTTCCATACGCCGCTGAAACCAGTCCCGTCTACGGGGTAGCCCGTCTCCTTGGTTTCCCTGATACGCGGTAGTGGTGGGCGCCACCCGATGACAGGTTGTAACAAACTTAGCACCTGAACGTATGGACGCCTCCACAGCTTTCTTTCTCCCGCCATCCCGTCTCTCTCTTTCTGTCTTCCCGCCAGCCTTGTGGCGCACCCAGCTCTCGTTATCTTGTCCATGCGGGCCATGTCGTCCTCGTTTGCGAGATTCAGCGCATCGCTGCGTCACGCCGCTGCCGTGCAGCCCACGCATTCCTACCACCCGTCTTCGCTTCCGCCTTCCGTGAGCGAGGAAGAGCTCGCCTACTGGCCATCCCAGTCGTCGCTGGCTTCCGTCGCGTCCTCCGCCGGTGATGGAGAACATCAGGGTCTTCCTCTCCCGACAATCTCTCCTACGTCCTCGCGCGCCGATTTCTTCGCGCCACAACAAACAGGACACATACGACGTGCATCACCCGCGATCTTCCTTGCACTCTATCTCGCACTCAACCTCGCTTTGACGTTACACAACAAGCTCGTACTTTCGAGCTTTCCTTATCCTCTCACGCTTACGGCGCTTCACTGCGCCTCGGCCGCGGCAGGATGTCTCTTTCTTCGGCGTCGCGGATTTTACGTGCCGAAGGATCTGGATGGTGGCGAGAGGCTGGTGGTGGGACTCTTTGGCGTGCTATACGCCGCGAATGTTGCTGTGAGCAATGCGAGCCTCAAGAGAGTCAGCGTTCCGCTGCACCAGACGGTTCGGGGCATGACGCCGCTGTTCACGTTGGCGCTCGCTGCGTGTGTGCTTCAGGGCACCAGAGTCACACGTCGAAAGGTTCGCTACCATCATCATCGTGCACGCTATATCGAGAGCTCACCCCGATCTCCAGGTCTTTGCATTGTTACCGCTTGTAGCCGGCGTCGCGCTGGCTTCCGTTGGCGACTATAGCTGCACTGTCTCCGGACTTTTGCTCACGCTTCTGGGTGCTGCCCTGGCAGCGGGCAAGACGGTCGTGACGAATGCACTTCAAGCCCCGACCGCCTCTGGGCCCAGGAACTCTTCGCCACCTTTGTCTGGTTCAGAGCGGAAAAGGAAGATGCACGAGAAGAGGGTCAGTGGGATAAGGGACTGGGAGAAGGTGTCGCGCATTCCCTTGCGCATCTACGGTCTCAACGTCAGCGTGCGCCGACCATCGATACGTGGACTGGCCCGGCGCATGTGCCCGTACGAGCTCCCGCGTCTCGCCCTGCACCCACTCGATCTGCTCGCGCGCATGTCGCCGCTCGCATGCATACTCTGCCTCGTCATTGCATGGAGCTCGGGCGAACTCGCCGCTGAGCGCGATGCGCTCTCCCCGCCACTGTCGGCGCACGACGCGACGTTGACGCAGAATTGGACGTTACCCGGCGACTCGAATGCAGAACTCCCGGCGCAGGGCGTGTCATTACGCTGGATGTGGCATATATTGGTACTGTCCGCGACACTGGCCATGAATGCGGGCATCGCTTTCGCTCTGAACGTCACGAGCTTCGAGGCGAACCGCAGGGCTGGTGCCGTAGCTATGGGCGTTGCTTGTGAGTGCCCTCCCCTACGATCGCTATAAGGAATCCGCTGATGCATGTATCACAGCGAACGTCAAACAAGCCCTTACCGTACTTGCGGCTCTCGCGCTCTTCGACGCATCGCTTGCCGGTCCAGGGCTTGCCGGCGTCGCTCTAACACTCGGCGGTGGCGCGCTATACGCTCGCGTGGAACGCGACGAGCGCGCTAGAACTCAAGACTGAGCATAGACGCCCGCGCTAGACGCGCTTTCTGATCAACGACATGACTTTCCCGCACATATACATACGTTACTCTTGGACTAAATACTCACTTCCTTTACGACCCTGCCTTCAAGCTATCACGCTCTCCGTTCACTCCCCCAATGTAGCCTTATATTTCGTCGCTTTGTCTTTGCTATCACCGTCTGATACCCTTTTCGTTCAATTGACCGTGATTTGGCTGCTACTTTGACAGAGGGAGGCGTGCTTGATATGCGAGCGGCGAGATTCGACCTCCAGGGGCTCGAAAGGTGTAAGTACGCAAAGGCGGTGTACCCTCGATGATGAGTGAAAGGTAGGAAGAATAAGACCGTATGCAAGGATCGCCGACATAGGTGTCTCCAGTCAAGAATATGGTACATTGGGATCTTCGAAATGTACCCTGCCTCTCGATTCGCTTGACATCAACCACTCCCTTGCCATCCACCTGTTCTTGTTATCTTGACACTGACGCCTGATCAAATGAACAGCGAGCGTAGGACGCATCTCAACCAGGGACTTCAGGAAGTGCGAGGCGTCATTGGGAGAGTTTGGATCCTTGATTGCGAAGTCGACCTCAGGATCAGATACATGAGTGGCGAATGCACCAGCGACGCCCGACTCAGGATCCAAGTCGACGAGATCGAGTTGCTGAAGGTCAGGGAGAAGCTCGTTCGAGTCGACGAGCGCTTGAAGCAGATCGACGACCGCGCTGCACTCTCGTACACGGAGTGAAGGTTTGGAGAACACTCGCAGGTGGTGCAGATTCGAGAGTTGGCGCAGAAGATCGGTCCATTGCGATGCTTCCCACACGGGCGCATTGTCGTTTGATACGTGCCGTCCGTCGCGGTGAACGGTATGCCAGACATTCATCGAGCTGTCGACGTCCAGTGCCAGGTATCGCACCCCGTGCACCGACAATCGTGTGCACAACTCCTTGGGAAAGGCTTGCACCCACGTCTTGACGACTTTATACTCGTGCGGGGTGATGAGAAGCGAGAAGTCGGCACTGGAGTTCGCGAGGCGTCGGCCGAGTGTACGATGTTCAGGGAAAGATGGGGCCTCCGACGATGGCCCCATCTTCGACTCGGGAAAGCTGGATCCATATACGAGAGCCTGGGTCAACTCGGGCTGTCTGAAATGCGTTCCGAAGCCCGTGGGTTGGCGAAACATGTACGATATTGACAGCGAATGGAGGGTGGCGCGGCGGCTTGCAAGGGTGTCGAGCGCAAGTTCGTCGTATCCGTCGCATGAGAGGTCCAAGCAGTCGATGCGCAACGTTGCACTGTTGGGGAAGACGACGTTGCGGAGGAAAAGAGCGCAGCCTGCAGATCGGCCCGTGAGAGCGACACTACGCAAGTGCGGGAGGGTGACGGTTTGAATGTTTGCGTCGGAAGTGGGTGAATTGATGGGGAGGCATCCATGCAATTCCAGGTTCTCTAGCTTAGTCAGAGAGCCGATGAAGATCATGAACTGGTGTGGATTAGGGGCAGGCTCGAACCGGGGTGGCCCCGGTCTCTCAGTCGGGCCTTCGGTTCTGTAGGAGAGGATGCCGAGACGCAAGCTCGTCAGGTGAGAGAATGCGCATTCAAAGGACCACGATGGGAGGCGGTCAATGAGAGATATCTCGATCGTTTTGAGAGACCCAAGGAGATGCGGCTGGAGAACGTTTACAGGAAAGGCTTCGACGGAATTATTGGACTCAAGGTACTCGAGAGCGCGCGCGCCACTGAGCCTCAACGCCGCACCTATCCTGCCTCCTGAGTTGCCATTATAGATGATGCTTCTGGCGTTCTTGTATATAGACATATTGCCAGTGCCAGTCTTCAGAAATGCATCGTCGTCCTCTTCTTCACCAGTGAAATCGATGGTAAGTAGCGTCTCTTTACTGCGTTCTCTGAGCGTATTGATCCAAGGGGTGGGCAAGTGCATGGGAATATATGACCACAGGGACGGCTTTGACAGCGCTATCTCGCGCCAGAGATGGCATACCCAAGTTACTCGCACCCATCCGATGGTGTACGTGTAGTTTCCGAGACTGATGTCCCCACTGTCCGCGGAAGAGGCGTGGGACCATGCGCTCTCGCTAGCGCTTTCGTCGCCTATCTCAGACGCAGTGTACTCTTGCTCGGGGCCGCTTTCGGAGTCCATATCAATGTTTTCGTCCGTTTCAGAGTCAGTGATGGGTAATGCGTCGACGTCGATCTCTCCGATTGGCTCCATGGTGGCCAACCAGGAGAAGATGAGGCCGAGAGTTTCCACGGGAAGGCCGCCCAAACGACCGTTGGAGTGCCACAGGCGAGCATTTAGATGCGCCATGAACGTCTCGTGAGCCGTCTTGCTACTTTCACGCTCGCGGAGGAGTTCGTGAGCCGATATCGACTGTGGCAAGGCTCGCAAACGGGCTTCGGCGGCTTGTGCCCAGTACTGATTGTCACTCGGGCTAAGAAGCGTTGCATGGGACTCGTTATGGCATGAAGATAGATAGTAGCGTGTAGGGCTTACGAAGTTGAAGGGGGAGGTGCTGAGGAGGACATGGTGATGGTCGAAATCAACTGTTGAATTCGCGCCACACGCGCGCTCAATATTACCACGATGCAATGACGGGACAGGTCTGCCAAGCGGCCAGTAGTGCATAATCCCCTCTCCCGCTCTCCGCAACGACCGGCGTTCAGAATACGAGCAACCGTCGCCGTGAGCGCGACATAGTATACAGATCAGAAACAGTGGGTGTGAATATACACAAGATGATAATGTACACAAGAAACCGTCCGATTGCTATATCGTTCCACCACACCACCCCCCTCTCTACGCCTTCTTCCCCACCCTCACACTCCCCTCAAACGGCAACCCGCTCAACACGACCCCCTCCCCCTCCTCTCCGTCACCAACAACCGGCAACCCGCCAATCTGCACCCTCACCGCAGCCGTCCCTCTCACACCCGCAACAGCCCCATGCGTCCCAAACACGACCTTGCCCACAAAGTCGCCGAACTCGCGCTGGCGGCCAGGTAGGACTTCGAGCGGGACGTCTTCGATGCGGGCGTGGACGAGCGTGACGGTGCCGACGCCGTTCGGCTCGGTGCGTTCTTCGGGTGTGGGGTGGCCCGGGGCGGATGTGGCATCAAGGAAGGTGTCGGGGCGGATGCGGGCGAATGCGCGGGGCGGGAGGGGGTCGGGGAGGGGAGGTGCGGGCGGGACGTCGCTGTCGTTGTCGTCGTCATTGTCGTCGTCCTTCCTCCTTCCCCAGCCGAAGCCCCAACCGAAGTCATCCTCGGCATCTTCCTCCTCTCCCTCTCCAGGTACGGGCCCATCGAATACAAGCACATCCGGCAACACCGCGTTCACGTCCAACGGCACGTTCATCGCTTTAGGCAACACAACCCTCGCCAACACGTTCCCGCTCGCGAGGAACTTTTGTCCCACAGGCTTAATCTTCATATCCTCTAGCTTGACATCTCGCAGCACTTTCGGTTTTGAATTGGGACCCGGGAAAGACGCTTCGAGCTGCAACGAGGGTAACAGCGGTGTGGAGACGAGCACGGGCGAGGGGAGCTGAGCGAGGTAGTTCTGGACCAGGGCGCCGAGGACGGGCGAGGCGGAGGCGAGGAAGGGGAGTAGGGAGCCTGAGAGCGACAGGGTGATGTTCGGATGTGTGAGTCCGAATGGGGTCGTCGAGACGTTTGCGAGTGGGATCGCGGCCGATGAGGTGTTGGGGCCGGGGAGGGAAACGGTGAAGGGTAGCGAGGGCACCGTGAGGCTGATGTTCCATTCTTCTGGCACGGGGTTGAGGAGCGAGGCTTTGGCGTCGAGTGCGAGTGTTCTGTTGTGTCGTTGACCTGGGACGGTGGAGTTGGACTTTGAGGGGTGGAGGTTGAACGATTTGAGCGTTACGAGGTCGCGCGGAGCGGGTAGGGGAGCACCAGATCCTGGTGCGGGCAGGCCGGGTAAGTGCGGGACTAGTAGACTGTGCGTTTAGTACTCGTACAACATAGTACAAAGAGTCAAGACTTACTCCTGTGCCTTAATGAAAGCGCAACGTCCGTCCTGTCCGCCTTTACGAGTCTCCTCCAGCTCCTTTCGCGCAGCCCGCCTCCAGAGACGGCCACGCGCGGCACAACGATCTTGGCGGCGACGAATCCCTTCTGCCAGGACTCCTTCGCAAAGTCTATCCACGCCTGGACGTCGTCGGTGGGCCTTACACGTAATGGAACGCGTACGGGCGCCAACCACCCGTCTCCTCGTGGGGGTGCCGGGTTCAGAGGCACAGATACTGGCGGGAGGTCGATCGAGGCGAGGTGCACGCCGTCGAGAGAGGAGATGGATATTGTGTCGAGTGCGACGCTGGCGGAGGAGAGCCGGCCGATGCCCCACCTCCCCAAGCCCTTCCAGGCGCTCTGGAAGACGCTGTCGTCCGGGTCGTCCTTCACGCCTAGCGCCGCGCCTGCGTCGACGCCTATCCTCCCGCCCACTTCTACGTAGATCTCCGTCGTTCCTTCTGGTGTGTGCGTGATATTTAATACATCAAGTGAGTCTGGCCCGCGAAGGGCGAGTGCGCGGGCGAGGAGGTCGGCGGGCGGTGCTTTGGATGCCTCTGCCGCGTAGGAGTATGCGAGCAATATAAGCAAAAAGCCGACTACGAAGGATACACAGAGTATAGCGAGCAGAGCAGTGAGCAGACTTCTCCACGGCGATCGGTGTGGTCGGGTGTGACCCTCGGGGTCCCCGGACGAGGAGGCGGTGGCATAGGAAGATGTGGATGAGCCTGCGAGTAGCGGAGTGCGCTCTGTATTTGGAGATATTGGCTCGTCGTCGATGGATGTCGCGCGGCCTTTGCCTTTGTGCGACGCTGCTGCGGCCGCTGCCGCGCGGAGGCTCATGGGCGTTGTCTGCAAGCACGTCACCGGCCTCGATCCCCAGCCTGTACGGTTCACACGTGCTGCGCGGTTGTGGCCCTCGCTTCAGAGTATGCAGACCAGTTTATGGTCTTGTGGGACTGCCAGTGGTAAACAATAAAAGGGTATAGCGTGGGCAGCACGTGTGGCTCCTTGACATGCAGAGACAGGGGCTCCAGCACGCCATTACGGCCAAAGCAGCGCTTAGAGCCTACAAGCCGCCTGCCTTCCGCCCACCACGACACTCTTCTCGCTTTCTCGCCTTCTACTGCCTCCGTCTGAACATCGCTTACTACTAGTCCGGGTCCGTGGCTGACTCGCAAGTCCCTTATCACCCTATCACGCTCTATCGAACTCGGCCTCTATCCGTACAAGGCCACTCTCCTCCCATCACCCACAAACGCTATCATACCCACTACTTCTACTTTCACCATACATCTAAACGTAAACTTTGAACGCGAGTTGCGGAAATGTCACCCGCAGCGGTGCCCAGCACGAGCGCCAAAGTGTCTAGCGCCCTGGCACTGGCACGGCGGGCCGAGGACGACGAGGTGCGGCCGTACGTGATCGTCAGCGACCTCGGCAAGGGCTCCTTCGCCACAGTATACAAGGGATACCACGAGGTGCGCGCCTTTGTGCTCGTGGTGCAGAGCGGCGTTAACGAGGACGTTGCAGGAGACGAGGCGGGAGGTGGCGATCAAGACTGTCAGTCGCAGCGGGCTGAGCAGCAAGCTGTTCGAAAACCTGCAGAGCGAGATCGAGATCCTCAAGTCGCTATCCCATCGGCACGTCACGCGTCTCATCGACATCGTCGTGCGTAATCCATTGTTCTCTACCTTGTATACTGTGCTGACATGTTGTGTATAGCGCGCCGAACGGAATATATACCTGATCATGGAGTACTGCGCAGGCGGCGATCTGACCAACTACATCAAGAAACGCGGTCGCGTCGAGAACCTACAGTACGTGCCCGAACCAGGCGCGGCGCCACAATGGTACCCGCACCCGCGCACCGGCGGTCTGGCAGAGACGGTCGTCCGCAGCTTCCTTCGCCAACTGGGTGCGCATTCCCACTTATTCACATGATACGACATACTGAATCTATGGGCAGCCCGCGCTCTCAAGTTCCTGCGCCAACGGAACCTCATCCACCGGGACATCAAACCCCAGAACCTCCTCCTCACACCCGCACCTCCCTCCGAACTCGCCCGCGGCCACCCCCTCGGCGTCCCCCTGCTCAAAGTCGCAGACTTCGGCTTCGCGCGCTCCCTCCCAAACGCAATGATGGCCGAAACGCTCTGCGGCTCGCCCCTCTACATGGCCCCCGAAATCCTCTCCTACAAGCCCTACGACGCCAAGGCCGACCTGTGGTCCGTCGGCGCCGTGCTGTACGAGATGGCCGTCGGCCGCCCGCCCTTCCGCGCGCAGAACCATATCGAGCTGCTTAAGAAGATCGAGGTGGCCAAGGCGATCAAGTTCCCGGACGAGGAGCCGCCGAAGGCGGGCGTTAAGGAGGAGGACAGGCCCGTGCCCGTCCCGGAGGATATCAAGGCGCTTATCAGGGCGTTGCTTAGGAGGATGCCGACGGAGAGAGCAGACTACGACGCGTTCTTCAAGTCGCCCGCTCTGGCGAACTCGAAGTTCCCGCGCCCGGCGCCTGTCGAGCCACAGGTGTCTCAGGACGGGAGGGAGCGAACGAGGACGCAGAGTAGCTCTAATGGAAACGTGAACGGGAATGGGGTTGAGAAGGAGAGGGTGGAGTCGAGAGTTCCCGGGGAGATTCTGGAGAGGCATCTGGATATTCCGCCTGAAGTGCTCGATCCCAATACGCTCATCCCGCCAAGCAAGTTCCGGTTCAGGAGGAGAGCGAGTAATGCGCAGGAGGACCTGGCCCCGCCGTGCGTATCACTATCCCTCGCACTTCATGGGTCTGATACTGAGTTTTTTGTAGACCACCACCGCCCGCGCTTGAGCAGCCGAAGAGACCGAGAAAGGTTAGCGAGGGAGAGGTCATACCCGGCGAGACGGAGGAGGATGGGCTGTTGAGGAGAGAATATGTTCTCGTGGGCGATACTCGCGCGCTGGAGTTCAACAAGGCCGTAGACGGTACGCATTGTCCTTTCTATTTAGACGCGCGCGCTAACATGGCTCATATCGCACAGAGATCACCGCCGCGCGTAGGCGCCCAGGTCCGCTCGTCGACCGACACGGAGCGCCCGCCCCAACACCACTCGCCCTCGCCCACTCCCCTCCAGACCCCGACTACTTCGCCGCCTCGCCCACCGCAGGCGCACCCCCACCCAACGCCATTCGCTCCCGCCCTCCATCCACATCCGCCGCACCCAACTCAACAACACCAATTCGCATACCCGACCCTACACCCGGTCCATCCTCATCACCACCCACATTCCCGCCACCTCCAAATCCGCAACGCGCGAGCCCTGGCACGCTCGCGAGGAGCCCGAGCAATGCGTTGAGCAGGGCGTTGAATCTGGCGAGCAAGAAGCTGTTCGGGGCTGTACCTTCCAGTCCAACTAGCGGGAGCCCATTGGCTGGGACACCTGGTATAGGGCGAGATAGACGGGACAGCGGGAGCAGTGCGGGCGGCGTAAACGGCTTCGCGAATGGCGTCAACGGCGTGAGCGCGGAGGGAGACCCCGTCGAAGACGAGCTCCTCGCCGCGCTCGAACAGCTCGCGCAAAAGACGGACGTCATCACGCGCTGGGCCGACGAGCTCTACGCGCTCGTCAAAGCCGTCCCGCAGAAACCGCTCCCCAACCCCAAAGACTTCGCCCCGCGCCCACACGAGTCCGAGAAGGACGCGCTCAAGCGCCAGCGGTCCGACGCGCAGGCGGAGTACAACGCCGTCACCTGCGTCGCGATATACATGCTCGTCATGTCCTTCAGCCAGAAGGGCATCGACGAGCTGCGGCGGTACCAGAGCCACATGGAGATGCGGCATCCGACCGGGGGCGCGGACGACGGGTTCGAGCTCAGCGCCGGGTTCGACGACGCGCTCGGGTGGTTCAGGGAGCACTTTTTGACTTGCAACGACCGCGTGGCGCTCGTGAAGACGTGGTTGCCCGCGTCGTATGCGGGGCCGAGGAGCTGGGTCGACGAGCTCGTGTATAACCGCGCGCTCGCGCTCTCGCGCGCTGCGGCGCGGAAAGAGCTGATGGACTCCGCCGCGGCGCCGGACGAGTGCGCGCGGCTGTACGAGGACTCGCTGTGGTGTCTCTACGCGCTGCAGGATGACTTGCTGCAGAAGGGCAACCCGTTTATGGACGAGGACAGGGCGACGATCGCGACGTGGATTAAGCGGACCAAGTTAAGGCTGGTGAGGTGTAAGGAGCGGATGGGGATGAGGAGGGAGGAGCGGATGAGGGATGTGCAGGCGGATCGGAATTTGGATGATGTGGTGAGGACGCCGGCGCCGTGGGATGTGGAGGGGTTGATGGCGCTTAAGAAGCAGGGCGGCGCTGGGGCGGGTGCATAGCACTGAATGCACGCTCTTCTTGTTTCTTGGACTCGCAAACGTGGATCTCATACGCTCGTCATTCATACCTCTCCCATTCCCCCACGCAGGACGTGCCCTTCTTGATCTAATCTATAATATGTCTTCACCTTCCACGCAGACTCTACCCATCATGCTCTCTCGGATATCTTTTCTTTCTCCCTCTGGTTCTACACGCACGCCCTCTCACCCATATAAAGACATACCTTGTACTTGTATCCGCTTCACACGTACCCTCGCATCATCACATATAGTTCTCTTCTCTCTCTACTATGATCGTTCTCTGGACTCGGGTTCAAGCTCTGCGTTATGACTCTGCCGTTTTTCTTCGTATATGTTGTACAGTACTAGTTGACGAACGATTATGCTTTGACATGCATTCCGCAAGTGCCTCTTTTTGTTATGCACCCCAGGCTCGGCTATACATGCCCTGTCTAGGCGCCTAAGCGTTTAAACGGTGCTACGCCCGGCTAGACGAAGCCCGTGTGTGAAATCTACGGGGAACTTCGTCTTGCTTCATCTAGGCCCCTACACCAGCATCGTGCAAACGTCCTATTCTGACACTCGTCTACTTGAGGTACATGTACTCAGTGTAGGATAGGCCGGAACGCAGTGGATGGGTTGTGGTGGGCTGATGGGTCAGTGCAGGTGACATCAAGCGCATGGCGTGTGGCGCGAGCGGCGAGTCTTGGTTTGAACCACCATCATGTCCTCTTCTCGGTTTCACATCACTACTCCGTACGACCCGTGTCGCACAACCCGATGCAATAAGCTTACCTTGAGCTCAAGCAGCCATATGCAGCGAGGTTCAGAAGACCCTCAGTTCTGGACACGATCGGCCGAAGCCCATCTCAGCGCATTGCCCGATTCCCTCTCCGTCGAGCAGCTTCAGCATGAGCTCGAAGACTGCAAGATGGCACTGGAACATTCCGTGACCGAACTTCGGCGTCGCATTCGGCGCAAGAACGGTCGTGTCGGTGGTCTTCCGGTCGAGGTCCTCGCCCTCATATTCTCGTGGCTCTCCGTCATGGATCCGATCGGCGAGGTCGACGTGGACGCGTTGTTCGATTCTTCCTCTGATGGCGAAGAGTCAGACTCTGATTCACAGGAGGAAGATGATGGGTATATTGAGACCCAAGAACAAGAGGAAGAGGACGAAGGCGACACTGAAAGCGCATGGTCTCGCGCCTCCTCCCAATTATCCGAGGACCCTGCTCTCGAGGCGTACAGATACAGCTTAGGATGGGTACTGGTCACCCACGTTTGCCATCACTGGCGAGAGGTCGCACTGTCCGATCCTGTGTTATGGTCCAATATCCCCATGCACATACCTCTCCCTTGGATCTCTACCCTTATTGCTCGCAGTGGGACGGCCCCCCTCAACATCGAGTTCACTGGAGAGGACAAAGACGATACCATCCTCTCACCTGATTCTTTAGGTCTGCCGTGGCTTGAAAGAGCTCGCAGCATCGTATATCAGCATTATTGGAGGAATGAACTCCCGTACTTTCTCAACTCTTTTGAGGCACCCATCCTCGAGAGTCTGGACACTACAAGCATCTTTGCTGCTTCTATTCTTGAATCAGGCTCCCTTCCGGCGCTCAGATCACTCGATGTGTTCATGCTGGATCGCCTTCCAAACAGGCTCAGCGGCGGTATATCTTCACAACTCACGAGGTTGTGTATTGGATCTCCGTTATACATCCAAATACCGCACAGAGGATTAACCCTACACCCAACCCCCTTCTCATTCTTTAAGGAATTCATGCAGTTCATCAGTTCTCTGGTGAGAATAGAGATATTGGAATTACACGGGTGTCTGCCTAGAACCACGCCCGCGCAATCTGAGGATGTGGAGATTGTCTCCTGCCAAAAACTACGTCGCGTCACCTTCACGGGTTTCGCTATGGACTGCGCCCAGTTCGCCCGCCACCTTGTGACCCCGTCGCATACGAGCTTCCACATCGACTGTTTCGAGGATCAATGTGATGGATATCGATCTTTGGCACTGGACAGTCTTGCACCCCGTACCAACTTCAGAACCATGGCCATTGCACTCACATGCCATAATCCCGACCTCGCGCAGTGCGTTCTGAACGGATCAGATCACGCACAGTCAGCACAGGCCGAGCGTACAACTTCCAACGACCGCGCATTCGACTCGCACGATGCGAGCTTCGATGCCGACTTTACACTCTCGATCAACCCGCGAGTAGACGGGGTGAGGAAGCCGTGGATACAGGGCCTTCCTCAAGAGCTATGCATGAATTTCTCGTTACAGAACGTGCAATCCTTGTCACTCGATTTCGACGGTGCATTGAACATATGGAGTACGGTCCACACTGAGGCAGAACTATGGCACCCATCCGAAGACGACACGCACGTCTGGGACGCCTCGCGCTGGGCCGATCTCCTTCGTCCGGCCATGCGGTTACAGCACTTGCGAGTGTTCTGTAGCCCTTCAGAGCGCGTGCCGGAGTGCAGCACCGTGGTCGATCTTCTGCAGGCGGTTGGCACTTCGGATGATCTTATCCCTAACATTCAATTGTTGGATGTGATCGACCTGGATCCAGATTTCGGCCTTGCAGCCGCATTCGACGCTCATATACCGGATAGTGCTACCAAGATGGTTAAGGATCCCAATTCACCCGACGCCCATTACTTCTTGCATCACTTGCTACTCAGGCGTCCCGCTCTCAACGTCAACCTTATCAGGCGTCGTCGTCGGAACTACCGGGAGAAGTGGTTGCTGAGGGACTCCGTCGCAACTGGAGAGTTGAAAGGGCGGATACACTTTGTAAACCAGGCTTTTATCCCATGAAAAGCCACGCGGTCTCGCAGAATACCACATGTACGAAGATACCGTCGTGTAGCGATCGACCTTGAATATTTCATGTACATATGCTGCTTCTCTCTCGACCTGTACATGAATAATGATTGCGAGCCGAAGACCCATGCCTGCAGGGGCGTGAGGGTTCAGCGAAATGGCCCCCAGAAAGAATAGTATATAGAGCAGACTGGCTGACGGTGTCCGTGACCATCGAGGCCTTGGCCGATGAAGGTGGGAAGCAAGGCGCGCCAACACGGAAGTCAGGAACATCTCAGCATCTGCTCAAGCGGGCCTATGGCATCGACGCTCACTGCGGACCGCCATGGGCCCGACGCTCTTGACTATCCCTATTTTGTCGCTAACCACTTGAAGAAGCCCAGAGGCTGTCACGTCGACCATAAGAAGCGCCCTGTCTCAGAACCCAGTACGACAATCCACATACGCTAGACCTACGAATGGCAAGGACCCACGATTGTCCGGACCCCCACACGTATGGACCCTAGGACGTCGAACACAGGATTCTACTCCTCGGTGAATCTCGGTCCTCGGAAGTTCCGAATGCCTCGTGGGGATCAAAACCACACGCTCGGAACGCTATAAAGAGTCCTCGAGACCTAGTGACCGCGCGTCATCACTATCATGGCGAGCGATTCGAACGACCTCCGCCTCCCCGCCGAGCTACTCCTGCAGATCTTCAAGAACGCCGCCGAGGCCAAGGACGTCGACGAAGGCGCGAAGACACTCTTTCGTCTTACGCGCGTGTGCAAACTGTGGCGCTCCATCCTATTCGACTACGGTTCGACATGGTCGGCGCTATCGCTCGCAAATGCCGACGTGACGGACATCATGCTGCAGCGATCCAAGAACGCGCCCGTCAGCCTTCACGTCGATCTTCGCAGCCCGAAGCGCTGGCCCGGAACTGTCGCCCGCGCGGCGTACAGTGTGCTCGAACGCACCGTTGGCCGCGTCCAGGCGCTTGTTATAGTCGGTAGCAGCGACGCGAGCTTCAACAGGACCGTCCTCAGAGGGCTATCCCATGGAGCTCTCAACGCTCTCACCACTCTCGAGCTCACATCCCCCAAGTCCGGACGGGACCCTGCTTTTCGCATCGATCCAACCCATCTCTCAGGGGCAGTTCACCTTCGGCGTCTCACTCTTCACAAGACTGAGCTGCTCCCTGGCGCCCCTGCTCTGCTTCCGGGTCTTTGCCACCCCCTATCTCATCTCGAGCTACGCGAAGTTCGCGGGATGTCCCTTTCGACATTGCTCGAGATGCTGGGTGCCGCGCAGGGCACTTTGGAGACGCTTGAGCTTAGCTCGCTTCACCTCACTGAGGACCTCGCGGCCACATCTCCTGGGACAATCGAGTTGCGTGTACTGGAGGAGTTGACCATGCATGGCATAGAAACTCTGGCGACGTCCGGGGCAGCGATTCTACCTTTCATCCAGCACTCTTCCACAGGAGGCATCAGGCCGTGATATGCGGGCTCAAAGGTGTTGGACACGAAGACCAAGTGACCTACATCAGCACAAAGATAGTCGAGCTCAGCTGTGGCGCAAACGATAGGAACGAGGGCGATCATCTCCCGGACACGCTTAGGCGAATACCCTTTGTTTTGGGCACGCGGCTCGCTCAGCCATGAGGCGGACAAGATGATATGTTTTGTCCCGGACAAAACGCATTGCCCTTTGAGCAAACGGACAAAACGTGTACTATCGTCCACGTTGCCCGCCTCGTGTCGGCCGAGCCCCTTCACGGTGCAAACAAAGTGTTTTGTCCCGGACAACACGCAGACCATACGCGGATGATACAAGCAAAGTAAACCTCGCGCTGCCCCTTCCACCATGCGACGCTGTCAGGTCACTTTATCCCCATATACCTTTCCTTTTGCCCTGGGATCAAGTGGCTGATGCCTCCTGTGTTCGAACGTCCGCTTCACGGTACACGTGCATGCCACCGCCGCAACGCTCCACGCAGTTAACTCACAAAGCATTTTGTGCACACATCTCCTGTCCCTCGGATACGACCTGCGCAGTGCGCTCCTCGACGCGGTCGGGGGCCTCTACGTACCCTCCGGGCTTCGTCTCCGCTGCTGGGCCCGCAATGCCGTTCCCGATGTATACAACCCGAACGAGCGGCCGCCTTCGATCGACTTACGCGTTACGAACACCAATGGCGTCTCAAGGCGCGCTGTCGCCACTATACTCGCTACGATGGCGAAGGCGGCAAACCTTTCCACCGTGTGGCATGCTGCTGTAGCACCTTCAGCGGCCACACTACCATGGGCACGTGTGCTTCTCAACGCGGCGAGCTTGTACGAGCTGAGCGTGTGCGGTTCCGACAACTTGCGCAACCTCCGCACCGCTCTCACCGTCAAGGAGAACGACCCTGTCAACGAGCACGACTTGTACATCCATGCGGAGATGTCGCTGTTGCCCGCCCTGCCGCGCCTCGTGACGCTCAATGTACACGGGCTCGATCTCAGTGGATCCAGCATCCATTTCGGCGACAAGCACGTCTTGATCGCGGTACTCAAGACCTTACTTCCGCGGCGCGTCGACGAAGTCTGTGTATGCTACAGCAATATGCGCGACGTCGACCGTCTTGATATCATGCCGTTCATCGAATCCGGTCATCTCATTTGGGACGGTTGCAAGCGTGGGCTTGAGCATCTGCCGGAAGATCCCTCGGTCAAATCCAACATTGAGATTCCGGTTTCGTCTGCGCCTAACCCTGAGGCTCCTTTGCCCGCCCCCGTCCTTCAGCAAGTGAACGTGCAGGCGGGAGAGGCTGGGTGGGGGGTGCTTGACGAGGAGGATTTCTCTGATATCGATGACGAGGAGGTATTCGCCGGCGATATTGGGCTGGCTTTCGATGGTGACGACGATGTATCGGACGAAGAGGAAGATCACGGTGAAGGTTGGGGGATAGATATCGTGTTCTGATTGACCGTGCATATCTCATGTACATCGAGTGTGTGTATTTGTACTGATAGGTTTATTCTTCGTATTAGCGATGATTATAGGACATTTACTGCGCATGGGTGGAAGTCCTTCGTGAGACGATCATGCCATATATCACTGCGACCACTCCATCCCGTGGCGCTCTATTGACGTCTCAGTATAACATGGCCTCGCATGGCGAGAGTTGTAGACGGTTTCGGGTGAATCTTAGACTCTGTGAAGATCAGAACGTGTTTGCGGGTATCAGAAACCTACAGTACTATAAGACCCTCAGGCGTGACTGACTCGTGCATACTAGTTTCCTGAACCCTCACCATGGCTTCTTTGGGCTTACCGATTGAGTTGCTATTGGAAGTCTTCAAGGACGCGACTACGGGCGGAAACATCGATGAAGACGCCAAGACGGCATTCCGCCTCGCGGGCGTTTGCAAGCGGTGGCGCGCCCTCCTTCTGAACTGCGGACCAGTATGGGCGGTGCTCTCGTTGAGTCAGAGGGAGACTACGAGGCTCATGCTCGAGCGGTCGGATGGCGCGCCGCTCGTCGTGCGCGTAAAGCTGTCGGGCGTCCGCGGGTACCGGGAGCACATGTCGAACGCCGTTTTCATCCTTGAGCAAGCGCCTGGGCGCATCCGAGAGCTCTCCATCTCGGCGGACGACTATCATGGGTATACGGGGAGAGTCGTCGAGAAGTTCTCGGGGCAAGCGGCTACGTCGCTCAACACTCTGGAGCTGACCTCCATCAAGTCTGCTTCCCTGGCTGCCTTCAAACTCACCCCTGCCAACCTCTCGGGAACCATCCCTCTGCACCGCCTTACACTCCACAACACCACATTTTTCGATGGCTCCGATACGCTCCTACGCAACCACTGCACGAACCTCGCACATCTCGAGCTTCGAGCCGTACGACTCTCGTTGGTCGCTCTGCTCGACGTCCTCGCCGCAGCGCGGGATACCTTGATCACTATCAAGCTCGACTCATTCGTCCCCATCTCTACACCAGAGCCGCAACTTCAGGAGCCGATCAATCTTGCAGCGCTCGAGGAGCTCGTACTGGATGGCTTAACGACGTTCTCTGGGTCAACGGCCTCCACGGACCTTCTGCGATACATCAACCGTCCCTCTACGTCCCGTCTCAGCATGATCATCCATGCTTACGACCGCCCTGCGGCCGTGTCCGCCGCTCTAAATGCGTTGAATGCGCACCTGGCCTCGACTGGCTACAATCTCCGGAGCGCCCTACTCAGCCCCGTGGAATCACCTCCTAGTACATCTGCTCAACGGCAGGGTATACGCCTCCGTTGTTGGACTTCCCGCGCCATTCCCGATGTCTACAATATCGATGAGCACTCGCCAGCCGTCCTTGACCTGAGTGTCATTCGGGTGGGCTCACGCAGTCCTGACGTGGACGTACGCGTGTTGGCATCATTGGCGAGGTCTGCCAATCTTGCAAGCGTGCGCAAGGTGGCCGTAGCCCCCTTCGAGTATCGAGTACCATGGGCGCGCGTTGCAGCCGAAGCGACGCAGCTCAATGAGTTGAGCGTGTATGGTCCCGACAATCTACGCAACCTTCATCACGCTTGTTGTATATCAAAGCACCAGCCGGTAGACGGCCCGGACGCCCCGGTGTATACGCACGCCGACCTCCTCCCGCTCGAGGCACCGTTTTTGGCACATCTCACGACACTCAACGTCTACGCGCTCAACCTCGATGCTCTGTCGCCCGAAAGCGACATGCACACGCTGACCTCCTTTCTGCCGACCCTTCCGCGTCCCGTGGAGCAATTGTGCATATGCTACTGCAACATGCTCAGTGTCGACCGCAACGTGATCGAGCCATCGATGGGTGGTGGCACGCTTGTATGGGACCACTGCGAGCGCGGGCTCGACAGTGTACCCGCGGAGGACGAAGTTCCAGCTACACCGCCCGGAATGGTCCGCATACCCGTCGGACCTGTCCATCCGCCCGCTGCGACGCTCGAGTTTGACCAGATGCCAGGTCTAGGAGCAGAGGACGAAGTGGAAGATCAGGGGATGATGGGATTCATGGACAATGACATGGATGAGGCAGGTGAACAGGCGCAAATGGGCATGATGCCAGCGCCTGCGGTACCATGGGATATGGAGATGCCTATGCCTGGATTCCAGTGGCTCGATCCACCGGGGTTGGGTCAAAACCCGCCTGTGCAGGGTGGTGCACAGGCTGGACCGGCGGCTAACGTAGGAGAGCTGCCTGACGCATTTGCGCACCTCCCCGTAGTGGTATTCCCTATCGTTGCTCAAGCAGAGCTTCTACTGACCATACCTGCTCTCCAGATCGTCAATCACATGCCGCACCTGCAGCACGCAGCCCAAGGCCCATGAATGGTTGCTAACACCTGATATCACATTCGGAGAAGACTTTATGGAGGAGCTGTCATTCATGACTAGAAAATGTACCGAAGTGATCTAGTACTATGCTATTTCGACATTGGCTATCATGTCTCGTGTATTTGCGTGCTGTTTAAGCTTGACTAGACTCTTGCACATCTGGGCTCTCTCCTCATCTGGAAGAGCTAGAAATACGAGCAGTGTAAGACACATCGCCATGACTGCTCGCGTAGAGAAGGGCGCTCGCGCGGATTGAGGCGACCCGAAACCGCCGGAGTAATCTAGCAGCGAGATACCACGTAAAGCTGATGTCAGCGACGATGGGGGATTGAATTTCATACAGTTTGCAGCTAAGGCAGCTACAACACGCGCCTAGAACTCAAAGCTCTTATTTAGATCTTCGTACAGATGCTCACGCATGCCTGGTGGAAGTCGGGGCGTGCCGTCCGGCTGAACGATATATCCTGATAATGCAGGCTTCAACACTTGAGAATTGATGCGAACATGAGCAGCGCTCACGAAAAGGCATTTCAACGCTCTCTTTTGAGTTGAAGACTATGGTTGGGTGATCCTGTACTGTACGTCAGGTTCAGGTCACCACAGTGATCTTACTGCTGAACGCACAACGTAAGGGATCTCCGAGAGTTTCACTGAGTGTCATAGTGATTCAGCCATAGGTTTTCCAAGCCTTTCAAAGAGGGTCCGCCTACCTTTGTCTTGAACGATCGTTTTTGTGACACCAAGCGCGGTATCAGTAGTCATCTGTATCGGCCCCAGATGACGTCCTGGAAAGCCCAGCGCGCGCAACTCGCCAGTTCGGTCGCGTGGGGGATCATCGCCTACAGCAACTTGATGAATATACGCACTGAGCGCTATGTGGCGAAACAACATGTCACCTAGAATGCCCTGATTTCAAGTCGTATAAGTGAGGCACTTGAAGCTTCTCAGCGAGGAACGCTCACGCCAAACAAGAACCAGTCGAATTCCTCGCCGTCCTCGGGTGACAGTTCCTTAGGCGCCTTCGGGTCAAGCAAGCAGACCCTCTCAAGCGGAACACCGCGGGTTTTCATGAGAGCGAGAACGCCCTCGGTGTGGCACTCTGCGTCAGAGAGGTCCGCGTCTTTCCGCGCGGAAAATGTTTGTGTCAGTGAGGCGCCTGCAGCTTTCGACAGATGCGTAAACTCGACGGATGAGCCTGGGCCTGCAAATGCGCGCATATGCTGCCGTTGATACAGATGAGTATGCAGCCATGTACTAGTTTTCGTGTGACCGGCGAGGACATTGCTCACGCTATATTCGAGTTCTACCCAACGCGGTAAGGCGGAGGGTGTCTCTTCGTCTTCCTCCATATGTTCTGTGGACGCGTCGATCAACCCTAGGCCTACAACTTACGTGGGCAACCGAGTACACTAACCGACTACGTATGTGAACCCCATCGCTGTACACGACGGAACCGCACCGGAAGGGTCTTTCGAGAAGGTGATGATGGTTTGAGCACTTGGACGACGGAGACGCGACTCTGCCGCTACCGCGGGAAACTCGCAGCTCGGCATCGGCCGCGATCATATCCTTCCTGCTGATTATCTTGCTCGACCGCGCAACCCCCGCATCTCAACTGAGTCAAAAGGCAGGTGATAGTATGCGACCTCTCACGACGTACAAGAATTCTGCACAAGGAAGTAACAGTACGTCCTATACAATGCTTCACGCTCGGCGGAGCTGCGCTTCAGCGCCTGTTCCAAGCCTGGAATTACTTCTCAGCTTCGCTGCCGGCCCCCTTCACGACTAACTTGTCCGTGGCACCCCATATTGGGATCTTCCCCGCGCCCGAGATATCTCGTGCTGGTGCCTTCCCCACACCATCGATCGGGCAGAAGCACACAAACCCATCGGGGACGGAGAAGTGGGGCTTGTGCTACTGTGGCATCCTACGGCAAAGACGATGTCAGCTGCAGTCCTAGCGCAGAGTCAGTGCGGGTGCCACACCTATCGCGGACGGATCGTCCTGAGCTCTGACTGAGCAGACTGTATACAAGCGCGCGGGGTGGCTGCGGTCCTTGAGCATGAGCTTGCAAGGGTCCATGACGATGAGGCTAAGATTCGAACGTACGTACGTGCTCGCGGAGGTCAGTGTGGGGAGATACGGTATATGCCGTTGTAACTAGCGGGGTAGATCTTCACGTTCGGATCCGCTCGGGTATACGGAGGAAGTGACCAATGAGAACGGCACATACATCATTCGTCGTGTGCTGTAGCTGACTGACTAAAGACGTTAGTAGACGCGGGGTTAGTGCGACAGGAGAAGGATGTGGCACGGCACAAGGACAGAATCATGGGCCGGAGAGGTGGGCCAGTACAGCTGCATGGATGTAGCCTGAGAGGCCGGGCGAACGTACGACTTTCGGGGTTGGTGTTGGTCGGTATTGATTCGCGCCGCAAGTACGTCGAATAGGCGCTGCGGCAATTGGGTCCTACAGCCGACGTGTACACGTACAAGCCTCTGCACCTGTCCATTTACGCGTTGATTCTTTTGATTCCTTCTCGGTTGCTAGACGAGCCGAGTCGCAGAGAGCGAACACCTGACGGCCGGGCCGAGTACAAGCGTGCGTACACAATCAACGAGAGCCGCGAGGTTTCTCTGGAGATGAGGACGGGCATCAATTCTTGGTCGGGTGACCATCGCGCGTAGGAATTGTTTACATGTTCGTGTACTGCTGCGCGTTGGTTGGCCTGCAGTGTGCTCGACAGCGTACCAAAGAGGCAACTTGACAGTCTGCGCAGACATGAAAAAGAGCGACCTGAATGCCATAGCAGCCCCGTGATGCAACGTAGAAGCAGATGTAGGTGCGAAGGCGGGCCGGTCGCGGTACCCGTGTATTAAGGAATTAAGCAGCCAATGACAGGCGTAAAGTACGATTAATGTACTAAAGGGGTGTTTCAGCATATGCGGTCAGGTGCCAGAGCGAGCAAGGCAGGCGCGTACCGAGTTGTGCTATGCCGAGGTGGCCGCCTTTGCGGCTGCCCATGCTTCGCGCGCCTTTCTGCGCTCAGCCCTTGCCGCTTCCGACCTGAATTCGCGCCGGCGCTGTTCACGGATCTGCGATAGGCGCGCCTCCCTCGCTTCCCGCGCCGCCCTCGTGGCTTGCGACAGCTCTCGAGCGCGCTGATGCTTCTCCTCGCGCGCCGTCTGGTATGCCGCTTCAGGTGCAGTCTGCGCATCCGAAGCTTCGCGTATTGCCAAACGCAGACGCATTCCCTCGTGCCCCAACAACTCGTGACGCGTGCTTGCAACGTATTCGTCCAACCCGCCCGGGTACTGCGATCCAGACGTGTCAGCCGCTGAGATGAAGTGTGTACGTAAACAGTATGCATACCTTCTTTATTGTCTTGAGCGCAGTAGTGGTGAGTTTAACGTGCACATGCTTGTTGAGAGTATCGGAGAATAGGTGTTTTGACTGCACGTTCGGTAGCCATGTCCTCCGCGTCTTTCTGAGCGAGAAGGGCACATTGTTTCCGAACTGGATCATTTTGCCGTGAAACAGACCAAGTTGTGACCGCTTGAATGGCTGGCCGGCGACATGTGCAGTGAGGCGGGGAACAGTGGGTAGCATGGTGGTCGGCGGCAGGCTGTTCAGTGCTCGACGCGTCCAGTGCGCGAATGGACGCGCCTACGGGCCGTTCCGGCGCCCTCTCCTCGGGGCAATAGAGCCTCTCTCGCTTCTTGCCCTCATGTGTCCGTCCCACGACGATGTCTCTGTTTGTCAACCAGATCCGAACACGAGGTGGCCAAATTTCCAGTCTATCTGAGGTTGATGCTGGCATATGTCGCGAAGGATAAACAATCGTAGCGGGCCGACTTGCCGCCAGCCGCGTCGTCAATGAGCCGCCCAATTGGCCACTTGCATTGTTTTCAAGGCCCACTGCGTGGGCGGGCCTGGCACGGCCCTAGTACAGGCGTGTACTTTCATTCGGGAACTTGGATATCTGTGCTCGGTGTAACTTCGCGGGGAGCGAAACGAGAACGTGATTGGGCATGAAATAGGCGGTCAAGACGCACGATCAACCCCGCATACGGACCCCTGGATTTATTGCTGCCGGGTGGTTCCCCTTGCCTGCGCGTGGACGTACAGGCCACATAAAAGTCCCCGGCCGACTTTTTGGCATTTCCGAGTACTCTCCCCCTCGGCCTGCATATACACGTTTACCGATGATGACTCTCCTGGCTCTCCCTTCCGACGTTCTTCTCCATATTCGCGACAGCTTATCCTCTGTCACCTCAGATGCAGGTGACCCCAGCCTCAGCTTGTCCACGCACATCGCCTTCTCCCGCACCTGCCGTGCTTTGCGTTCTCTCTACGACTTTGTTTGCGACGAAGCCGAGGATACCTTCTGGCAGGCGGCCTGCGCTTCATCAGGCTTCGGGCGACCTCTACGTCGGGAATCTGCAGGCACTCCTCACGAAGAGCCTCTCCCCAGCTGGCGGCAGCTGGCTTTGCTCATCGTCGCTCATCACGACCTGTGCGAAATCCGGAGTTGTAAAGAAGCTAGCGCTTGGCTAGGTATGCACCAACTGTCTCATGTCGGCGCCGGAAGCATGTAGCACTGACCGCCTTCCCTTCATCAGGTCCGCACAGCTGCCCCGGCGACGCCACACCAGCGGAGCCCCTCGCGTTCCACCCGCTCTTCTACTACCTCCACTTCTGTCCTCGCACACATGCCCCCGACGCCGCCAGCATCCTCCTCACGCAACTTCCCACTGTGCCGGGTGGGCGCCTACAGGCTTACGCGCCACTCGTCGGACATTCACGTGCGGCATGCGCGTTCGCTACTTCACCGCCCGTACGCGCAATCTCCCTGGTTAGGCAAGGCGAGCCTGAGGAGATGGTTGCGAGTGTCGCGAACCCGGACGGTGTGACGTTGCTCGACGTGAACCGTCTACTGGCCGACACCCTTCCGCGCAATGGCGAGAACATGAGTATTGTCATGGCCCACTATCATACCTTACTGGAAGCATATGCGCGCCCGGGTTGCTCCTTCGCGGACACCCTTGCACAAGGCGCGCACCGCGGTTTTCTGCGTGACCATTCGTGCGTGTTCCGTTCAACGACCCCCGCATGCAGTGCGAACTGACCCGAATGACGGCACAGATACCCTTATCTTGACAATGCACCGCTTCCGCCTGTTGAGGACGTCCCTCCGGCGAAGTCTGCGTCTGCCGACTCGTTGCTCGAGTTCCGCATAACGCCTCCGCGCAGACGCAAGCAGCGCCGCAGCAGTCGTTCGCGTTCGCGTTCGCGCTCCCGATCCGGTTTCTTCATCTACGACGATGCTGCCGAATCGGAGTAGCCCCTCCCCGGCCTCCCCTCTCAAGCCCCGCCCCGCCTCAACGCCACCCCGTCTCGTTGCATATGTTCCACCCGCATCTGACCCACCATCCGCATTATCATCCACATACCATCACGCTGCCGCACATACCCCAGCATCTAATCCTTCTCTCTGACACCAAAAGCTTATCTGGAACACTGGGACTACGGGTACGCCTATACGACGGGCCCGTGTGGGTTGCTGCATTGCATTGTTTTCTCGCAGTACATAAGAAATTGTATGATAGTCCTTTCTCCTCGGATCCCCACAATCATCGGTGTTTGCTGAGGATCCCCACGTCGCATGTACATAGTCGCACACCCCCGATACTGTACAACAAACATCTCGGCCATAAGTATGCCACAACTCGATACATCCATGTGTGACCGATGTTTCAATCTTCGCTATCGCCCCCCAGGCAGTGTTCCGTTCACAACAAGCTTTTGGAAATCTCGAGCTCGTCGAGAGCCGACCGCGTCTAGCCACGCACTCGAGCATTGCCTTCAGTTGTCTGGCCACCGATGGTATGACCGCATAAACCGGAACTCGAACACATCATGTTTGAAAGTATCTCAGTATTTGGGCGGCCGGAACGATCGTCGGGGCCCGGAGACGGAGACTTTGGCGGTGTCCCGCTTCGTGCGCCCTTCGGAGAGATGTATCACTCAGCTGCGGTTGGCCGGACCGATCTCGATCACACGGCTCCGAGCGGAAGAGTTTCGCATCCGTCGTCCGAACCCGAACCGGGACCCATGCTTCAACCTCTTCTTGATCTTCCACCATAAAACTCAGACCCGAAGAAATATCGATGCTTAGGGCTGTAGTGATGTTCTCCGAGAGGTTCCTGTGCTTCTACTTCGCCCAGCGGCGAAGTCATGTTCTCCCAAGGACGAGCGCTTCGCCCTAGCGTGCGCGCCCACGGGAAACGAAGGGAAACGATGATCCTCTTTGCGCCTCCGAGATATAGCCAGGAGAAATGACCTTGCGGTCTATAGGCTACCGCTCAGCAGAAGTGCAGGGCAGCATGATGTCCTCCCTATCTGCCTGTTGTTTATGGCATTCCGCGCTCGCACACGGCCCTTGTATCCCTCCAGAAGCATTGCGTCTGATCCGTACTCTGACCAGGCGCCATGTTATCAGGATAAGCCCCGCGCACACGCTCTTGTAGCTGGAGCTCTCCAAAGCTGGACGCAGTGCACCTTCTCCCCGCACGCCACCATGTCAGAGAAGTCTCTCGCGACCTCCCCAGCCCCGCATACGAATGCGGCAGAAGATGAACGCCTGCGCGCGCTGGGCTATGCGCCTCAGTTCCGGCGCGAGATGAGCCTGTATGGCGTTCTAGGCATATCCTTCTGCGCCATCGGCATCTTGACCGGAATGTCGAGTGCTTTCCAAACGGGCTTGTTCTCGGGCGGACCGCTCGGGCTGTTTTGGGGGTGGAACGTAGGTGCTACTTCAACTTGTTGTCTGCAATACATGCGCTCTCCGAGCTGCGCGCGATTTATAGGGTGGTTGAATCTCGGGGGTTGTATGGCATGCAGAGTGAGATGTATTCCGGCGGATAATCATCGCTCGGATATGTCTGAGGGCTCCTCATTGTCGGCCGAGTAAACACTCGCTGGTTTGGAGTATCGAGTGCGACTACTCCAGGAGGAGGATATACCGGTGCCAATAGTGGTGTGGGGTCGAAATTCTTCTCTTACTCCAACTTCTCCGCCTTGGACACAGCTGACCCGCTTTGAAGATATGCAGTCTATTCATGTTCCTCATAGCTCTGAGTCTCGCCGAGATATGTTCTGCGTAGTACGTCCTATCTCCCACATGCTCCGAACAGATGACTGACGGCTGTGGCGTGTCTAGCCCGACTATGGGCGGCTTGTACTTTTGGGTTTGCAAGATGAAGCCAGATGCGCCCTTCCTTGGATGTGAGTCGATCACTCGAAGTCCTTCGACCCCACAGCGCCTATTTCGCTTCAAGGTCTACATCCTTCCCTTCCAAAGTCCAATCCCACTATCCTCCTTCGCCTGAGAGCATCACAGCTTCTGGAAGGTTGTCGCGATTAGTGCGAAGTCTTCGTTCCAATGACGACCCCCCCTATCCAGCCATCTTGCATGTTGCCTCGACTCGCACTCATTATTGAGGTCGAACAAGTGCTGACTATGTGATAGTTTCTACAGGCAAGCTCCGACATTAGGTACCCAACATAGAGTGACACGTTCTCAATGGTCCCATATCAGGATGGCTCTATACGATTGCTATGAACTTTACCGGAACGTCTGGAAACTTGAGGTATTTACACTCTATCGCCTCGTAGAGAGCTCGGACTGACGAGCATCCGTATAGCACAGCGCTCTACATTGCATGTCTTGCCGAGATTGGCACGGGTAGAACTCTTTCTCGCGTCGAGATCGCGGCTATAGCATGGGGGATCAACATCCTCTCGGGCATCATCAATACAGTCGGAACCAAGGCCATTGGGCGTATGAGCGCGTTCTGCGTATGGTGGACGCTGGGAGGAACGGTCTTGATCGTCGTTGCTCTGCTTGTGAAGGCGCCAACGAAGGCACGTACCCATACATATCCAGAACGTACATCGAAGCTAAGGGGCATATCGGCACGTAGAACACCGGCTCTTTCGTATTCACCGACCTAGAAAAGTGAGTGAGCGTATGCTGCTCCATGTAGACCATGACTTCTTCGGTGTATTTACGCTTCGGTTGTCAGTTTCACGGGGTGGGAGAGCAAGGGATTTGTCGTACTCCTGGGTTTTCTTCAGGTACGTCTTCGACTAACGAGAGTGGGCCGTAAGAGACAACGAGAGCACATCGCTGACCAGTGACATGTGTTCTATTTCGAGCAGGCTGTGTACACGCTCGAAGGCTGTGAGACCGCCGCACAGGTTGCCGAAGAGGCTGTCGACGCCGCCCGCCTTGCACCGATAGCCGTCGTGGGCTCCATCGCGGGCTCATGGCTCATCGGGCTTGCGTATCTCCTCGCACTGCTCTTTTCGATCCAAAGCATCGCGGCGGTTCAAGCATCTACGCTAGCTCTGCCCATTGCGCAGCTTTACCTCGACGCTGTCGGCCGCGCGCTCGCACTGACCTGCATCGCCGTCGTTATGCTCGCACAGTTCATGGCCGCCGTCACCGCTTTCACTGCCAGCTCTCGGTTGTACTATGCCCTTGCCCGTGACAATGCCGTCCCTCAAGCACTCCGCGGCCCCTTCATGGCGCTTAACCGTACCCAGGCCCCCTATGTTGGCGTGTGGTTGAGCGTGCGTATATCCTTGTATTCCAGTTAACATGAAGCCTGACGTATGTGCGCACAGGTACTTGTCGGTTGCGCTATATCTTGTGCGTACATTGGCTCCGCCATCGCAGTGCGTATTATGTCCGCGAGTCGTCACGGCTTGCGGACTCCGTTGCCATCTTGGAGAAGTACAATGCTGACAGTGCCGGCAGTTCAACGCGATCCTCTCGTCCGCAGCCATCGCGGTCATGCTCTCTTACCTCCAGCCTATCATCATACGCGTCTTCTGGCCATCAGCGTGCGTGCCGTTTCCCCCGCTGTCGGATTTCTCGCGTGCGCGCCATCCCGAGACGGCTTGCTCAGTCGCGCGGAAAGCGCTGACTCAGGTTGTCGTGCGGCACAGGCTTGCTGATACTTGTTGCTTTGTTTGCGCAGGATGCAGGAACGTGGTCCGTTCACCTTAGGCAGGTGGTCTTGGACGGTGAATGTACTGAGCATGCTCGTGCGTCTCGTGCTCCTAAACCTCGGCCCGATCTCGTACTGACCCGGCCCTCTGCGAGTAGTTCACCGTATTCGTCTGCGTGCTCTTTGTGCTACCGACCGCGCGTCCAGTCACGGCGCAGAACATGAACTACGCAATCGTAGCCGTCGGAGGAATCATCGTGCTCGTGGTCCTTGCTTGGTTCGGATGGGGCCGGCACTCGTTCAAGGGACCGGTGGCTACCGCTGCGCTGGAGCAACAAGAGCACGAACGTGAGCAGACGATGTATGGGGAGAAGGAGCCAATCGCCGCTGTAGATGAAGTCTGATTATCGAGAGGAGAAACCCAGGGTTGATATACGGCACGATTGCGAGTGGACGGAGGTCATCGCGAGCAGAAAGAACCCTTGCGCGCGCGAGCAACTCATCTTACCCTGCTCAGGGCATGTCACTCCTACGGGTTGAGAAGAGCGTAGGTGGGATACAGCGGAAGAGATTGCTCCCGCAGTACGTAGACACCCTGAAGCAACCCTGGTTACAGTTTGAACTTCTCCACCAACCGTAAGAGCCCCGTCGTAGCGCGCCGGAAGTCTCTTTTGAGAACGTTCCTCCCATCGTCGAACGTACGAGGCCTGGTGGACACATCCAAACGAACTTGAGCACACTCTGAGCATCGCAGCGGGAAGATGCAGATGAAGGAGCGGCTAGCGTGCGGCCAGCCGCGGTCGCGCACTTGCCTAGAACTACGTTGTGGGTCCAGGTGGACGCAGCGGCGATGTTGTGGAACATTCATTTCGAAGATGCGGACAAAAAGGGAGGCGGTGTCTCGTTGTCCTCAGTCAGGCCACTTTGTAATTCTTGCGAGGCCACCAGTTCATGACCACCGGTAATGAGCACATAGTACGGCCCGAGGTCCATTCTGTCGAACAGGACACAAGCATGTGGGCGCGGAAAGAAAGCAAAAAGAAGTGGCGCAGGGCCGGCACGCTGGGGCCACGAGGGAACAGAAGGGCCAAAGACGGAGTCAGGGCGCGGCCACCGGGGTTCCTACTTAACCACGAGCACCTAACGAATTCACGACCAGCCTCTACCAGTACACCCTCCCTGAAATAGACGCTCTATACTACCAAAATGCAATCAGCAGCTACTACTCTCGCACTGGCATACACTGCCGCCGCCGCCTCAAGCTCCAAGTCAGCCTCGCCGCCGTCGCTCCGTACCCGCACTCCGGCTTTAACCTCGACCACACCGAGACCGATCCCAAATTCGTACTGGGCAACGCCCCTATTACTCGCATGCGAGTACCCGTACACGCCCTCGCTCTGCCGCACGACCCAGCAGAAGCTCGACCTCATTCTCCAAGCCGGCATCCGAACGTTCATCGACCTCACGGAGGACGGCGAACTGTCACCCTACGCGCCGAAGCTCAATCAGAGTGTTACCCGACTTGGCATCGACCCTAGCGAAGTGGAGTACCACAACTTCCCGATCCCAGACAGGACAGTTCCCGCGGACCCGAACTTCGTTGCTCGCATCATGTCCGTTCTGGCAGACAACGAGCGCCGGGGACGAAAGACGGCCGTGCATTGCCGCGGCGGGATCGGCCGTACCGGAACCGTCGTCGGCTGCTGGCTTGTCGAGTCCGGCGTAGCCAAAGATGGACCCGAAGCGCTTGTTATCATCGCTCGGGAATGGCAAACGGTGGAGAAGTGCAAGCGCTACCCGATGTCGCCTGAAACGGGTGGCCAGTGCGAGTTCGTTCGCAACGTGCGTTCCTCCCCACTTCTTCATGTCGAACATGCGCTGACAATGCAATCCTCTCTATTCAGTTCTGCCCGTTGCTCCACCACGCATTGCAACGTGCAACAGTGCAAGCGGCATAGGGCATGAAACGGCCCCTTTACCTGCTGCCGATGCGGCTGGTCCGGTGAGCATGCTTTCCTATTCTGGCTTGGCAGCCACCTTACTCGCTCCCCCCTGCAGCGAACGGCGAATTCCTCTCCTTCACGTCTCGTTTCCGTCTCTTCTAGAAGTTAGAGAACTGGACAAGACGCTTGGACTTGACAAACGGGCGCTCATGTACGATGTTCTACCTAGACGACTGCCGCATGCCTCCGTAACGTCTCCTATCCTTCCTTGGGCTCCACCATCGGTTTCCCTCGGCCTCGCTGCGTACCCCAATCCCCCATCCCTCGCTTGCACGAACATTTCACGTCTTCTTGGAATTCCGATCATCCTTATCTTCATTTATCTGCTGCATGTCTCTTGTGCGCACTGTTGTCCCCTATCGCTATACTTGCTTTCACGCAATCTAGTCTCTTTTGAACATATGCATTGCATCGGCAGTCTTTGTCTACTTACTCCACAGAATGGGCTTCACCGAGAGCTAATCCAACTCCGATATTTCCGAACCTTGCCCTGCGAACGCTGTACTCTCGTCGATGGCAACGCAGCAGGCTCGTTTGGTCCGCAGTGCGTCTTCCGTCCCCCGTCACTCAGCACAAGACATCATCGACCACTGCGACGCACTGCATTGGCGCCACAACGGCAACGGCGTGGCGCGCTTGGCGCTAACATGTGCTTTCTTGTGATCGTCAACTCACCGATGCATATCTGGACGGCCCGATCCCGGCTATGCTCTGTTCGCGCTAACAAGTATGAACGCAAAGACATCGTCAGGCGACTCAAAAAACTTGTGGAATGCACTGATGAACACCATGGACCGTGTTGTGGCGCGTACGGGTAACAGGGCCATCGTTCGCGTGACAGCACTGACTGAGCCAGTCGAGTCACGATCGTACGGTCTGTAAGCAACAATGCTGACAGGTTTGACAGCATCGCGCAGAGGCGGAGTATTGCGGCGCAGAATTGGCGCGGAGAATGCTTAGAGAGCACGGCGCGGAGGTCGGCGCGAAGGCGCGTGTCTCTTGCAGGAGTGGCGGACGTGCGCAGCTGAATTGCATCGGACTGTCTGGAAAACATGGCGCGAGGAAAGGCGGCAGGTGATGTTGAATGTCTACCGGATCGAGGTGAGGTGACTTCCATGGTCCATGATGGAAAGGAGAACTGAGGATGAAACTACAGCGAGCCCTCGAGCGGCCCGCCCTAGGGTGGGAATGCATACCCACTCCCCGTGCCGAATTTTCGAGCCTTGATTGCGGACCCAGGTATACCAAGAGGGATATGTGCCGGCCACACATGATCGGCCGCTCGCTCGGCTTATGTTGATTCGCGCAGTCACTGATCGTACAGTATGGCATTCACTCAATAGTCGTACATGGAGCCTCTTCTATGTCGTCCTCTCAGATAATATACCTGAAGTCCGGCGCCCTGTCCCCCATCTCACGAAGCTGTTTGTCCGTATAGGAGATGCCCCCAGCAGCGGCGATGGCATCACGTTGACGGTTGATGCGAATGTAGTTCAGCACCACGAGCGGTGTCACGACAAGGCCGATGCCGACGAACATGAACATGATTCCGTCTGTAGGGAAAGGTGAGCATATGCTGATGCGAGGTGGAGGAACAGCGACTGACGGCCCAGAATGTATCGCGGTGCATCTTGAGTCCGGTATACGTTGGAGGCGATGGCGCCGGCGAGGTTCCCAACGCCAATTTGTACACTGCTCGATAGGTGAGTGTACGCACTCTCAATTCGTAGACACGACTCACGCCATGCCTACACCACGTTTGTACTGTCCGGACAAGTTATTCCCAAGCCTGTGTACACTGTGAGTCGAGTAGTGATACGCAATGGAAGATGGACTCACCAGGCAACAGTGCCGGGGAAGCCCGCGTACGTCCCCGTTGTGACAAGGAACGCGCCAAAGTACTTGACGCCGGACGGTGCGTTCGAGATGTTGATGCCGAAACCGATGACCAATAGCAAGAGGCTTATGAGGATGAAAGGAGAGCGCTTCTTCATGCGATCTGACATGACAGCGAAAATGACGAGGACAATCGCTGCAAACAAGAGCAATGAGCTCAATATACAGGTCCGAACTCAGGTAGACGTACTTGCGACGATGTACTGGGAGGGATGTCAGTCAATGAGTCGAAGTTGTGGGATCAACTAATGACGTACTGGTGGTACGGTAAGTAGATTGCTGATAGCAGCCGTGAAGCCAAAAGTAGAGATGATCGATCTTGCAAAGGACAGATTCAGTCAGTGGTCCCGAAAGGAGGCATCATGAACGTACGGAAGGAAGAGCGAGAACCCGTACACTGAATGCATGTCAATACGTCATATCGGAGATATAGATCAGACTTACGGGGGCCGATGATGGACATGTACACCAGAATATGCGCGTAGACCTGCCAATCGGTGAAGGCAGCCAGGAGGTGTCGTACATGAAAACGTTCCTCTTCTCCGACAGATGAATTGTCGAACTCTGAGGAGTGAGAGTAATGAGTCATCGTATCGTATGTTGATGGTAAAATCTTCCATACTTTTCTTCCAGACCAGATACGAGCGCTCTTCTGGCGTCAAGAAAGCTGCCGTGGATGGGAAGTCGACCAGGGCAAAGAAAGCAACAATACCGACGAGAACAGTAGCGATGCCCTCGAGTATCTGCATCCGTCTAAGCAACTATATCAATAGCCGTGGAAGGTGTGAATACTCACAAAGATCCATGACCATCCCTCAAAGCCAGCTACGCCGTCCATGAATGAGATGCCGAATGCCAAGAGACCGGAGAAGGCGCCTGCCATCGAAGCTGCCCCGAAGAAGATCCCAACACGAAATTCTGCGACCGGTCTGAGCATACGTTCAATAACGTTCGGGTAATGGCTCACGGAGCATCTCGCGAGGATACCATAGCGTGAAGCTGTCGGTGTTCAGTTACGACCTGTTACGGAGTGTTGTGACATGATTTACTAGTAGACGACGCCTGGGAACAATCCTGCTTCGGCTACGCCCAGGCATACGCGTACACCGACAAGTTGTGGGTAACTACAAGAACAAGTTAGAGCCTGCTGGTCGTATGAATGAGTCCTTCGTAGAAAGACATACTTCTTCACCAGGCCCATGAGAGTCATGATGGTGCCCCAGGTCACTGTGATCAGCGGGAGCCAGCGCGAGGGGCGGAACTTCTTGAGGACCAAACTGGCCATGTGGTTAAAATAGGCGAAGATGGGTGCCAATGGAGGTGCTTACTTTGATGGACATTCAAATAGACAGTACGGCTATGTCAAAATATGAGCGCCCGGAAACGGTCACAACACAGCGCGCCTCACAATAAAGTACATCGTCTGTACACCTCGTGAGTTATCTCTCCGATGCTTCGGGGTTCAAGACATACCAAGGCGATGTTGTACTTGTTGCCGGTGAGGTCGAGTTGCGTCGTCAAACCCTGGATCTTTGCATTTCCTAAGAGAGAACGTGAGGTTTTACCATCCTAGGCGCCTAGAACCTCGAGTACACACCGATGTTGCCTATAAGCATTATTCAGCGTGTAGACGACAATTGAACGCATGCGCATGACGGACCTCGATCAAGGAATGAAAGAAGATACATCACGGTCAATATTGGCATAAGCCGCATGTCGACCTTGCGGTACAGAGCCTTCTCTTGGGCCGGTGTGTATGCGGGAGGCGGCGGCAAGGTACTGTCACCACCGAAGTCCGTCACCGATACTCTGTCATCCTCACTACTACGTTTCTCCGAGTTCGCGCGCTCGATAATGGATATGTCGTCCTTCTTGTCGCGGATAGAGCCGCTTGTTCTTGTGGGACTGGGCGGAGAAGGCGTCATGACTGGCAGCTGATGAAGGGACGGGGCCGCTCGGGGTACCAGTGCGAGGGGTCAACTATCTATATAGTGGCGTTATTACGGGAGCCTCTCACAGGTGGCACGGCGTTGTGGGACGTACCGCCGAGGCAGTGAGAAGGACGAATAGGTCAGGTGCACAGATAAAGCGCCCTTCAACGACTCGGGAAGTTCTATGCAACTCGATTCAATCATGACGAACGCGGTCATGGGTCGGCGCTCATCAGCACGTTAGCGTCTGTGGACGACGCTCTGCCGTCAGGAGATACTGTCGTAGACTCATCGACCCCAAACATGATGCACAGCGAGTAACCAAAATGGAGATGCTGGGATTCATGTTCACGCGGACTTGTATATCTGCTTTGCGTCCCTGAAGGACACTCATCTAGCGACGGACAGGAGTGGCTACCTTGGGATAACCAGACCATAGGAAGCTTATCTCCCTCCTCAAGCGGATTGGAATGAGGTTTGAGCGACAGCATCATTCGGAAGGTGGGACTGCGCTGCCATGGTGGTGGGAGGAAATAAACCGCAATCGTCCTGCCGCGGCAATTCGGCTGCAGATCATGCCAATCATGTCGCTCGACCATCCGTCGGGATGAATATCGTCTCTGCCTACTCTACACGGTCGTATACAGTACAGTAGCTACGGAAGCTAAGCCTGTGATCTAACTCTTTTCTTCAGAGGATATACCTGAAGTCCGGCGCACGGTCCCCCATCTCGCGAAGCTGTTTGTCTGTATACGTGAGGTTCCCAGCCGCGACACTTGTATCGCGGTGACGATTGATGCGAATGTAGTTCAGTACAACGAGCGGTGTCATGATTAGGCCGATGCCGACAAACATGAGCATGATTCCGTCTACGCAGATGGGTCAGCGTACAAGTGCTGACACGCAAATAGAACAACGGACGTCCTAGGATATAGCGAGGCGCATCTTGTGTTCGGTAGACGTTGGATGCGATGGCACCCGAAAGGTTTCCAACACCAATGTGTACTCTGCAATGTAGTGATGAGCGCTGTTTTACGAGCAGTTGCCGATCGAGACTCACGCCATTCCAACACCACGCTTATACTGTCCAGAGAGATTATTCCCAAGCCTGTATTCAAGGGGTAATCAGCATGGCATTCTTGATACCATCAGCTTGAACTTACCAGGCAACGATTCCAGGGAATGCCGCGTACGTCCCCGTAGTACAAAGGAAAGCGCCGAAGTACTTGACGCCGGATGGCGCGTCTGAGATGTTGATACTGAAGCCGACGACGAGTAGCACAAGGCAGATGAGGATGAATAGAGATCGTATCTTCATACGATCTGATAAAATGGCGAAGGTGATAAGGACGATGGCTACGAGTAACGGTCATCAGTTCTTGTGCATCATCTACGCCTGTAGAGGAACGCACTGGCGACGATATACTGAATCATAGGGTGAGCCGTGCCTGATGAGATGTCAGCAACAGAACGAACCGGTGGTACGGTGAGCAGGTTGCTGATGGCGGGTGAGAACCCGAAGGTATTGATAATCGACCTGTGCAGCAATGAGGTTGTGCAGCAATCCCGTGTCGGGGGTTGATGAGCTCACGGTAGGAAGAGAGAAAAGCCGTAGACTGGACGAGAATCAGTACAAAGCCTAATCATAGCTTACGCAATTGAACAAACGTACGAGGACCGACAATTGACATGTATACCAGGATATGCGCGTATATTTGCCAGTCGGTGAATGTACTCAGGAGATGCCGTATATGGAAGCGTTCTTCCTCGCCGACGGAAGAGTTATCAAACTCTGTAGAAGGTCAATTCGGCAACAATACTCTCTCAGACGGACACTCCACTCACTTTTCTTCCAGACGAGATACGAGCGCTCCTCGGGTGTCAAGAAAAGTGCTGTTGCAGGAAAGTCGACAAGGACAAAGAACGCGGTCACGCCAACGATGACAGTGGCGATGCCTTCTAAGATCTACTTCAGCGTCGACAAAGGCATGAAGTACAGACAACGTCCATGACCGACGAATATCCATGACCACCCTTCCAGACCTGCTATACCATCCATGAAGGAGATCCCAAAGGCCAGAAGGCCAGAGAAGGCGCCCGCCATTGAGGCTGCTCCGTAGAATATACCAACGCGAAACTCTGTCGTTACCGTAAGCTCATGATACATAGGTCCAGCATGAGCCGTACGTAGCATATCACGGGGATACCATAGGGTGAAGCTAGAGAACGGTTTTAAGATGCCCAGCTCTTTAATAGAAGAGTAAACGCACTAATAGACGACGCCAGGGAATAGACCTGCCTCCGCTACACCAAGACACACGCGCACACCAACTAATTGCGGGTAGCTATACGAATGTCTGTTTTAGTCTTGTGCGTGAGCAGACACTGAGAGGTCGAAACGCACTTCTTGACAAGACCCATAAGAGTCATAATCACTCCCCAGGTCACTGTGATCAATGGAAGCCAGCGCGAAGGGCGGAACTTCTTGAGCACCAGACTGTGTAGTGTGTCAACATCGGGGAGGATACCTTGCGGGATTGTACTCACTTTGACGGACATTCAAACAAACAATACGGCTTGCGATGGAAGTCAAGGCATGAGCGAATTCGAAGCATTGCGTACTTACGATGAAGTACATTGTCTGCGAGTTGGTGTCGGTCAATTGATAGATACGATGAGTACGGGTAAAGAAGACGTACTAGGGCAATGTTGTACCTATTTCCAGTGAGGTCAAGCTGAGTCGTCAGCCCTTGAATCTTTGCGTTGCCTGCATCGACACCGTGAGTCCAGGCGACGACTAGTACAACGCGGCACTAGCCGATGTTGCCTAATCATCCTACTGTCAGCATTCTGTCAACACACTATAGTAAAGGACGAACCTCGGTCAAGGAAAGAGAACAGATACATGATTGTCAACATGGGCATAACGCGCATATCGACCTTATGATATAATGCCTTCTCCTGCACTGGCGTCAGAATGGGAGGGGGTGGTAGCGTACTATCTCCGCCAAAGTCCGCTACGGATACTCTATCATCCTCGCTGGTCTCTTGCTTCTCCGATCCTACATGCTCCACCAGAGAGACTTCTTCCTTCTTGTCATGAATAGAGCTGCGGGGTTCAAGCGGGTTAAACGAAGAGGATGACATGATAGCTGGAGGCGCAGGGAGGTTCTGATTCCCCACATGCCAGGCTGACTGGCTATATAACTTCTGTGACGGCAGTCTCTCACAGGGGACAATTTCCTGTGGGTTGCAACATGGAGTGCGACAAAGGGGAAGGCAATGCGGGTCAGTTAGCTTGTTCGATGTCATAGAAGCAGACAGCAGTAGGGCGAAAGTGGTCATGGGTCTACGCCCGCCAACCTACTAGGTTACTTTCACGTAGCATTAAGCACTGCAAGTAGGTCGTTCGAATCAGCCATACCAGCATGCGAGACGCTCAGGCATGCTGGCAATGCGTTCTACGTTCTGCTTAGCATCAGCTCAGGCTAGCCAGTTCAATATATAGATACTCACCGCTTAGCCCGTATACGTATGTTGGTTGGGACTGAGAATGTGTAGGGCTTATCTAGCACCTCATGAGAAAGCGGAATTGCGCAACTCGCTGGCCACTCAATCGGCCCTGAGTGCATCATAGTAGCCGGACATCAATGCGCGTCAGCCGAAACCATGGCTCTATAGCGTCATCACGCTGTTTGAAAAAGGACAGTAAATATATAACATGGGTGTTACCGGACGTGAGGCGACAATGGTGGCGGGAGACAAACCGCACCCAATGTGGCGAGCCTCGTTTCTGATTCGGCTTCGTGATCCGGACCAATCATGACATTTGACCACGTGTGAGAAGCAGATATATTCTCATAAAGCTACAGTGGGCTATGGCGATACGGTACGGTTACATGATGAATGGTGGTAAAGTACATTTGCAAACAAGGTGTGTAGATCCTGGAGTCGTGGAGACGCTTATACAGCAGTTTAGATGTCGAACGCGTCGGTCTTCCAGCCGGCACGGCTCTCCTCCATGCGTTGTTTCTCACCCACAAGTTCCTTGAACGTGCGGATTTGACGGAGACCCTCCTTCGCACCCTGGCGCGCCTGCTCAACGCCGTCCTTTGCAGCGCTAGCGGCATCATCGCTCGACGGTACACGGTCGGTGTCGATATCCACCTGATCGGCAGCCTGCTCTGTCGCGCGCTTCGCCTTGTCCGCAAGTGGCTCGGAGAGCGTTGCATGCGGGCCATGCTTCTCGGGGCTGAGGATCTGGGGCTCGGCGCCGAGTGCAAGCTTCGCGTTGCCCTCAAGCTCCTTGACAGCACCGGTGCCCGTCGCCTGCCAGCCGCTGAAAACGCCGCCTGGCATCCTGCGCAGACGACCAAGCTCGCTCCAGATGGCGCTGGTGAGCGCGGGGCCGCGCGAGAGGCCGGCGTCCGCAAAAACTTGGCTGCGCTCGGAAATGTCGTAAGCCAGATGGTCGGCCGTCTCGAGCAAGCCGCGGATTTGCTCAGAGAGCACCGTCTGGAGCGTCTCGCGAAGACGAGTGTTGAGCAGAGGCTTGAAGACTGTGAGAAGGACAGCGTGATTCGACTGCTTGACCTCGAATTCGGCGTCGGTTGATACGGATACTTCAACTTTCTCGACACGATGGAACGCCTGCTTGATCTTGCGCTGCTTCAGGCCATCCTCGGTGTTGGGGATCAGACGGAAGCGGACGTCAACGTCGACACCCTGCGGCGGAAGCGTGACGGCAACGACACCGGTGTACTCGGACGGCCCGACAGTGGCGGTCTTGTCCTTGTAGTAGAAGGAGATGTCCTCAAGCTGGAGCTGGAGCGCCTTGATCTGGAGGTGCGTAAGCGAGCCGACAGCCGTCTTCGCGGCAGCGTCCTGAGGAGCGGTGATGTCGATGTCGGTGATATTGCGCATGAAGACGTGACCGGGTAAGAGGTTAAAGGTAGAGATGTCGAGGTTCTCAAGAACGAACTCAGTCTCGGGGTCCTTGTACTCCGTCCTATAGCAAACGTTAGACACAGACATGTAGGCGTATGGACGTGGGCAAGCTGACCTCGGAATCGGGATCTTCTTGAGCAGGCCGACCGCCCGAGGGAGGTAAACATTGAAAAGGTCCTGCCATGCCCAAGCAGCCTTGTCGATAGCGGACTGAATGCCAGTAGCAGCAACGTCAATGAAGAGCTCTTCGAGGTCCTGACCGAGCTGAGCGTGCGCCTTGCGGATATTTGCCAGCTCAGGGTCGTCGCCGAGGCGCTTGCTGATGACCTTGAGCTCGCGGCGGAAGACGTCAACGTCGTCGCTCCACTTCTTCGACTTTGCGTTCTCCTCGCTCGTAAGATTCTTCCAACGTGTGCGAAGGTCCTCGCGATGGGCCTTAGTCTCCTCGGAGTCAACCTGGCCGACCGTCTCGATGTTGCGCTTGAAAACCGTCAGGAAGTCGGAGACCCATTGCTGAATGTCAGGGTCATTGCGGATATCGACGACGAGCGCCTGCAGAGAGTTGAAGAGGGGCTCAAAGCTCTTGCCACCAGCGACATTCTCGGCCAGGGCGCGCAACGCCTTGAGCGCCTTGATGAGATGCTGCTCCTCCGTCGGATCGTTGATAAAGGACTCGAGAGAAGTAGCGGACTGTGCACCCTCGACAGCGGCGTCCCCAGTGATGTGCAGCCACTTGTCGATGAGATCGAAGACAGTGTCGATCGCAGCACGGTAGTCCTTGTCCTCGGAAGCACGTTTGGCGATCTACGAAATGCGTGAGTATTGAGGTCGATATCGAAACATGAGATGAAAACGTACGCGAGTGCCAGCCTCACGCATGCGGCTAGACGAGCGGTCGGCAAGCTCCTTTGCTTTCTCAGCGGACTGCTCACCAGCACCGATAGCAGTCGATCCAGCGCCCTTGAGAGTGTCCATGCCCTTCTCAAACTTCTCCTGCGCGGAATCCTCGGGCTCATTCTCAGCCTTGCGCTTAACGCCTAGGGCGTTACGCTCGCCAGCCTGAACTTCGTCTTCTGTCTCGCGCAAGCTACCAGCGGCGCTACCGGCGTTCGAGCCGAGGGATTCCAGGGTGTCGGCGAGCGAGAGGCGCAAGAAGGAAGTGAAATCGCCGAAGACGCCAGACCCCTCTATCGATGCGCTCTGCCAGAGCACTTCAAGGGAGGTGCGGAGAGACGAGGCGATGGCGCGAGAGTCGCGCTTGGCCTGGCGCTTGTCGACGTCCGTGTCAACGTCCAGGGACGCGTCGGAGATATCCGCCTGACGCAAATGCCAGATCGCCTCTTGGAAGAGGTTGTCGCCTGCAGAGTATGGTCAGCACTTGGATAAGATTGAACTCCGCAATGACGCTTACGGTTCTTGTGCTCGCCATAGGTCTTGTACGTCTCGAGAATATTGCGCAAGTCGCGTGCGAGCTGCTTACCGTTCTGACTGAGCTCGCCTCCGGCGTCCGATTTCTCGATCTGGAGAAGCGAGCCCTGGAGTAGGTAGTCGACCCAAGCGTCGACTTGCTGCTGGGAAGGCTGCTTGCCGGCGTTGAAAGCGGCGGCAACCGAAGTCGCCTTGTCCATGATGTTAATGTTGGTCATTATGAGTTCGTGTCTTCGTGAAAAGTTGAGCGATCAGAGATTCGAGAGGAAGAGAGAAAGGAGGCGAAGTAGGTAAAGACTCGCCCCGCAGGATTGTGTCTTATATTCGCGTCAGTGCGTCATGTCACTGTCACTCAACTTCAAGACAGGGACACGTATGGCTCCGCACAGAGACTGGGCTCCGTGTCACCGCGTGCGTCATGCACGCAAAACCACCACCAAGCCGAAGACGGACGCGCGTCGCGCCATTGCACGTGATTGACGCGCACCTGACCGCGTTTCATCGCCATCAACTTCGCAAGCGTAAGCCAGTACGCCTTCGCTGGGCACTACTCAGTCAGGCTCCCAGAGCAAGATGCCATTTTTCTGTCCCAGTCCCCTACGGTATAACAATATTCCAGCAACGATCCTTGCTTTTACATGATGAAGTCTTGGAGCCCACCCATCTCGCCTCCGGGCCCGCCGACCTCCTGTAGACCGACGTCAGCGGTTCCGCATTCAGAGTCACTCGAGAACTTTCGAGCACGTACCTTCATTCCGATCTCCCAATAACTGTAGATGATGGTGACGGCCATGAGGATACCTGTGCCGCTGCCAATTGCGCCCATGAGGTCGGCCGCGACGGATAAAAGGCCGAGGACTGCGCCACCGAGCGCTGCAGCAGTCGGAACAACGCGTTTGAGCTCCTTGTACATCGATCCCTCACGGTGACCAGCCATAACCTGCATTCTGGGTAAACATGATGGTAGTCAAGGATATGATACAGAGTACGTACGAGTTGTTGCTCCTTGAGCTGCTTGGCGATGTCGCGAGGTCCTGTGCCGGAAACTTCGATCCACGTCGTCGAGAATGCGGCGCAAACGAGGACGATAAATGCGATGTAGACAGCAGTGTGGATCGGGTCCGTGAGTGCCTCTGTCAAGGTGTGCGGAGGCGACATGTAGTATGCGATACCGGACACGGCCTGGAGCTGCGGCGAGCCCTCAATCGGCTCCCAGACGCCCAGAAGGCGCACGAGAAGGTTGTCGGGGAAGCGACTGGCGAGCATTTGCGAGAGAATGAAGACGTTGCTCGTGAGGGCGCTCTCGAGCATGATCGGCATGTTGGACGTATAGAACAACTTGACAGGGTACGAGCCGCGCTGGCCGCGGAACTTGTTGCTCTTGATCGGAATCTCGATGCGGAAGCCTTGAAGGTAGATGACAACGGCGAAGATGGCGAGTGTCGCGACGAGGTTCATCACGTTGGGCAGGCGTTCGCGCCAGAATGCTTCGCGGAGCGCACGACCCTTGTCGTTCCAAGTGAACAAGAGGTGGAAGAGCGAGACGATAGCGCCTTCGAATTCGGGTCCACGGCCGGTGTTGATAGTTGTTGGAGAGAAAGCCTTCCAGACGATGGACTCGCAGATGTTGGTGGCGATGAAGAGGGAAATGCCGGAGCCGAGACCGTAGCCCTTTTGAAGGAGCTCGTCGAGCAGGATGACGATGAGGGCAGCAACAATGAGTTGGATGATGAGTAGTAAGCAGACGCCAGCGCCAATGTCGCTTGGTTGACCGTATAAACCGGTAAGGACGTAGACAGTGGCCTGACCGAAAGCGATGATGAGTGCGAAGACTGTGATAGCGTTGATCAGTACGAGTCGCGTGACCAGACCCGCAATGGCAACTCACGTTTCTGAGCGCCGCTGAAGAGCGCACGGTCATCCTTGAGCGAGAAGTCGACCTCGATGAGGTTGGCACCAGCGAGGAGTTGCATGATCATACCCGAGGTCACGATGGGAGTAATTCCGAGTTCCATGAGCGTCCCGCGGTTAGACGCGAGGATGACACGCATCCAGTAGAGCGGGTCGGACGAATCCGAGGACATGATACCGTAGAGCGGGACCTGCGAGCACACGAGGAAAATAAGGAGGGTGACTGCCGTCCATAGCACTTTCTGGTTAAATGGGACCTATAGAAAGATGAGACATATTATCATCGGAATTTGCGACTGTAGCCCACCTTGCGCTCTGGGGACGAGACCTCCGGAAGGATAGGCAGGAATGGCCGGACGAGGTTCAGAAACCGAACTACGTCCCCGATCAGCGAGGTGAGCTACTCTGCTCGTAAGATGCACTTACACCCGCTCATGACTGAGAAAGAAGGTCAAGGAGCGGCGGGGGTGGGAGGGGATGGTAAGAAGTGAAGGTGTTGGTCGTTAGCTTTAGAACGCTCAAGCGACGTGGCGAGAACCAGCAACACGCGTGGCACCTCATGGTCTCGGCGACAACGAGGACGTGGCACTGGAATATCTCGGCGCATTATACGTACAGCTCGCAGGACCATGAAATATGCTTTGCTTGTACGTCGGAGGAGCTAGAAATTCCAGCAATATGGATTGTGTATCTATGTATGTATGCAAGCCAACCGCGTTTAGCGGTGCTGAGTCAGCGTTCTAGAATTCCGAAATTGATGCAAGCGCCCGACGCGGCCCCGAACTCTTCGCAGCAAACTCGCCGCTCATCCTCTCGTCCGTCCTCGCCACCCGCTTTCACGCCCACCCATCTTCGCAATGGTGCGTACGCTATGCCAGTACACCTCTTGACATGCTGGGACGCTGCTGGAACGGATGGATCGGGCGCAATGCGTTGGATTGAGGGAGTAGAAGTTGGATGACGCTAACTTGGAGATATTCTACAGGCCTCCGCAGAGCTCGCCGCAACGTACGCCGCCCTCATCCTTGCCGACGACGGCATCGAGATTACCGTGCGTGACTCTTATATCTACGCTTCGAACGACCTGAATCTGAAATATTGTAATAGTCCGACAAGATCGTCGCCCTCACCTCCGCGGCTGGTGTTGAGCTCGAGCCCATTTGGGCATCCCTTCTCGCCAAGGCGCTCGAGGGCAAGGACGTCAAGGCGTTGCTCTCAAACGTCGGTGCCGGTGGTGCCGGTCCGGCCGTTGGCGCTGGCCCTGCTGCTGCCGGTGGTGCCGCCGCTGCCGACGCCGCACCAGCAGAGGAGGAGAAGAAGGAGGAGGAGAAGGAGGAGTCTGACGACGACATGGTACGTTCTCTTGCAATATATTTGTATGCGGAAATGCTTATTTCTCTGTGCAGGGCTTCGGTCTCTTCGACTAAGCGTGTCTCTCTTTCTTTCCTATGCTTTCCGGTTCATCGCATGTCATCCCGCTGTACATTCATGCCACATTACCGCGCCTCCGTAAAAATGCTATGACGCATGCAAAGTCTCTCCTGGCCGATCATGATCTCCCACAACCATGGCGTGTACCGCAAAGTCTCAGCGGAGGGAGTCAGCGCATTTAAAGCAGTTGAAGTGATGTCTTGGGGCTTAGGGCTCGCCGATGGGTGTCGATTCAGCTGATTTACTGGTCTACTACAACAGTCAGAATCGTAGTGTCCAAGTCCAAAGAGCTAGCTCTCTTCGGATGCCTTGTAGCGATGGCAGATTCGTATACTTCTTTCCTTTCCGTCATCTTGTCTATCATCCACGCAGTCTCCGCATGTTCCGTATCATGTCGAAGGTCCATCGCCTAGAGTGCGGAATTCACTGCTCCACAGGTCCGGTCGCCAAAACCGCATCTCGCGCGCGTCCGGTGCTAACCAAGGCGAGTCGCCTGCTCCCCAGCTAGGCGTGCAGTCGACTACCTGGCGCTCGTCCCAATCAAAGTTGTCGGATCCCGCCCACGACTGCAGCAGTCGCACGTCTCGCTCGGCGATCTCACAGTTCCTCACCGATACGAGTATCCGTTGCGACTTCGCTGTAGTGCATAGTCGGGGTAACAACTTGATGCCGGCAAGGTCGTCGCCGATCGCCATTGATTGTAGAGATATGTGCTCCAGTCGCTCGGACTGGAGAGCAGCTTCGAGGAAGGGAAAGGCGGCTGCGGCGTAGAAAGCAATGGATATAGAACGCGCGCGAAGGAGACGCTGCAACAGCAGTGGCACCGTGAATGCACTGACGGTAGTGTCATGAGGTGCGAGCCTGATGCTGTCTACACCATCGGCGACGAAGACTTCATCCAACGCATCGAGTGGGAGTGCAACCAAGAGGGCATGGAGTGCCTCGCCATACACGGGCGGCCATATCGCAGGCTTGTGCCCTTGATACGGGAGCGGCAACTCGCTCTCTTCGAGGGAAATATCAACGATCGGGGGCAAGACCCCGGACCTGACCGCAGTGAGACCGCTCGCCACGAAACGAAGACAGCCTGCGGGATTATCACGGGCTGGTGCGATATCGAGGCGAGTGTAGGAGGCTTGGAAACCCTCATGATTGAGAGCATAGAGGTGTGAAAGGAGACGGGAAAGGTACTCTCCGGGAGCGAGATCTGAAATATCTGCGAGCTGGATCGCGTAGGAGCGGTACGTGGAGTGGGGCGTTCGGATAGCCTCGGATGCGGTGGCGAGTATGTGTGGGGGCGCGCATATATGCAGATGCATGAGCATAGGTAAGAGGACACGGTACGGGGCCGCTGTTCCAGATTCCCCCAGACCAAATCTGAGGTCAAGCGTGCGAAGGCATGGCAGCTTCGACAACATGTCGGTCGCATTGGATGGGTTCTTCCAAAAGGAGTTCTTCTCATTCACGCCGTCGTACACATGCAGGGTGAGATGCTCCAAAGGATATTCGTCCGGAAGACGGGGAGCAAACAGCTGCACGATTCGCTGATCCAAACGACGCTGGGTGTCCCAAATTCCATCCTGCCCTCCAACGTCAAAACGCAGTATGAAAGATATTCTCGTGCATCTCGGGATGGATAACTGGTGTAGCATGCAGGATAGGAGAGCGGGGCTACCCGTCAAGCACAGTTGCTCCATATAGTTCAGATGAACCATGATTTGGGCGTTGGGCATATCGTGATCCAGATTCGACCCCGTGGGCAAAACCGCGTCGCGGAGCGCGAGTGATTTGAGTTGTGGCATCGTGGCCAGAGCATTCAATAGAACGTCCAATGTGGGCCATACGGTTTGTGGTAAAGTGAGTTCGAGCGCCGTAAGCAGTGGGAGATCCCTGAGAAGGGAGGCACTGATGCGTATCCTGTCGCCGTGTAGACGTAGTTCTTCCAAGAGGCGGAGTCCTACAGTTCCACCAAATGCGGCTGCCTCCCTATAATCACCGTAAGGGAGACCGGGTTTGTATAGGGGAACGCCAACATATCCTTCCTCCCATATGTTGAAACTCCGAAGATGCACCGCCTCCTTCATGATGCCATGCGACTCCCTCGTTGCAGGACAAGTGAGTTCCTCGACCCGAGAGGGCTCTCCTAGCGCTACAGACAGGGCGTCTGGGTCCATATAGGTTCCGGGAAAAGCATTGATACAAAGCATTGCGTTCCAGTTCATCGAACGTTCCAATGCCAATGTTGTCATAGTAGTGTTGCTCAATGGGAGAGTTGCCGTCCAGAGCTCTTCACAGGATAATGCTGCGGCTCTCCAGATCCGACAGACGTGCAGGGGAACAAGTTGACTGGGAAGCTCATCGCGTTTGTGCGGCTGGGTAACAGGGATGCAGACAAAGATCTGTTGTAGAGTCTCGACAGGTAAACCATTTTGAGCAAGAGAATGGGAATTTGCAAGTAGAATGGGCAAATGAAGTGTAACGTGGCACACGTCGTACGCGGGAGGTGCATCAGACCCGCCAGTACCCGACGGTGGAGGCGCAGACGTAGGCTTCTCTCTAGCCTCGGACATGGACGTCGGAAGGAAGGTTGAATGCTGAGCCCTGAGCGTCGATCATTCACGGGCTGAGGTCCGACTCATGGAGAACACCGGCGTTGCTTCTCACGGCAAAGTCTTCCCGTATCAGAGCAACTCGGACAGGGCAGATCAAACTATGAATTGTGTATATACGTGATCAAGGCATACTACTAGCACACAGAGTCCGCGGGACGCGTACATCAAGGATGTAGTCACGGTGATGGAAAGATATGTCTACTCATAAGTCTCGTATGTCACTCGCATATCCTCCAGTATTACATCTTCATCGTCTATCACCCAACCCACATCCTCCCAGCTCACGGGCAGTCCCGACTTCACCAAGTCCCTTGCATCTATATCAGAAAGCGGCTCGTGTTGCAGAACTAGGTAGACGCGAAAAGGACAGTTGGCATCCGCAGAGCCCCGATTCGCGCGACGCGCAAGGAGCAGTGCGTGAAGCGCATCCATAGCGTGGACTTCTCCTCCCGAGTCTTTGCTGACAGGGATTGTGTCGCACATCTCGATGGTTTGGAGTGTGGGAAACATGCTGAAAGTGGTCGACCCTTCGACCATGCCCCCCAGTGCCAACAGAAGATCGACAGCAGCACTTTCTTCAGCGCTTGAAGTCACACGGACGTGCTCGACGCGATTGGCGGAAGAGAACAAGACAATCCAGGTGTCCGGAGACCATCTCTCGATCGTATCCGACTCCCTGATTGCCAATATTTCTTCAAGGTCGAGGGAGAGGACGCGGATATGTTCGAGCTTCACGGCTCCGATCAGGGTGCGTATGATCTTTTGGTGTACCGGTCGCGTTTGACGACTGTCCGTATCATGAAGCTCGAAGTACACGTCGGGTCGCGCAGAGACCGGAGCGCTGCGTACGTAGTAATCGGCTCGTCCGTCCACCATCGTCGGGATCTGACGCCACCCGTAGATGAACACTGTCATCCGCGTGAGCGTGCCACCGCCAATTGACGAAATGGACAAGGTTTGTATGGGAGGTGTGTGATCATCTAGATCCGGGGAGAGTATACGATTCAACGCGAAGTGCTGGAATGGCCTATGGCCACCAGAGGACGGTTCTCCGCCGAAGTATAGATCAAGATCTGGAAGCGTTTGTCTCAAGTAGGAGATAGATATACGGGTCGAGGCAGGATAGTGTAGATGGTGAATCAAGTTCCCCCATAGATTGGATCGGTGCTCCTCGAGCGTGAGTGCTTGTAATGTGTCCAACACAACGCGGTCATGCGAGGAGGGGTGGAATACTTCGACCTGCGTCGGAAGACAATGCCGTAATTCGAGGGTTTCGATGTGTGTAAGGGTGCGGAGGAATGATAGAAGCCCCGAAGACGTCGGACGCTCGGAACAGGACGTCAGGGAGAAGTGTTTCAACCCTGGAGGTCCAGCTCTAGGGAACTTATCACTATGCTCGATTGTTATGCATGTGAGGGCGCGGTATTGTGCGAGGTCCAGAGACCCGAATAGAGTGATATTAGCGCCAATAAAGGAGTAATTGAGCACTGCTATAGATAAGTCTTCGAGGACATCTTGGGAGCTCTTTACAACTTCCATGACGAGGAATAAAAGGATCGGGGAGCCGTGACGAAAATCGACGCTGCGAGTACGCGTAAAGCATTCCAGCATGAGAGACTCGCGGGTTTCGTCCATAGCCACGTCTTCCTCAAAGATGATATCGAGAGGTAATTGTCTGCTTCTGGAGATGATCGCTTGAATCCACGGCGCACTCAGATGGAATGGTACTGTGCACCACAGTTGGGCCATTGATATCGCCAGATTCCGCCAGTATGCACAGACGTGTGCCACGCGCGTCCAGCCCAGCGAGTAAGGGTACAACGACAGCGTCGAGGCATTGTCAGCCTGACTGCCTTCGGATAAAGGATCGATGGCCTTCTCAGGGTCGAACGTTGAATTTAGAAATACGCCAAGCGTTTCTGTGTCATGCTGCGTTGCGTCGGGGTCGTACGACCAATCGCTATAGAGATCCGATCCCCAACTTGTATGGGAGTCGCAGCTCGATGTGACTTCGATATCACCCAAAGGTTCCATGGTCGCAAGATCTGCAAACACGATCGCCAAGATCTCGGGTGGCAAGAGCCGATCAGCGGTAAGCTCAATGCAGTCTTCGGGCTCTGCTTCAGTAGCATCAAATTCACTTCCGTTTGAAGTCTTATGTTGCTGTGGGACGCGAGCGGGTAGCGAGTTGGACACTACAGGTGGACCACCTCTGGGAACAGCGCCCCTCGTGGATATAGTACTCGTATCGTGTTCGTATTGAGTGTATCTGCGCAGTCAATATTGTTCAGTTTACATCCAATTCTAATTGATGTATGAGACGCTTACGCTGTCGTAGAATTTGCTCGGTCTGTAGCGGACATGGTGGTTGACATAAACTAGCAGCGAAGCGCGCCCAGGTGGAAGCCTCCGGGCTACCCCGGGCCGAACGGAACGCGTCCACATGATTTGCGGCGAGAACGGCGACGCGACCCGCGTCCTAGCGTCCTTGTGTGACGAGCGCTTAGCGCTGCGCGCTCAAAGGCAGCTCATTAGCACTCTTTCCACTCATCGAGAGAGTAGAGCCATCATATCCACAGCGCATTCTGCCGTTGAAGGGTATCAAGACTTCTGAAAGGTACTATTGATACAATCGCACAGTACTCTGCGACCTCTACTAATACAGGCAATGCGAGACGTAACTCGAGGGATGGCATCAAGCCTTCTCATTATGCGCATCCTCACCGGCCTCCTTGACGTCGGAGGCGTACTCAGGGTGCCTCTCAATGACGCCGGTGACGTGATTGAGCTCTGCATGCTCGGCCTTGAGACGCGCGAAGTTGCGCTCCATGTCCCAGACGAAAGGAGAGGGTGTCGCAAACAGCAAGTCCATCTCCTCAAGCGTCCTGTTAGCGGTCTCTGGGTAAAGTGCCCATACCAGAGGGATGGCTAGGAAGTTGACCGCGCCGAAGATATAGAGTGTGTTTTCAGCGATGGCGGAGAACATGACGGGGTTCAGCATCATAAGCCAGCCGTTACCTGAGCATGGTGTGAGTGTTGAGCGGCATGCACCAGTGCGGTAAGAAGCTCACCAATACTCCAGCCCACAACACCCCACGCCATGCCCTTCGCACGCACTTCCAGAGGGAAGGTCTCCGTAGGGTAAACCCATGGGATCGTGAGCCAGGTGGCGCCGAAAATGAAGGTGTAGATGAAAATGAAGAGCGCGCATGCAGCACCGTACTCGGAGGCCTTGTCGGGGTTATCCTTGAGAAGGCGACCGAAACCACCTGCGAGGAACATGGAGATGCCTTGCCCGACAGCGCCCCACCACAAGCCGACGCGGCGGCCCCAGCGATCGATGGTGACAACGGCGAGTAGCGTAGCAAGCATGTAGGTAACCTACAACAGCTGTGTCAGGATCTTCATCGAGAGACTACGGTTAGAAGAGCGTACGTCGTTAAGACCAGACAACCATTGAGACTTGCGCGAATCGTAGCCAGCCTGGGCGAAGATCGTGGGAGCGTAAACCGTGATGGCAGCGATACCGACCCATTCCTGCACAATCTGAAGCCAGACGGAGAGCTGGATGCGGCGAGGAACGTTGAGAGTCTCGCCCTTCTTGCCCCAGAACATGTTCCAGTACGAGTTGCGGTCCGAGTGAGCCTTCTCGAGCTCAACAATCCCGACGATATCCTCGTACTCCGCGGTGGCGGCCTCGCCTTCGGGGTCACCATTGGAGCGCAGACGGCCGAGAATCTCGCGGGCCTCCTCGTTGCGACCAGCTTTGAGAAGCCAGCGCGGCGACTCGGGCATCCAAGGCAGGCAAGCGACGAACATCAAGAGCGGGACAATCTGGAACGCGATGGGCAGCCTCCAGCGGACCTGCGTGTTACCGTCGCCGATGAAGGAGAGACCAAACTCAAGCCAGTAGGCTACGACGACACCAAAGATATTGAGAGCTGTATGGTAATGGCTGATTAGCGTCAAAATGTCACGCTCGTGTTCATGTATACGCACTGAATTCGAGCGCGATGAACGCGCCGCGGGAAGTATGAGAAGCGACCTCCGCACTCCATACTGGGACAATGACATTCAAAAAGCCAGTACCAACGCCGTTGATGACTGTCACGAGTCAGTAGTTGAAAAGGTCACGGGGGTAGCACGACGCACTTCGAGCGCAAAGCATCCAGGCGGTATTCTGTGCCGAAGCCTGAAGAGCCGCGCCGAAGCAGACCCAGCAGCCACCCTGGGAGAGATGAGCAAATGGCCGCCATTCTCAGTTAGAGTTACGTACAATAACCATAGTCTTGATGCGGCCCAGCCTGTCACCTAGAATACCTGCGGGTAGCGCACCGATAAGGCATCCGAGATAGTAGACTGCGCCCGGACATCAATACCAGCAACAGGATATCCGCAAACGGGAAGAACGTACTTGCAACGATGCCACCCTGTTTTGCCGAGTTCGTGACGGTGGCGACATATCCCAAGTCATTATCATACCTATCACAGAGAGTCAGAACATGCGATGGAAGAGAAGTCGCGCTCATGTGGTCCACGCACGTAATGTAGCCGAGATCCATAGTCGTGACATAGTGGGGCGAGGTGTTGACACCACCCATCATACCCTGGTCATAGCCGAAGCTATGGTAGCCATAAGCGATGCGAAATTAGGAGGGGATGCAGGGTGCACGTACAAGAAGATAGCGAGACCTGCAACGAAGTTGATAGTCCAAACGAGGTTGCGGCCAGAGAGTTTGTTGGAGTGAGCACGCCCAGTAGGTGTAGGCGCGACTTTGGCGTCCGTCGGAGAGTCGACGGTTGTAGGCGTCGCAGACATGGTGGGGTCGTATAGAGGGTTCAGGTCGTGAAGGCCAGGGTAGATGGGGCGTGTAACAATGGAGGAAGAGGCCCGGGGGAAGCAGACGAGAACGTCGCAAGATCCTCTCGCATTTTGCAGCTCGGGCTTATATACCTATTACCCCAGGACCTGACACGCAATCTAGAAGATTGAGGAAAAGAAATATGCTGGCGCGCTAGGGTACGGGCAACAGTGGTCGACGCGTTCCTCGTGACGTCGGTACTAGGAACGGCCCGCCTACCCGAGCCGACCGCAGGCCGGAAGCGCTCTTTGCGGAAGAAGGTTGGGCCGGTGCCGCTTTATTGGGTTGCGGGGCCCCGCTTCTCCTTCAGCCGAAGTTACTGCTATTGCCCTGCAAGATATCAGCAAGTCTGGTATATATGTAATCAAATAGTATACGCACACTGGTAAAGAAATCCATTTGCCCAAACTGGTTCTAACGGGAGGGCTGTCGCAAAAGTGAAGGCTATCTTGGCGGAGAGGTCGCGGAGAAGTTGTGGGGGCCCGCTCGGGTCCGTCGCAACGTCGTGTCGCCCCACAGTGGTATGGTCCGCGATCAGGGTTGTTGATGGACCGGCGGCAAACAAGATACATCCGCATCCGCACAAGTCGTCCAGAGCTAAGTACGCCTGTACCGCCGGGTTCGTAGAACGCGGTCGACATCTCAGGTCATGTCACCGTCATGGGGTAGGCGCCGCGCGGTTTTGATCCTCATCGACAAGCGACGCGTGTTGGGAATAGTGAACGACAGTACGGCAAGTATGAGCTCAGTGCCACAGCACTAGGTATACGACCGGGGTGACGCGGGCCAGGAACGCCTTTCTGCAAACATCTCTGATGTCGAAGTCTACGGTAATTTTTCTGCGAAATGATTGAGGAACCAGAAGCTTGACGCCGACGGAAGACAAATACTTACGGGCAATCCGGTCCGACATATGACGACGTTAGTAGCGGCGATGCAGCTGCAGTGTTGGGGGGGCATATAGGGCTGCACTTGGAGGTTACACTAGTTTTTACGGGTGGGCCGACCGTATTGCGAGACTTACTGCTTAATGTATCCCGTATCCATGTCCAATTAGCCGCTACTTCACAATCGATACATGTGAAGCAGGATCGGAAGTTCGCGCTCCGGCTTAGGCGCGATACGTGGGATCTCGCTGGGACGACTACATCGCTCAAGGCGACTACTCTATACTGAGCCTCCCCTAGAGCTGAAGAAGTCAACTTTGAGATGGAAGCTCAAGATGCTGAATGCTGATGCCCATCCAAACCGTAGCGCAAGTATTGCATAGTATAATCGGGCGAGCCGACAACACCCGACGGACAACTCTATCCTGCCCGCAGCTTTCAGACGGGGTGGCGGGCCGGTACGTCGCTCCTGACGATCGCACGACAGAGCAGTGACGATAATGGTACTAGTTCAGGATATATTTCAGGTCAAGTGCCGGCATCGGGCAGGGCGAGTCATTTACGGGCGGTGGTGGTCAAGAGCAAAAGCTGTCTCCGACGCCGACGTGCCGAATGGTCGGAGCGCGGCGTCCCGTCGCAGGCTCGTTGTGCTCCCCGAGCAGTACGACTGGCTTGCAACGCTGCATGATCAACATTGAATGCATTCGAATCGTCCGTTGTAACCAGCTCACAATGGGGAGCTTTAGCCAACAAGGCTCTGATACCACTACAATTTCCTATCTGTGCGCAACGCTCACTCAGAGTCTTGAAGCTTCTGAACCCAGCCAACCTCTTCCCCGTCTACGCCAACGAACCGCACGCCCTTCTCCTCCATACCCTCTCGCACCTTCCCCAACCCACTCGGATCGACTGCCTTCGTTGCCTCGCTCACGACCCAAACTCGATATCCTTCCCCAGCCGCATCCAACGCCGTGGCCTTCACGCAGTAATCCGTCGCAAGCCCCACCACATACACATCCGTGACACCACCCTCCTTCAGCAATTCCGGTAGCTTGGACACGCTCACGCGGAAAGGGTCGTAGAAAGCGCTGTACATCTCCACGCGCGCGTCCATGCCTTTATCCACGACGTGCGTGAAGCGCGACGCGTCGAGCTCGGGTATGATCTCCACGCCCGGTGTGCCTTGTACACAGTGATCAGGCCATGCTCGACTCTCTTGCGTCTCGGCCGCGTTCAGGGGGTTGGTGATAGTCAATATCGTCTCGAACGGCTTCGCGTCGGCGTGTGCAGAGGCGAATGAGACGTGATTGGCGGGGTGAAAGTCGCGCGTCGCGATGCGCAGAGGGAAGGGCAGCTTGAGTAGCGCATTGATGGGTTCTGCGATCGCGCGACCGTCCTGTACGGCGAGCGAGCCGTTCTAATGACAACCCAGTGTCAGGCGCTGCGGATTTGCTTCAGAGCGGAGCGCGCACGGGCGGGCAAAAGTCTTCCTGAACATCGACGACGATCAAAGCAGGCGTAAATGGGTTAGGTGGTGCAGACATGGCGAAAATACGCAGCCCAGGCCGATGAGAGCAGAAAGGAAATACAGTCCCGCTTATCTGCGAGGCGCTGGCCATGGCCGCAGCGCCCCTAACCGTGCGACTCCATCAAATGCACATGAATGAAAGGTAGTAAAAACGATCAAAATAATGAGCTATGCGCTAGGAGTACAGTGAAGCCAGACATGTTACAGCAGAAGAATGTAAGGTAAAGAGCCGCTAAGAAAGTCTATGATCAAAGCCCGAGTCCGATATCCAGCCTGAAGTCCCTACGCTCATTGCGAGAGGTAGAGACCCATGCCGGCGAACGCGAGCTCGTCAAGAGCAGCAGCATCAACACCCTCCTCCTGTGCTGGAATCCTCACGTCTATAAGGTGCGTATCAGTAAAATGTCCTGCATACGATGGGGGAGAATCGCGTACCGAGCAGCTGCACAAGCTCAGCGTCACCGGGGCCGTTGATGACCCAAGTACCGAACGACGCGCCGCCGTTCATCAGCATCCACATGTACTCGACGCCGTTGACCTCGCCGACGACCGCCTCGTTCGGGCTCAAGCCAGAGACATTGTACTGGCGGAGCAGAGACGGCTCAAGCTTGCCGTTGAGCTGCACCTCGTTGACGAGGTTGTTGTCCGTGTCCGAGATGAAGTACGTGCCGGCCTTGGGCGCGGTGACGGACCAGCAATTGCCGACGTTGCTGGGGAGAACGAGGGGCGTGATCTGCGTGTTGGCAATGCCGAGTTGCATGTCTACGACGATGGCACCGCCAGCGACGACGTCCGAGCCGACGAACGCGTTGCGGTGGGGAACTATCAGCTTGTCAGTCTTTAGATATCGAGATCAGGCTATGTGCGCACTCTGAGACAGCGAGAACGGCCAGCCACCAGTCGGGGGAACCATGTCGATCTGGAAGGGCTCGGCGCCGAGGGTACCGTTGTTGGAGATGGGCCAGACGCGGAGGTAGCCGGGGTAGTCGTTGTCGAAGACCAGCTGGTCATCACGGACACCCTTACCGAAAGCCATGACGGCCTCCTGGTCGGGCGAGAAGACGACGGTGGAGAGCGTGCCGGCGGGACCGGTAGGCGGGTTGGCAGTCTGGTTGTAGGTGATCATCTCACCCTGGGAGGTAGCGGTGAGAGCGCCGGCGTCGTCGATCAAGAAGCACCTGCGCGTCTCGTTAGTCCCGCAGTCCATCGCCGAGGGTGACTGGTACATACTGAACGTTGTGCTCGAGCCCACCGTTGAGCACGCACAGACGCTGACCAGCGTTGTCGATGGCAACAGAGACGGGGAAGTCACCGCCCGAGGAGACCGGGTCACCGATAGCCGTCAACGAAGTCGGCTGGAGCGGGTCGATGTCGAACAGCTGGACGGTGTTCGTGCCGGCGTTGACGGCGGCAAGGCGGCCAGTCTCCTGGTTCACTGCGACGGGGCCCTGCGAGAAGAGCGCGATAGCTTGGATGGGGAGACCCTGCGAGCCATTGCCCTGAGCGTATGTGGGCACAACGTTCGACTGTAGAGGATGGTGATCAGGGCGGATAGGCATCGAGATGGTATATGAATGACGTACCAAGAGACCGTCCTGGCCAATCTGTGCGGCAAGAACGTAGTTGACTGATGGGTGGTTGGAGATGACTGTATAGAGCGGCGATCCTGAGATGAGCGATACACAATGCTGAAGCGCTGGATGACTTACAGTAGACGGCGCCAGCAGGTGTTGCGGGAGTGACGGCAGGCGAGGCCGTGGCGAGCGAGACGAGCGTCGCAAGAGCAGCGAAAGACGAAGAAAGCTTCATGATGTAGAGCGTAGAGATGTGAAGTGAAGAAGAAAGTATAAAGATAAAGATAAAAGAGCAAACAAGAAAAGGTGGAAGAGAAGAAGAAGAGAAGAGAAAAGGTCGAGAGGACTGGAGAAGCAGAACAGCGCGACCCTGGACCTTTTATAAGGCTTGGCCCATTGCGCAGAGGAAGTGCGCCGGCATCGGCGGTGAGCCATCTGCGCAAGTCGTCGCTGACGCAGGCGGGCTCGGGAGCGCGCGCCCACGCAACTTTGCGCGAATCGGCCGCGGCGTGTCGAAAGAAGTCGGTTGCCAGACCGGGGAACCGATATACGTGATGGCACTTCCGCGCTGGGTCCGGATGGACTGGGCCGCAGAAGGTCCAACTTTAATTTGGACACCTGGAAATCATACTCAGTACGCCCGCGTCGCCCACGAACGCGTCTGTCTGCCTGCCTCTGCCAGCGACCGAAAGAGCGTTGCGTAGACGTCCGCTTTGATTCACCCAGAGAGGGAAAATGGTTGCGCATGCGGGAGGGGCTATCACCGATGCAATGCGGGTAGGATGCGAGCCCGAAGTGTCCCCCGAGCCTAGCTACAATCCCCTACGCACGACCGCTTTGCCCGCGAAAGCTCGCCCTACGCGGAAGATGGCCATTGATCCCAGAGACGAAAACCTGGCTGAGCTCTGATGAGCACGCGCGGAGAACGTACAATTCAGCCACGAAAGTAGGATCGACGCGGCGGAGGGCGGAAGCGCCTGGGACTGAATGTGGGAGGCGCGCCACTGCGCTTCGGGATACAGAAATAAGCCATCGCCGTGATGGCAGCGGATGCCGTTGTGCCGTGGGACTTTATGAATAGTGGGTGTGTTGGAAAAGAAGTTTCCGAACAATGGGCGAGTGGGCGCAGTGATGGGAGAAGCAGAATTTGGATACAGCAAGCAGGTTTGACACGCAGTTGGTAGTTCAACAGGATTATATAATACGCTAGAAAGGCCCGAGATTGAGATGATGGGTGGTGGTACAGATCTAAAGCAAGAAAACAGGAGCAGAAGTACGACGGCAGCCCATTCCGGAGGGAGGTTCATCCTCGTGTGGTAGAGGGAGAGACCGAGGGCGACATTGGGACGGCTGAGACCCGACTCTGCGCCTGGCGTAGGCGTAGGCTACCACTGTGATTCATGTTGAGTACAAATCATAGCGCGAATAGAACAAGACCACCCACTCGTCGAAATGCGTACCCCGCTTCGGGTTCGCGCGTCGTTTCTCCATCGTTTTGCGCACCTTGCTTTCAGGCCGCACAACAATGACCGGTACCGGGCTGTGGCTCAGGCAATATTTGCTGACCCCTCCAACAGCCGTCGCGCCGAATTTGGAGCTCATAGCCTGGATCATTCCCCTCGGTCCACGTGTCCCGACGATGAGCGAATCCGGACGGTACAATGCGATGAGACGGTCTATCGTCTGAGTGACTTTGCCGGCGATAAACTCGAGCGTGATTGAGACGCGTCTGTCGGGATCCGCGTCGTAACACTTCTCCTGTATCCGGCGAATATACTCGCGCGCCTCGGCCCGAATGATGTCGTGGTCCTTCTCGAGCACGTCGGCGTCGAAGCCGCGAAAGACGACCAGCTCGTCGCCGTCCTGCAACAAATTCTCTATCGTCCATTCCAGCGCATTCTTCCCGGAATCATCGACGCTCGCGGCGCACAAGTATGTGCGGGTGTCTTTGGTGCGGGTGTAGCCGTCCGAGTGGACTTGGAGCGTGAAGCTGAACATGCTGGCCGCCGGGTTCTCGAATGTATCGAAGGAGACTTTGGGGCGGTAGCCCCCGACTGGCGTAGGCGCATGGAGAGTATTTGTGGGCGATGTCGATATGCTGGCTGGGAATGATGGCGGCGAGGCAATGGGCGAAAATAGAGATCCAGGGGTAGGGGACGATATTGATGTGGAAGAAGGGAGGGTGCTGGAGTAGACGAGTGGCGAAGTCGAGCTGGTAGGGGGCGTGCTCGATCGGGACGAGCTGTGGTGCTTCATCGCCGATCTGAGCGGCACGGCGTCTGTCGAGGTCGAGTGATACATCGTGGTCGTCTGCGGCGAGCTGCGGGTCGCGGGCCACAAGCGCCCGTAGACGGAGACGGAGCAGTACGGCAATTGCCGGGCAGAGGTCGCGACTGGCCGCCGCGCGCGCTTCGACTCGAACGCTCATCATGTCTTCCCCTGCTTCCATCCCTTCTGGCGCTTCGACCCCGGAACCTGAGAATGTAGATACTGTACAGGCTGGAGGGTCGGATGGAAATGCTGTCGAGGAAAAGGGAAAGGGTGTGGCTGCAGACCAGAATGACGTCGACGGCGAGCAACCCGTAGCGTCTTCCTCGACCTCACCGGCTCCGACTGCGGCGCCGGCGGCAACTGCGGCAGTGGCGACGAACGGCGACTGGCAAGCGATATGGTCCCCTCAGCACAACGCCTACTACTTCTTCAACGCGGTCACACAACAAACGACTTGGGAGAATCCGCTTCAGCCCTCTTCTGCCGCCGCCTCTTCTTCCGCTACACCAGACAAGTCGGCATCTCCCGGTCCCTCCACTGCTCCCGAATCAGATACGCCGGCAGCTCTGGCGAAGATGTATGCTCTTCAGCAGGCAGCGGCAGAGCAAGGCATCGACCCGGCACTGGCGTACCTCGACCCCTCATTAGCTAGCTCGTCCTCAGGCGGGTCCGGATACACGGCCCGATTCAACGCACGAACAGGCGCCTTTACAGCAGCGGACGGTCGCGACCCCAGTCACCTCAGCGAGTACGAACGCATGAAACGCATGAGCTCTGTCTATTTCGACTTTGGCGAATGGGAGAAGGAGGTCGCGGAGAGAAAGAAACGAGAAGCGGAGGAGCTCGAGGCAACCGGTGGCAAGAGGAAACGGCCGAGTAAGAAAGATTTGGTCGGTCGTTCTGGATGAATGGACGCGGATGACAGGCTGACAAGGCATCACAGGAAAGGTTCAAAGAGCAGAAGAAGCAGAAGAAGATCGCGAAGACGGCTTGGTTGCGCAACTAGAGCTGTCGATGATGTCGTACAACATGTGTATATGTTTTAATGACACCTTGTACTCGCTTCGTTCTCAAGGCTATCCAGTGGCATCATGCCTATTTTGGCTCACGAATTGCCCGTCAACAAACCCATCAGATCTCTGTGCCCATCTCGGGCGAGGCGGAGAAGTTTGGACAAGGATCGTTAAAGCCCGAAAACCCCGATAACGATCCCTCTGCTGCATCAGGCGCCCATTATCATCTCCGCAAGTGTCCCGTTGTGCGATTTGAAGTCTCAAAACTTAGTTCTCATCGCGTCGCAGAGCGGCGATGCAAGTTCCCCGACCAGATATGGAGACCCGACTTCCTTTCGCGTCTACATCCAGGCGCAATCATGCTGCCGCGATTGATCCAGGCCTGTCAACCATCGCAGCTGGCGTGCTAGCAGAGTATCGTCTTGCACCGCCAGGCTGGACAAGCTCGGCTACATGGTGGCGCCGAACAATCTCGAATCTCTCATATATATCACTCTGCATGTCGCTGATCTGCGCTCTTCTTGCGTTTTCAGTGTTCGGTGTCCCTTGTCACTTCCTTCTCGTTCTTCACTGACGACGCTATGAGCTTACCCTCGTCAAATACTACTACAGCCTCATGCCCTCCCATCCCAGATATCGCAGCACTGGTAGACGAATGGAGTCAATCTGCCAACAGCGCGATTACCTTCCTCATGATAGAGGCGACTATGGGTGCCGCCGAATTCGTCATGCTTCTCTGTCTTCTGTTCTTCTCTACCCGAGCCACCCGACAGAAACCGATCTTCACGTTGAACCTCATCACTATCCTTCTCGGCCTCGCTCAAGCAACGAATAGTCTATACGCTCCTGTAGGTCCTTGAACGCACCTTCCTGTCTACTCTGACTGATGTCAAACGTAAGATCCATGCATTGACGCATCCCCTCTCCGCTATTTCTTCTGGGAGCCTGATAACAACAGCAGCCTTGTCTGGACTCGTACCTGCTTACGTCGACCTCAGCCTTCTCCTCCGCCTCCGCGCCGTCTTCCCGCCACATCATTACCTCTGGATCCTCGGCATCCCGTTACTTCTCAACACAGGCCGCCTCGCGAACGCCATTGTCTACACAGTACAGTTCGCTCGAGCCGTGAAGAATGGAGTCGGCGGCATCGACATGCTCGGGCCCTTCGTCAATGCCAATCGCGCAAGTTTCGAGGTCGAGCTGGTGTGCCAGATTGTCGCGGACATGTGGGCTTCAGGGTTGTTCTTGAGTCGATTCTGTGGATTGCCGTCGCTGTGGCCGTCCAGTACGTCCAATCCAGTCGTGATACAGGTACAGCGATTGAGTGAAGGCTGATAGCGGGCTCAAACCTCTCGCGCAAACTCGCGACGCTCTTCTGGCTCTCCGCGACGAGCTTCGTGCTTCCGGTTCTGCTGAGCATAGCAGAGCTTATAACATACTTTGTATCGCACTATGACGCCGTCGCCTACATTCAGCAAGTGTGTCCATCCGCACTCAATACGCTAGATCCCCTCGCTCACAACACCGTTTTCAGGTGAACTACCACTTCACGGTCATATCCGTCGTGTTTGCCACCGTATGGGCTTTCGAGGAGACGTGGCAAGACGAGAGGGACACGTGGACGAGAGATAGGGCACGAAAGATGAAGGGGTTGCGTGAGGAGATGGGACTAGATTCCTCGGGAGGACACGGGGATGAGACGAGAAGGATGACGGTGCGGTCGGTCGTCTTCGATATCTGCCCTCAGCCCCCGTCGTCGGTCGGGACTGCGTTTTGAGATCATAGATGTTGCTGTATATGAGCCTTAGACGCTACTTATTCTTAACTATCTTGTCCAACTTACTGTAAACACTGTCTCCTGTTGTCTGACGCCTTTCTCAAACGGCGATCGACGTACGATGCTAGCGAGTTCGGTGAGCCTCACTGAAACTGATCTACGTCATTCATGAGAATACGTGTCATCGCTACTAATCGTACATGTCGAGCATGGGTGGAAGGCCGAAGGAGGATGAATGATTCTGACTGGAAGTATCGTACATGGGAGAGGAGTCGGTGAACGAAGTGGACGGTGGATATGGTAGTGACCCGCGAGCGCGGGATTATGTCCGAGGACATGTACAGGAATATACAAAGGCTACGAGAATGAAGATATGAGACTGGGTCTGAATTGAGTCATGGGCATTGCTTGATTTGAGTCCTCCCTTCACCTGTACTTGAAGTGGATCGGCGGACCTACGCGGGATCATGATGAGCGGCGTTATCGCCATTGTCGTGAGGTGCGTTGGCCTGGGGCACAATGTTCTGAAACGCGGCAGCAACTTGTTCCACCGCCATATTGTGTCCCCAATGCACGGCGTGGTGTATCGGGTACTGCAGAGCCGGAGGTAAGGGAGGGGGTCCAGGCTGCCAGTGAGGTGGAGCCTGCGCATTCGCTTGCAGTTGGGTGAAGAACATCTGTGCCGCGTTCTCGCCGTTGCCGTTGTCGTTAAATATCGGTCCGAGAGCTTGTTCTCCGATCGCAACAGCACCAGGTTGGACGAGCGTCGCGGGGTTGATATCGCCTATCAAGTCCTCGTCCTCGGAGTCAGACAAGTGGCCGATGGGGTCCAGCTCTGCATGATGATTGCCTGCGGCGCCGTGGCCGTGGAGTGATAGCCCAGGAGCCGGCTGGTGAAGCCCACCGCCCATGATAGGCCAGAATGCAGGAGGCTGGTGTACGCCCGCGGCGTGTCCGTGCCCATGAATGTGGTGATGATGCCCTATGCCAAAATGATTGTGGAAGTGATGGGCATGGTGCCATTGATTGAGCGGTGCAGGTGCTGGAGGCGGGGGTTGATGCATATGGCCGCCCATGCCTAACCCTAACCCCAATCCATCGCCACCGCCGCCACCTTCCAAAGCCCAGTCATCCTGATCAACACCGCCCCATACGACTGGGCCCACCGTAGGATGTCCAGCAGCCCGTGTAGATATTCCGCGAGGGAACATGCTGAGCGGAAGGCTCTTCGTGCCGTTCGTACTTCCGTCCCAGACGATACGCTCCCCACTCACGTACTGCGCCAGTTGATCCATATCGCTGGCACGCGCGTCGCAGTAACAGACACAGAGTTCCTCGATGCGGTGCGGGAGTGAGGATAGAAGGTTCTTCAGTGACGCGTGATGACTTTCCTGACCAGATGCGACATATGCAAGAGCGGGATAGCTCTCCGGGGGTGGCACAAGGTTGAGCCCAAAGATATTGAGTGTCGCAAGGCGCTTCAAGAATGGAGTGGCGGTGAGCTCCCCAACAATATATGGCGCGCTGGGCTCATGCTTCGCACATGCGAGCAGAAGATTGTCCACGATCGAGGGCCCATATACACTCAACTCATTCAACTGCGGTATACGCGACAGGATACGTGCCCATGGCACATCGGGGCGAAGAGGCGCAACTGCCAGACGGCGTACGCTTGCAATGTTCGCCGCTGCTCCGAGAGCAGCCAAAGCCGCCACGGCCACTGCATCTGGTGTGTCGGCTCCGCGTGTTACGCGGAGGTCGAGTGGTGCAGGAGGGCGTTGATCGAGGTTAAAGATGTCAGGGATGGCGCGGGAAGACCAGCAGCGCAGGCGCAAGCCAGGTTGGCGCGGCGCCTCGATCGGGCTAAGTAATGCGGTTTTGAAGTCCAACCCGCGTGACGCAAGGTGAGCATATGGGAGATCTTGGGTTCCGGGAGCGAGAGTGGCGTGTGTAACATGCATGTGCATCTTGAAACGGGCTGTCGTAGGGTATGTGACATGATTTAGCAATGCCACAGGTGTTCCATGCCTGAAGGGGGGATATAGTCCTTTGAAGGACATTAGGCGCAAGGCAGGAAGATGGATTTGCTGAGGCGGAAGATCGTTTAGTGAGGAAAGCGCCATAGACTCCATCATCACGACTTGAAGCGACTCCCGAGCGGCCGAGAGAAGGTCAAGCAGTGCCGATAGGGTCAAACCCTGGACAGTGTGAAGTTCTAGATGAACCAGTGAGGCGCAGTGCGCGCGCAATAATGCTCCAGAACCTTCGGATAGATGTGTACTTTGGAGAGCCAAGCGTCTTAGTGGCATGTTCCCTGCGAGATGTGTGGGCCCGAGGGAGTAAACAGACATATGTCCAGGTTCGTATGCGCTCAGCTCCAGCACTTCTAAAGCAGGTTTCGGTGCCGACAATGTCGCTAAAACCTGTGCGACAAGCGCGGGCTGTCGACCAGCGACGTATAACTCCCTGGTACGGTCGAGCGCTTGAGTGAGAGCAAGGCGAGCTGCAGCAACGCGCCGCTCCAGTTCGCGATGGTTGACTGCATAGCGAAGATCAACGCGGAGAGATATACAGGCTGTTTTGGATCGTTGAAGCATGATCTCAGTCACTGGCGTGCGTGCAAGAGAGATAGAAGACCACGCCGGTCCGTAGTCAAGCAACAGAGTGCGCCAAGCTCGGCATACAGCTGCAAGCCGGAAGGCAGTCTTGGCTCCCAGGTCTTCTTTTTCATCGTCCGCGGCGAGTTTAAATATCTCTAGTAGGGGCATTAGTATGAGTGCAAGTCGCCCAAATGCCACACGTTACCTAATAGCAGCTCCACAGGCAGGCGCAATGCAAGTGAGTCTGCCATGGGTGGCAGATGGCGAGTGGTGCAGTGCTAGACACTGAGCGGTATGGTGTGGCTCGGGAACGCGCCGACTCGGTATGTAATGCTTGAGGCGCGCTGAATCCGAGACAGTGTCAGGCTGTTTCCCCCAGTAACTCAGAGATTGTGTGAGGAAGATCTCACATACTTGTATATGCAGAGTCGTTGCGCGTAGGATGTCAATCTTCTGCTATTCGTGGGGTGGCACGGGTGTGTGTGGTTGCTGAGAGATGCTGCTGAGAGTCTGATGTAGGCCAATCCAGTCGAGATGACAGGCGACGAGCGGTGTGTTAGCTCCTGCTTTCGTATCTTCTAACCGAGTTTGAAGTTACGAGAACAAGATATCTATTGAGTGAGGCCCGGTACCTGACTGTCGAGCGCAGTGAGAGTCGAGGAGGAAGTCGCGGAGATCCGGGGCCCCGGATGTGAGAAATTCCTTTTGATAACCCTTATCACGAGCTGGCCCGAATTTAAAATATTGGGTATCTTTGTCCTTTGCTAGTGACTACGTATGCATTGCCCATACGATCGACACATCCCAGATCCAGATACTTTTTAAGCGCCACGTATAGTACGTTGAGCAATACATCCTCAAGAAAGCTACACGGTACGTAGATTCTTCACCCTCAGGGTGGGCAAATGTGATAATCCAGCGTTTGGTCTATGAAACGCACGCGCCCCTTCGATTCCTCCACCGTGACCCAGTCCATCGATCTCCACGCCTCCTCATAATCTCGAGAGACCCGTTTTATGAGATTGACTTGACGGATGTGAGCGCGCGTCTTGAGCGTATTCATCACATGATGCTCCGCACTCATTAATGAGAGAGCGTTGTCAACTTAACCGAGAGGTGCGTAGTTGGGGCGCAAGTCAACCAAATCCAGAATCCGAAGGGTAGGGAGGAACTCCGACGACGTGTTGAGGGCAAGAAGGAAGTCGACAATTGTGGTGCTCTTTCTTGCTCTTTCCACTGGCGGCCTCGAGACCAGTTGCAAATGGCACAAATTATGGGCTCCGTCGAGCATCTTGATCCACTCGAGCGCATTCCAAGGATGGACAGGATTGGCGGCATCTTCTTGGTCGTCTACCGTATCCAGCCCCAAAGGGCCAGCGTTGAATGAGGAATCGATATCCAGTACCAGGGTCCGAACGCGGTCGACTCCAAGCTGAGTACATAGTGCGCGGAATACACCCGGTACTTTCAATTTCACCTCAGGCGAGGGTAAACCTAACTGGGGAGTCAGACTGAGATGGACGTCGGCGTCCGAAGACAAGCCGATGCCCCCCGGCTGCTCGACCAAGACGTCTTTAGGCGCGAAAGAGCCCTGTATGACGCATGTAAACATGTATCTGGTAACGCAAGTGATAGAGAGAGCTTCGAGCGCTTGTCGAGGGGCGATATGGCCCAATGTTAGTCCGTCCACGGCCTCGTCTGCGACATCCAGGTAATCAATGCGGAACGTCGTTTTGGAAGGGCAATCGACATGCCGAAGGAAGAACGCGCATCCTGAGTAATGACCGGTAAGGGCAACGTGTTGAAGACGAGGGAGAGCGACCGGCGTCAATCTTGCAGAATGGGCCGCGGTCGTGTGAAGAGGAAGACAGCCGTGCATTTCGAGGAGTTCTAGGCGACTGAGCGTTCGCAAAAGTGCCAGAAAGTCTTCGGCGGACGGGATGAGTGGTGTGGAAGCACCATTCAACAAAAATGTGGAAACAGTGCCCAGCCGTAGGCTAGTGAGGAATATAGGGGTAAATCCGTGATCCGGGCGGGGGAGACGATCAAGGGCCTGAATAGACAGAGACTCTAGTGCGTTGAAGCGTTCAGATTCCAGCATCGATGCTGGGAAAACATCACAGCTATCGACAATGTCGAGATGTTTGAGTAGAGGTGTTGCGCACGATTCAAGGAGCTGAGTCAGGCGACCCGTTGGGAGATGGTGATAGATGATGGTCCGCGCTCGCTTGAGCCAGGACGCGTGCTCCGGTAGGAAGTAGACCTCTTCAACCTCTTCTCCAGTGAATACGACGGTAAGAGGAGCATGCTTACTTCTCTCGAGTAGAGCGGAGATCCAGGGAAGAGGTAGATGCATGGGTACGGTGGCCCAAAGCGCAGGATGCGCCAGAGCTATCTCGCGCCATAGGTGGCATACCCAGCTCACTCGTACCCAACCGATCGCGTATGTAACTCGTATATCGGCACTCAATTCGGAGGACGCCCGGGACCATGCACATTCGCTGCCGTCGTCTTCGCTATCGTCCTCGTCATGGTTGCTGTCGCTGATCTCTCCGCTCCCATCCCCGCTGTTCTCAACACCGTCGTCGTCATCATTGCCTTCGCCGGAGTCGCTTCCACCGCCGCCAGTATCACCCTCGTCAGATCCGTCACTGTCCGCACTGCCTTGGCTGTCCTCATCTTCATCTAAGTCAGGCTCGCAAGGTGCATCGACGTCTACCTCGCCCATTGGGTCCATTTCGGAAAGCCACCAGAATATCAGAGCGATGATCTCCAGCGGGAGCTTGCCGATGCGACCGTTTCTGAGCTTGAAGCGATGCCTGAGGTTGGCCAGCATTTCTTCGTGTGCTTTCTGGCTGCGCTCGAGTTCGCGAAGAATCCCCTGGGTAGAGGAGTCGGACAACGCTTGTAGGCGGGCTTCGGTGACCTGACTCCAGAAACGGTCGTTGTCCGGGCTGAAGCGAAGCTGGTTCGGCCTATTTGACACAGTATGAGATATGCATTTCAAGGAGAGGCGCTGATGACACACATAATGGTACGAGAGGGTGGCTCTCGAGCGGGCATGGTGGCAGTGAAAGAGCAAGGGCTGAAAGGACCGGTCGACCTCGAGGCAAGGAATCGGGACCTGCCGAGCGCCACGTTCACGAGTGGAGGATAGCATTACATTGGCATAGCTCATGTACACGTTGTTGGATACTGATACAAGTGTTTTGCATTCTTCTGGTCAGTCGTGGAAGCCATCACTCGCTCAAGGTCACAATCTTCCCAAAGGTGCTTCCCGTTCCCCAGATACCCTTGCGAAGGCACGCAAGCTGTACGATCTGAGAGTGGTCGATGAAGAGATTGGCGTTCGCTCCCTGATTCTGGATGTGATATTGGAAGACTGATAGGATGTCAGAAGTGGCGCGCCTACACTGAAGCAGGGTTCATAGCATACCAGCTGGTTCCGCAGCCTCGAACATGATCTTATCTTTGGGCAGCGCCGAGGTAACAGCCGAAATAACGTCAGTGCGCCAGGCGCGCACATTCTCCGTAATGCCCTCACTCTCTATCATGATCATCTGCAAGTCATGTCAGTTACCGAAATGGCGGTGACTGACAGGAAGATAGCACGCACATATGCACCGGCCTGTAGGAAGGTATTCGCGCGGTCGATAAGCCATTTCGGATCACGAGTGCCCGCCGATTCAAGTTCGGCGACAGAGGCGTCGCCTCCGGCACCCCACTGGATGCCAACCTCGGGTTTGGGTTTGAGACCATGCTTAGCCGTGAGCTCGACCAAGGAAGCCCAGTCCTCGGTGGGAATAGACAAGAAACCGGACGAGAGCTCCAGCACGTCAAAGCTGAGACGATATCAGTTCGTTATAGCGGTAAGTCATAGTACGCGGGCGTACCCTAGGTCCTTGCAGGTCTTGAGGTAGCGTTCGATGACGGCGCGGTCGCCGTTGGAGGACGAGAGCACCTTCTCAATGAAGCCGCCCGTGCTCACATAGCAGTCATGCTTATGAGCTGTCTCAATCAAGCCGCGCAGACGTTCTTCTGGCATCAGCGTGAACGCTCCTCCGGCGAACTTGACACCGTCCACGAAGGAGCCCCAGTCGGCTAAGAGGTCGTCGAGATACGTCTGAGTGACGGGTGCATAGTACGGGCCGCGTATTTCTGTGAGCCCAAGCTGGCGCGGCTTGGGCTGAAGATGGTTTGATGGCAAAAATGGGAATGCGGACGTGGCGACAGGACCGGGAGGGTTGAAAGTGCGAGCGCTGGAGGCAAGGCCGCGGACAACGGCGGGGAATGAGCGTCGAGTTACATTTGACAGCATACTAGACAGAGGAAACTCGAGAGGGGGTGAGACTGACAAGGCTGGCAGCCCTCCATTTCAGTACGCGGGTGTGGGTTCATGGTGGCGACTGTGAAGTCATAACTGGCGTTAAACATTGCAGAAGCTCTGAAGATAGCAAACCTTATCAATCTTATCTCAGCAAGAACGAACTTCCGATGACGCCAGACCGTTCTCCTGACCACAACGCCGACCACAGGCACCCGTCTCCGAACTGCCGATATCGTACTGGAATGTTTCACTCTGCGTGCCTCTGTCAAGCATATCCGGCCTGATAGGATGACGGAATGGAGGCGTTCCGAACCTAGTAGCGGGATGCCCTGCCTGCCAAGAAGCTCCGTCCGCTGACACCGAGTCAAAAACTAGACGTTTTCTGCGCCATCCCTCCTTTTCCCAAACCCTCACAGTGCTACACACCGACCATCTCCAGTTCCTTTCTGCTCCCGATTCAGCTCTCTCACTCGGGACTACCATGCAGTCTCCGACACACCTCGAGCGTTCTCAGTCGCGCGGCCGCGGATTCGTAGGTTCAGATCTATATTGTGGTGAATACCTACTAATACCGTTTCATAAGGAATCGTCTGGACGTGGAGGCCTAGGCAACATCCGCGCTTCATCTGCGAGCCGCGATGGACGCCCCGTCGATGGCCCCGACGACTTTTCCGTCACGCGTGGACGTGAACCTCTTCCTGCAAGTGTGACCGGCACAGTATGTCCTCAGACTTTCACATTGCATTACACAATGGCTCACTCGCTTTGCACAGTACACTTCCTCTGGAAGGGGCGGCGCCGGTAACATACACTCGCCTTCGCGCACCCATGAGGGCTCCGCGGCGGGGTACGATGCCGAGCGGATCCGCACAATCGACGAAGCAAACGAGACCGGTGTGGTGCGTTATCAACTTTCCGGTGCTTTCAAAGGGTGCCTGATTAATGTGTCATTCCATCGTAGCACAGCACAGGACGGGGAGGAGTAGGAAATATCGTGCGCTCGGACTCCCGTTCTCAATCACGCTCTCGTTCGCGCGGGCCCGCTCGCCACAGCATTGGTAGAGGAGGAGCCGGTAACATCAAGGCAGGCGAGCCGAGCGAGATGACTATCCATGAGGTTGAGGATGCTGAGCGTCAGGCTCATTACCACGAACCGGGCATGCATTCTACGGGTGCGTACACCTTTGATATGACCTTCGTAGCGTTTGGTCTGACATCCTTTGTGTTGTAGGGAGGGGCGGACTTGGAAACATCGCGCCTGATGGCGGACCACGAGTAGAGGCCGTTGGTGCCGCCGGTCACCCTACGGAGAACCAAGAGTACACCAGCTCTGGACGCGGAGGCGCGGGCAACATCCGCCAGCGCTCAGGCTCGCGCGAGCCGAGCAAAGTTTCCGCGTTCTTGCATCGCCTGGGACATGGCAAGGACGGTGAGGTCGAGGCGAAGTAGGCTGAGATCAGCCTGGATTCATAACAAACTCTGCTGTGCCCTTGGTGCGCGCTCAGCAGCGAAACGAAAAGAAGGATTTATCCCAATGTATCGCCATTTCTACCTTTGTATTCTCATATGTATCCACTCGTACTGTCCTCTTTATGCGCTCATATAGTCTTTTGATACTCTTTCGCAAGATGAAGGTTCATCACTGAATGATGTGCACCACAACAGGCGTGCATGAACTCTGATTGTACGACGTGCTCTCGGTAGGCTCGAACACAACGACGTTCACGTTGGAGCTGCTTGAAGTGCAGATTGAGAGGCTGGTGGTATCGCCGTTCACGCCGAGTGTGTAAGGGTACTGTGTCCCGTGCGGACTGGTGCTGTACTGCACCAGTTATGATGTCAGAGACCCGTCACTCGCTCATGAATCAGGTGACACATACCACATCGCAGTACGCTGCTGCTGGCGAAGTTGTGTCGCCGAACTCGAGAAGCCCTCCGGGTGTGGGGATGATTAGGGAAGATGCTTCATCCGAAACAAGCGCGCCTTTAGTCATTGTAAACGCGATGGGGGGCGTGGAGTCTGTATCGTTCGCCTGTTGTGCATGATCAGCATTGTGACTGCGAGGGAGCTGTACTCAAGTATGACGCACGACTAGTACCGTCGTGTTGTGCACGCCGCTGAGCGTCAGAGCACGCGCCACGGTCGAATCCGCTACGTCTAGAGCTAGAAGAGTGAAGCTGGGTGCATCGAGAACACTGTCCGCCGGACAGGCATTGGAGCGACGAAGGTGCGTCGTGGGTAGCGCGATGATAGGAAGCGCCACGGTGAGCGACGTTAGAGCGAGAGTGCGCATGGCGGGTGAAAACATTGAGAAGAGGATGGGTGGTGGAAGTAATGTTGCCTGCTAGTAGGCGCGTCCTTATCTATATGCCTTCAAATACTCTCTATAAGCAGTACGCGCCGAACAGAGATGAACCTACCGTTTGGGGCGTGTTCACTCACAGGCGACGACTGGACGGCTTCCATGCTTGATTGCTCTGTACCCGATCCAGGCGTATCAAGACGTCACTGTTGTAGAGGAAATGGATAGGTCGGCTACCTCTCTTTGCAACGTCCTTAACTACGTAGATAGCATATGGGATACGTCGCACGTTAGATAAAGCAAATCCCGAAGAAATCGATCATTATACGGCCATTCGCCAAGGAAGGTAGAGTAGGTAATCATGATGCCCTACAAGATCGTAGAGTTCCAAGCAGCGCGGTCATCAAGTGTCCAATTCAAAGTGTCCTGAACAGAAATATCCTGAGAAAACGACGAAAAAAGTCCGATCAAAACATGTCCATGCATTTGACGCTCAGCAGCAGTCATGAAGAACCTGGACGGAAACTGGTACGCAGGAACTTGCGTCGTACGGATCCGTCACGCCGGAGTCGGGTGCGAAGACGATGACATCAACAGGCTTCCCGTTGTTCGGGGCCGTACAAAGGGCGAAGTCATCGAGATCGGCGTTGACGGCAAGGGTGTAGGGGTAAGTGACGCCGTGGGGGCTAGTATTGAACTGTGGGTCTCGTGAGCCTGCTGCTGCTGTTCTATTGATGTACAAACGTACGAGTTCGCAGTACGCCGGGATGGCATCACCCGTCGCAGAATCATCGGAAGCAGTGAATTCCAGCAGGGTGTTGCTTGTGGGGACGTAATTTGAAAGGGCAACGCCACCGCTACCGTCGACGGGGATGGAGTACATCGCACCGTCTGTCATCGTGAAGTTCGTTCCGTAGTTCTTGCTGAGAGACGCGGCGGACTGTGTGTCCTTGAATCAGAGCTTTGCAGCCAGAAGTTGGCTTGAATCACATACTGCTATGATCCGGATGCCAGGCTGGAAGGCGTCCAGTTCACCCAACGCCAGCGGTGTCAGGGTAGGTGGGTCATTACGGCCCACGGCGAGTAATGTGAAGCTCTCTGTGACGTTGGTGACGCTATTCCACGCGCATGCCGGGGGAGTGCGCTTTTCCAGGAGAGTTGAGCCCAATGGTGTTGCCAGCGCGGAGACAACAACCGAGGAGAATGCGAATGCAGCGGACGTGAGCATTGCGAAGGATCTGAAGGAATCGAAGAGGGGTTGAGTGAGTCGCTTGCCGGGGGCGAGTGCGATGAAAGGGTTGAACCACCGGCGCGTGTTTATATATGACATCGTAAGCGCTAATTGATGAACAACATTTGCCGCCGAAGTTGATGACCCAGAGAGTCGGCGCGATCCCCGGTGTGTAGCAAAGGCCAGACGGCTCAGGAGCAGCAGGTGAAAGGTCTTTGTGTGAGCACAGGAAGACGGAGGCGCATGCGGTGAGACCGGGAGAAGTTGAAAGATTGAGACAAGGCGGGCGAAGAACTCCGCTCACATACACGATTCAAACGTCGAGGATTGACTAGGCGCTGCCCAAAAGCGTTCGAGGCGGTACAGAAGGAAGTTCAAGGAACAGTTCCTCCGATGATTATGGGCACCCTTGGGCCACACGAATGCATCCAGGCGGAGTTGACATGCAGAACCCGCCCACGTTCCGGATGACTCAATTGTCAACATCAGAGGAAACATTCAAGACGCGCACGGTCGCGGTCAAGAACAGCAAAGGTTCGTCTACCCTCGACGATACCGTGGGTGGAGGACACCCGCTCATCGCACAAAATAGGGACCTAGGCGGGCCGGCCATCTGCACGGGTCGAGCGCGACTCTTCTGGTACGCGCCTGAAGCGCTGAATCACGAGAAGCAGACTCCAGAGCAAGGAGAACAATCGTTCTGAATGGACTCCGGAAGGCCCCCTGCACCGTATTGTAATCTGACACGACGTCGGTGTCATACACAAACCCTCATCAAGTCAATAAGTAAGTCGTGCATAGGTTGCATGCATATGGGCGAGAGGGAGCGAAAGGCTTCGTCCGGGTGAGTCCGAGATCGACGTCTTCTTTCTCTCGAACCTTCTGCTGGCAGTTCACAGGATGCCCGATTGAGTTCAAGGTTTGCAAGCCCAGATCTGGCGAGGGCGCATTCCGGGTGCATACTGCAGACGAAGCGAGAGGGGGGTGATCATCCAACGCAGTGAGCTCCGGATGAGAGAACCCACCCAGTTACACGTTCGGTGCAGAAGAACATGGAGGGCGCAAGCTCGAAGAACTGGGAGGCGACCCACCAAGTTCAGTCAGCTTGGTGCCATGGCGTGACCGTCAAGTCATGGATATTACGCAGACTTGCGTCACCGATAAATATCGTGCTCGCGTTTCCGAGCCCGACTTCGCGACCTCTCTCAGAAACGACGACCATGGCCCACGAACTCCCCGCGCTCCCCTACTCGTACGATGCTCTCGAGCCGTACATCTCCAAGGAGATCATGACCCTCCACCACACCAAACACCACCAGACGTACGTCAATGCGCTCAACGCCGCTGAGGGCGCGTACGCCAAGGCGTCCACGCCCAAGGAGCGCATCGCCCTCCAGGCGGCGCTCAAGTTCAACGGTGGTGGTAAGTGGAAAGACATGCCCTTTGAACAAACCAGATCGGAAGAGACTGGAGCGAGCGATCTGCGCCTTCGTGCTCGTTATCGCTTGACGTTCCACTGTTAGGCGCCGTATGTTTACACACGAATCAGGTCACATCAACCACTCCCTCTTCTGGAAGAACCTTGCGGGCTCTGCCAAGGAGGGCAAGGGCCACGGCGGTGAGCTCAAGTCGGGCGCGCTCGCCAACGCGATCAACCAGAAGTGGGGTTCCCTCGACGCCTTCATCAAGGAGTTCAACACCACCACCGCTGGCATCCAGGGCTCCGGTTGGGGCTGGCTCGTGAGTTCACCCGCTTGACGCTAAAGACAGACTGCTTATAGTACTATCTAGGGATACTCTCCGTCCAACAAGACGCTCGAGGTCGTTACTACCGCCAACCAGGATCCTCTCATCACTCACGTCCCGATCATCGGCGTCGATGTCTGGGAGCACGCCTTCTACCTCCAATACAAGAACGTCAAGGCGGACGTGAGTAACTCTGATTTGTTCATGTAGACTACCTGCTCACGACCCTGCAGTACCTCAACGCCATCTGGAACGTGATTGACTGGCAGGAGGCCGAGAAGCGCTTCACTGAGGCCACCGGTGGTTCAAAGCTCTGAGCTACGATACCGATATGAGCTTGCTGCGTAGTTATCTTGTAGGAAACTGAAGTGGAATCAAATGTGTACACCTAGTTGTTGATCTTTCGGCTGTCCGAGACCCGCTCGTCGTGCTCAAGTGCGGCCTCCGTGGACGGGCCAGTCGACCGACGCAGTGTATACGCGTCAGATCGGCTCATCTTGGGCTCAACAGACGAAGCGGTTACCGGAAATACGTATCGGCCGATCGGCCCCGGAGATAAGCATGACGCGCCCGCTCACAATTGTTGATTGTGACGCGACGCGCGGGTCACAATCGAAGTCGGTATTTCTGCGTGGCCCCCGCGACTCGTTGCCTTCTACCCATCCACCTCAACCTCTTGCGATATTGGACGCTGCTCTTCCATCTGCTCAATCTCTCACGCTCTATATCACAACATGCCCCGAGTCCCGCGTTCTCGCTGCGCGTATGCTATGTTCGATGAGCCCGTCAAGCCCAAGCGCGCGCCGGCGAAGAAGCGCTCCGAGATGACAGAAGATGAAAAGGAAGAGGCCGACATTATGCGCATCGCACGCAAAGGAATCAAGATTGCCAAGGACGAGTGGGAGAAAGCTCTTCCCGCACCCTGGGCTGGCCCTGAAGACTTCAAGTGGCCCACGGGCACTATTGTTCGTAGTCCAGTCTGACGCTAGCATTCATTCTTGCTGAGAGCGTTTCAGGGCATATACAAGAGCGATGCGAAGTCCTCATTCGGTCTCACAGACAAGGACATCATGACCCTACGCCACGAAGCCATCTCTGGCTCGCCCAAGACGTTCTACTCGCTCATTGACGTCAAGAATCTGTCCTTCGAGAAGTTCGCTGCCAGTGCCCTCTCGCTCGACTTCAAGATGCCTGGTCAGCCCAAGAACGGCACCGTTCGCATATTCCAAAAGACTGATCACTCGCCTAACCGTCGCACGCGTACAAACTGGAGAGACCTCGAGCGCGCATCCTGGTTCATGGTTGAGCGTTTCTACATGAAGGACGACCCTATGTTCGCCAAATCTGTTGCAGTTGAAGCATAGATCACCCTTTGAATTGGTGAGTTCACGATTCGTTCGACCATACATCGCGCAACATCTTAACCACGTCCTCAGGCAATCTACGACTTATCACACTATAATGCTTCTATGTTTGCTTGATACGTGATACCCTTGTACACCCTATACTTTCTACGCATTGCTTAGTCGAAAACTTAGCGCTTTGTCCTATATCGACGATATCCATATCCTTTTCTCCTTCCCCAGCAGCGCTGGCATGATTATCGGCTACGCATCGATCCTCCCTCACTTGCGGTCAAAGTATATGTTGGAGTAGTAGAGCTATATGCGGGACCTCTGTTACATGCTGTTCATTCGAACTCTATATGTCCGCTGTTGTCCCTGCGGAGCTTTACCCGCCAGAACGAAACGCGCAAGCCAGTGCTCTCCAACTTCGCCAGCCTCTCAGCGAAGTCGTACCAAAGCTGCTGGTTCTTGGGCCTAGTGCCGCGTGAATTCCGCCATCCGTTGCTTATCCACGTCCTCAGCTGTCTAGCTCCCATTTCGACATACTCGGAATTCGTCGCGATAACGAGGTGGTCGAAGCCCAGCTGCTTGCCGTAGAGGAGGTCTGCCCAGGCCAACGCCATACTGACAGCTGCAAGTTTGGCACGATTGCTCGTGTCTCGCTCGTCCTCATTCTCGTGATTCTCTTCGTTATACACGTGAAGACGTTCATGCAGCGATCCTCCCGAATTCTCATGGCCTCGCGGAGAGTATTGCACCAGCATACTCCCGTCCGCATCCATATAACCATTACGTTTACACCGGCCGTCGGCGAAAACGAGTGCAGTTGTCTCGTTGTTCAGCGCCCCAATGTATCTCCACCTGGCATGATCATTCTCGGGCCCTCCAGGAGGACTTCCGGGCTTGAAGAGATCGGCGGGCGTCCAGAGGTATGCGCCATTAGGAGACCGCTGAGGGAAGATGCGTTCTCGTGCGCTGAGGCTAGGCGCATTGTGCAAGTGTAGTAACCGAGGCTTCATGTCATCGGTGATAGTGAGCCAGCCCGGTCGAAGTATGCCATCGAAATTGGGTGAACTTGAGGCAGGGCGATGGGGATGGGAGTCGAAGATCGCAGTGCCGATGAAGCCTTGCTCACTTGCATGGCGTTGGTCGTCCTCGTCCTCGTCCGAGGCCACTCCAGGAGTATGAACAGGTGGACATCTGGCAGACGATAATCTGCTCACCGTAAGCAAACCCAGTGTACTCTACCATGATGGATAAGGTGATGGTCAGTGGCAGGTGTGCCTCACGAATGCCTCATGTTTCTGGGAGGACTATCGCCACCTCGCCTGGGAACAACCGGCCGCCGATCACCTATTTGTGCAAGCAGACCAAACGTGGGCTGCACGCGTGAGGAAGCGACGGCGTTGGCCTTAGACGTCTAGACACTCGTGTGCAAGAGAAGATGTCATCTTCAGTCGTTATGGGTAGTGTACATGACAATGGCAGTATGGATCAAACAGAGTCGAATCCGCCCGTCGAGAGCGACGGCGGCAGCGATGAATTTGTTGAGCCGCACGGTACAGTGATGTCATCAGTGAGTTCGAGCTCGATGGTCGAGCCTTGAACGAACGCGTCCCACTCAATAAAACAGTTGGACTGCCATGGCTGACCATCAATGGTCACGTTCTGCTATCGCATCAGCTACCAGAACCGTGCTGTGAGATCGTCATCACTCGCCTTTACGAAGACGTTCCCGCCAGTCCCATCGGCAGGGTTACCAGTGAAGTTGTGCGCGATGATAGTGGTCGTGGTACCCAGAACCGGGTTGGTGAAAGAGATGGACGGGAAGAAAGGTGATGAGAGCAACAGTTGACGCGTCGATGGAACTGGATACATGCCAGCAAGGTAGAAGAACGCATAGCTTCCCATGGCGCCAGAGTCTGAGAGACCGCAACAGTAAGCTCATACACAATCTGAGTATATTGGACGGATTCTCACCGTCGTTCCCTGGCAGACCATTCACAGACAGGTTGAAGAACTGGGCGATGGTTTGTCGTGAGCGTTGGGTACTCAGGCCTGGGCGATTCGCATAATGGTACATGAAGGGGATCTGCTGCCCCGGCTCGTCCGTTACATCAAAGTAACCCTGCAGCTCTTATCAGTAATGCACCCTTCAGTCTATGCTCGCCAATACTTACTTCATCAATGATGAAGTCAAGCCTTTCTATGAACTTCTCCGCCCCACCCTGCAGCTCAATGAGCGCAGCATTATCTTGCGGCACGAATTGAGAGTATGTGAGAGGGCTGCTTTCGTAGAACCCGTCCATATTGCTCGCATCGAGGAAGCACGTCGAGTGCAGCGGGTCATTGGCACTGCAGTGTCTAGGGTCTGTGAATGCAAATGAACCGTTCAAGAGCCGCTTCTGCATCATCCCGGCGAGGTTCGCAGGGCCTGTGGGAATGGTAACAGACGGATCCCAGTTGTTCTTGAAGTTGCCTGCCCTTTGGGCATACTGCGCCGAAGATATCAGCTGGTGTACTCTGGGTGATGGCGCCGCGCATACCTTCTCAGCATCAGCTGCATTTCCCATCAACTTGGCAACCTGGCTGATCCCGAAGTCCCCGAACGCATACTCGAGTGCGCGCGAGACCTCCTTTGTTGGCGCTCCGCCGGGTTCGACCAGATCAGCCGGAAGATAGCCATACATCTTCCAAGCATCGGCCTGACGTCCCTGCAAGTTCCAATCGTCGGGTGTGTTCTCAGCTGATGCAAGTAACGCAGTGTACAGCGCAGACGGGTCAACCCCCAGGTCGGACGACTGATTGGCGAACTTAACGAAGAACTCGGAAACAATCGGGTCACCGTCTTGCAGCCGCGAATGAGTAATGTGCAACTTGGCTCGGAGCAGTGTGACGAGACTGACCAGAACCACCCTGGATATACTGCTGCTGGGTTGCGCCTCGACATTCGGGTATGAACCCCTCGTGCTGTTGTATGTCTATCATGGCGTGAACGATGTCCGCGAAGCGTTGAGGATCGTGTAGGCTCATGAGAGGAAACATCGTTCGGAATGTATCCCACTATTCCAATGAGTATGGATTGTACAAGACGGTCACATGTGGACGCACGTTGCAGTAGAACGAATCATAGTACGGCGCATCTGACGTCCATGCAGGATTCTCGCCTGAGTCTATGAGCCGGGCCCAGTAGTCAGTCACATCTATCGTACGTCTGAAGGTGTGAGACGGCCTACAGTCGGCAGGCACGATGTGCGTCCTATACAAGCTGCTATAAAGTAGTTCGCGCATGTCCTCCTGGTCATCATCATCAGAGAGTGTGACATTGACTCGTCCTAGAAGGTCGTTCCAAGCCGAACGCGCGTTTGCTGCCAGAGTATCGAAGTCCCAAACAGGGCCAGGTATGTCTGCCTCGGCGTTCGCACAGGCCTTATCGGTCGAGATGAAGGATACACCTGTGCGTACAAGAAGGGTCGTGGGGGTGGTTCCATTGGAAGAAGGTTGAAAACCAAGAATAGCGCCCACTTCCGAACCAAAACCTGGCGTGACATGACGTCAGTAAGTATATGCAGCTCCCCGTAGAACCATAGACGCACGAACCTAGATAGATCTGCTTTGCATCATGTAGTCGACTGAGTGGCGTGTTGCTCTGCCAAATCCCGAAGTCAACAAGTTGTGCGTCTGATGAGCCCTCAATGGCGAAGTCGACACAGCCGTATGTGGTATACCGTCCGGGCCCAAAGCTTGCCTGAGTACTACCTTTAGCGTGTGCAAGGCATCGTAGATATGCTGCTCATGCGACAGAAGGAGGACGAACCTGAAACTGTGCAAGCGCAGTCACTCGACCGGTGGTCGTATTGATGGACACAAGCGGCGTCGTCGCGCTGTTACCCGCTGCACTCGTGACATCCACGATGAATCGAGGTATGGTGCCATCCTCTTGTGCCGGGAATGTATGCCGTTGGAGAGTGGCACGGGAGGCTGCAGTGAGCTCAACGCGCATTCCATTGGTCTAGGGATTGACGTAAGCATTGGCTGTAGGCAACGTCCATGGACGGAGCACACACCAGGTTTGTCGAGAAGTAGCCCGGACTAGCCGCATCGTCAGCAGAACCGTCGTCTTTGAGGACTCGTGGGACAGCTCGGGTATTAACATCCGTCGTGCAGTTATCGATGGTCGGGCACGCCGGCACGGGGAATATCTTCCAGTGCCTGCCGAATATCATGACGTCGGCCAAAGAGAGAAGCAGGGAACCACAACGTACGAGAGCGAGACGCCTCCGCCTGTTCCCGTATCATGCAGTGCACTGAATCCCGTCACGTTGAACTCTGGATTCGCATCATAGCCCGCTTGCTGCATGATAGTCAGCGATTGTCTCCTCACAAATTGTATCAAGAAAACACACCGGCTCGTTGGAATTGGTGTCCATGCCTGCCTTGGCCATTCCATGAGGTAGCGTCGCGCCAGGAAACACGTGACCTCCAGCCGTAGTACCGATGAATAGATTTACAAAGCTGGATACATCAGTAGTATTCTGCGCGACAGCCAGGCGGCAGCCCCCAGCATAGACGATGGCCGCAATCAGCGACCTCGAGAGTCGCATTGTAAACGGCGCGAAGCAAGAGGACTAGGTCAGGCGAAAGAAGGCAATAGCGCGCAGTATATATAGTAGTGCGGCCCGGCCGTCATGGTGAAGAAGCCCGTCGCGAGCTCGGGCAATCTGACGGCGACAGCAGCGGCGAGAAAGAATCACTTCAACAGGCGCGTCGTCTCTGACGGGTCGCACCATACCACCAAATACAGCAAAAGAAGCATTTCAGCTGACATGACAGGCATGCTGTACTGGAACCACGAGGCGTAACGAGCGCTCTGATCATGGCCGCTCGTCTGAAGGGAGATGAGACGTACATTCTGGGAGGATGTTCCAAAATAGCTTCGAAAGAGTCAAATGGGCGCGTGATACCATGCTTCTGAAGGGTGCGGATTCTCCGGTAGCTAGCCTTCTCAATTTCATATTCAGAGGCGTACAGACATGCCTGCGGATGCACGGTGCGGTTATAAGTGCGACGAGTAGCGATGCCGTGAGGGTCAGCGTCAAAAGAGTCGCTCGTCGCCTGGCAGCTCGGAGACGCGGCACGCGCAACCTGACTTCGCGACATCTCATCATATGCGCCCACGTGAGTTTATGTCTGTGCGCTTGAGCAGGCTTGCGCAAGAGTAATCAGCTCCTTTCCTCTCTCTACTTGTGACTAAGATGAGATACGTGTCATTCCTCAAACCCCTGAAGTGTTGATGGATTGTTGCGACCATGATGCCTTTCAGGAATAGATAGTGCATAGCGAGCTATGGAGTTGCTATCTCTGCGCGCGATGCATGCGAATCTCGTAAATAATACGGATATTCATATCAGCCATTCCTTCCCGCCATAGCCTGTTATCGTCGTGACGCATCCAATTGTGGAAGATTACGGTGTGTAGTGTGCCACCCATATGCAGACGCCCGTACACAACCTTCCGAAGAACGTCGAGTACTGTGTATCCTGGGTCTACTGCGGTATGCGGACTCATGTTCTGAATGGTCAACGTCTGTAGAGTGGGCATGATTCTCCAGTGTGGCGGTTCCCCCGCGATTGGACTCTCATTGAGCTCGTGTAAAGCGGATAGCAGTGTTGCCGCGGTGGCATGCTTCGGGGAAGGGCCATACGCGGCAAGACGTAGGTGCTTAACCTGTCGTGCTGCGACGAGCAGAGACAATAGACCTCCATCAAGCGAGTCTAGTGCTGAGCATGGCGCGCCTTTCAGGAGAAGCGAGAGGGTAGAGATATTTGCAAAGACCTGCACGGGCTGATTGAACAAGATCCACCTCTTCGAGAGATCTTCCTCTAGATCGCATCGGCACTGATACCGGATGGAAACGTCTCCGACATTCGTCGACCCCTCTATGAATAATCCCTCATGTCCATGAGGCATCGCTGTGTCTGCCGTGCGGAAGTTGGGCAAGCCATCTGCGCTATACTCGCTCTCACGCCAGCCATGTATGTCGATACCGCGTCGAGGTTCGGCTCCTTGGACTATTGCGAGGGTCCTTATTGACGACTCGGGTCGTCCATGAACGAAAAGGCCGTCGAGACCAAGAGAAATTGGTCCCGCATCGCTGTTGACTGCAGGTTGCTCAATCACCCGTGCTTCCACTGAACCGATAACGTTCACGACCGCAGATATTGGGAGATGGACTGAATCAAGGAAAGTGATGATCGACATGGTGTTTCCCGTCTCAACAAGAGTGAGGTCTTGCAAGCGGGGAAGCTCTAAGCGCTCCAGCATGGGCGCGACCGTCGCGTTCAGAGCGGGCAGGCATCCAGCCAGATGCAACTTCTCTATGCGAGGGATACTCGACATGAAAGTCGTGAAGGCATCGATGCCGAACCAATAGTTCGGGGCCGAATAAGGACCATGTATCAGCCTGATCTCCGTAAGGTTCGCCGTGACGTTGGGTGGCGGTAACTGGCATGCGACAGACATGTCAACACGAAGCACTGTCGGCAACGACACGCGGGATAGCAAATCCTCCAGAGTTATGGCGTGCTCGTGCAGATCGCCATAGACGCTCAACTCTGTGACGGCAGGATACCGCTGAACATTCAGGAGGTCTGTGTACCACCAGTCCTCGCAGTGGACCTCTGCTTCAATGCTGCGGATGCGGTCCGCGCAGCTCCGAAGGAGGACGGTGAGTCCGAGAGATGTGCAGTCGGCACCAATGAGGTCAAGGGGTGCTTGCCCGCTTCTGCGCACAAGCTCTACAAGCCACTTCAAGGGAAGATGTGTGGGTATAGTGGTCCATAAAGATGGCATCGCTAGCGCAACCGCTCGCCACAATCTGCAGACATGGGCTACACGCCCGCAACCCCAGGACAGGCGTAAAGGCAGGTCTGGTTCCGAGACGTAGCTGTACTCCGAATCCGTTTCCGACGATCCATCGCCTTCGTTATCTTCTATTTCCTCTTCGCTTTCTTCATCTATGTCCGTCTCCTCATGATCTGAGTACGCCTCCAAGTCTCCGATGGCATCCACGAGAGCTAGCCAAGCGAAGATATCCTCCAGGACTTCGACTGGTATGCGATAAATTGATGCGGGGGTAAGCGCCCCCTCGAGGCTTCCGACATCCATATTCGCGTACGTTCGGCCGTCCCTCGCACAAGATGGGTCGTACGGTGTTTGGACCAGCCCAGTAACCAGGGTAGAGATAATGGCGGTGAGCAACCAACACGGTGACCGCGAGGCCAACGCGCGGCGACAAATAATACGACTCTGCCACAACGCGATCACATGCCTTTCTTCATCAACTTACAAACTCAGGTTGCCACGCGGCGAAGAGGTCATGACCGAGTTGACTTGGCGTAGATGCACAATCACACGAAAGATCTGAGATATGGTACAGTACGCTTCAAATCAATGCATCCGTATGTCGTATACTACAGGGATAGGTACATGAGCCAGCCCTTCTCTCCAAAGCTCGTCATCGTCGTTGAACATCCAATTATGTATATAGATGGTCCTGAGCGGGCTTCCACCATCGGCGCGGACGCGAACGACTTCCCGAAGAGCATCCGGCAAGGTCTCTCCGGACTCCATCTCCGCATATGGATCCATATTCTGCAGTGTCAACGTGCATAGAGCCGGCATGAGCGCCCAGCGTTCCAGCGTTCCCACCTGGGCTTCCTCGTTGAATTCGCAGAGGGCCGGCAGAACCGCGGCCGCGGTGCTATGCCTGGCATCCGGATGATGTCCGGCAAGGCGCAGGTGCTCGACCCGGCGGGCCGCGCGAAGAAGTGACATGTATCCCCCTTCGAGAGATTGTATCACTGCCAACGGTCCTTCGGCCAACGAGAGCGTGAGGGCCCGGACGTTCGAAAGAACATCTTGTGGCTGGTTGAAGAGCGCCCAGCGCCAACCCATATCTTCATGCGGGCTGCCAAAATCATATCGATACTGTATGGCGATATCGCCGGCGTTGGTCGATCGTTCCATGAACATCTCATCCACCAGGTATAGAGGGAGCTTGTCCGTCTGAAGGAAGTCTGGCGAGCCATCTACGCCAAACTTGAGCTCACGCCATGCGTGTACGTCGATACCGCGCCATGTGGTACCGCTCTGTATGATGGCGAGCGTTCGGGGTGCCAATTCCGGATCGCCGCGCCAGAAGAAGCTATCGAGGTCTAATGAAATCGTTGTCGGTGGTCCATGATCCATACTAGGATCGCGCGTTATGATGAGGCATGAGACATTGACGCGCGCAGAAGCCGGAAAGCGAACATTGTTGAAGAACAGTATGGCTGCTTTCGCCGTGTTGTTCTCCTCGACAAACGTGAGGGCCTGCAAGCGGGGGAACTCGATGCGAGCGAGGTTGAAGGTGAGGAGAGGAACATCCTCATCATCTAGAAGTGGGAAGCAATTTGCTAAGGAGAGTATCTCCATGTTGGCCAAGTTGCCGATGATATCTATGACCTCTGTCACCGTGAATAGATCACGGCCGACGACATAACGAGGTTCGCATATCAGATGCAACTCCGTGGATTCCTCAGGAAGCTGACACTAGGTCGGAAGATGCATATTGGTGTTATATGGGCACGGAATACAGTCAGTCGAGGGAAAATGTTCTCGTCGAAGATCCAGCCGCACTCGTGAAATTGGCCGTGAAGGGTCATTTCTGTGGCCGCAGGGAAAGGGTGTGTTAAGAAGGGAGGGTGATCGTTCCTGGCCGGACTTCCGAAGTCGACCTCGATGCTCCGAATCCGCTTCAACGCTCTGTGTGTTGCGAGATCAAAGCCGAGGAATGTGTCCGTGCCGACTACTCGCACAGACTCTTCTCCGCTTCTCTTGATGAGCTCGTCAACCCAGTGCAGCGGAAGATCGAGAGGTATAGTGGTCCAAAGTGAAGGGCAGGCAAGCGCAATGTTACGCCATAAGCTACAGACATGCGTTACACGGGCCCAGCCCCAAGAGACGCGAAGCGGGAGGTCTGATTGAGAGGAATAGGTGTATTCCGAGCCCGTATCCGACGATTCATCGCACTGCATGTCCTCCTCGCCGCAGTCAACCCCTTGTGACTCTCCGTCCGAGTCTTCGTCGACATCGTCGTCCGGGTCGTTCGCGTCAACCTCTAGCTCTCCGATCACGTCGATGAGGGCCAGCCAGGCGAAGATATCCGTGAGTAGTTCAATCGGCATGCGATTAATGAGCGGTGTGGCCGTGAAGCCTGGCTCAGAGCTGGCCATGTCCGCCAACGTGGGATATCAAGCGGTGGTGGTGGATTCAATACAGGGTGCACGGCGGCCGGATCGAGCATGCGCAGCGCGAGGCTCGGATTCAGACATGACGCGATCACATGGCTTTTTCGTTCAGGCAGTACGCGCACGAGATAGTAAGGGCATTCAGGTGCTCGCTAAAGCTTGTAAGCCCCGCCTACCCGTTGAGCACTGTCAGTGGAGAAGAAATCTCGGCCGTAGCCCGAATGCCTCAAACTGGGGAGTCCAGCATGAGCGGCGAGCCGGGGTCGCCGCGACAGAGCCGACGACGATGTGTAGTAAATGGCTGCACTGTATCCTCACATCGCCACAAGCACACCCTTTCGAATCCACAGATCGCATGGTATCACAGTATATTAGTACATTCCATAACCGAGCACCCTCAACTCATCATCTCCTCCCATCGACAAAATCAAGCGCACTATCCAGTCCTCTAACGATCCTATCCGGCCTCAACCCCTTCATAGCCCCAAACACACCTCCCTTCTTTTTATCCTTATCCTTTATCCCTCCTTCCTTCTCCTTCCCTTTACTACTAGGTACAGGACACGAGTCCTTGCCGTACCTATTCCGCTTCGTACTGGCGCTGGACCCAGAGCCGGAGCCGACGGAGACGGTAGATGTCATAACGCCCTGCGGCGTCTGCACGCCGCCCCACAGCGTACTCGAGCTGGTATCGCCAGGGATTTCGTTGAACGTGTCGACGCTTACGCCGGCCTCGGAGACGCTCATCGTGCCGCGCTCCTTCCCTTTACCCTTGCCCTTCACCCCGCTCAGATCGCTCCTTATACTCCCCTCCCGACTGGATCCGAGGTTCAAGAAACTGTCTCCGCCGACGGTCATACTCCGTGCCCTTGCGATACCGGAGGGCACGGTAGAGCCGACAACGGCGGCGCTCTGCGTCGAGCCTTTGCTCCTCTCCTCCTTCTCCTTTTCGCGCTCGCGTTCACGTCGAGAGCCTGAGCTCGAAGTCCCGAACGAGCTGAACGTGGCAGTCTCTTCCTTCTCCCTATCCCTTCCTTTTCCCTTCCCGTTTCCCTTCCTACTAGTCGGACCAAGTACGCCCGACTCCTCAAGCCTCTCCCTCTCACGCTTGATCCTCTCCTTCTCGCGCTTCTTCTCCTCTTTCGACGAGGATTTGCCATAGGCGTACGATGACGAAGACGACGCGGCGGCGGAAATGACCGTCGACGTTGATCCGGGAGACAGAACAGGCAGAATCGCAGGCGCATCGGGCGACAGAGCGCGGGAGTACGAGCTCAACAGCGCCGCCTCCGTACTATTCGTCCGAACCCCAGTCTGCGAGTACGAAGGCGCAGGCGAATGCACATGCTCAGTGCTCGTTCCGGCGCTGTCGTGGCTCGTCACGCTACTGGCCGGTATCCCATGCGAATACGTGCTCGTCGGGCTGGACGATAGCTGCGGCTGCTGTGACTGCGAGCTAGACGGTACAGGCGCGAGATCGCTGAACGGCACAGGGGCGACCGCGCTCGCGCGCCTGCTGTACCCCGCCGCGCTCAGCCTCTTCTCTCGGACGGGCAACGGCGGCACATCATCGTCCCCGGCATCCCAGTCCCACTGTTCTTGCTGCTCTCGTTCGGACTCCTTCTCCTGTTCTCTTGACTTGTGCTGTTTTTGCGAAGCCTGAACGGTTTGGCGTGCTTGGCGCGCGAGATCGAGAGGCCAGTTGTCCCATTCGAGTTCGACGGGCGGTGCGTCGTCTTCAAAACGGGCGGTGGTGAAAGGTGTCACGGTTGAGATCGAGGCGCGGGGTTGAGGGACTGCGGGTAACGCGGCGGCGCCGTACAATGCTACGGCCAGCGAGTCAGGCACGGGACCCAGACCTGAGCGTTGGGCTTTCCTGGCCAAGGTTGCGCGCCATTCAGGGTAGGAGTGCGGTGGCCTGCCCTTCGTGTCGGCGTGGAGTTGTAGGTTCGCGTTGGCCTTTGATGATGACGATGTGGGCGATGTGGGGCTAGTTTGAGCGTAAGGCAAACACGGGGCGGGAACGAAGACGGAGGAAGAGAGTGATTGAGGAGAGTGTCGATGGAGGACGCGGAGGACATGGGTGTGGGTATGTGCGTCGCCCATGTCGAGCACGACGTAGGTGCCGCCCTTCTTGGAGTCTGAGTTGTTCACGGTAGGAGACTGCGCCTGCGCGTGCGAGGGTTGAGGAGAATAGAGCGGAGCCCAGGTCTGTGGCTCGTCGTTAGAGGTCATACTATCGGCTGACATCTGCCTGTCTCGGCCAATATTAGAAGACGAGGGCTCGTCGGATGCAGGCGAGGATATGGGCGTAGAGCCTGCGAAGGGGTCGGTGAAGAGTGATGGGGATGTGGTGGCTGACGGCGCGGGAGTGGGATTAGACGATGGTTCGCGGAAAGACAGGCATGCGCAATGCGAGGTCGGCAGAAACGAGTTGGCCGGCAGATGCGCGTCCCCGAGCTCGAGCTTGTACAGATGATCGAGTTCAGCAGAGAACGCGGCATTGGTATCCTGCATCACGATTAGATAAGAAATGTTCGATACAATGTGGATGAACGGACGGTGACTGATTTCAACAATCTGAGCCTGCCGTCTATGATCTCAAGCCAGCGGACCTTCCACTCGAGCTTGATCTTCCTCTTCTTGCCGGAATGCGCGTAGGCGGGCAGCTCGGGCTCGTTGGCGTTGACGTATCTGAGCACGTTTACCCTCGCGAGCACGTACGGCCGCACATATTCCCTGACGCTGCCCCGCTTGAGCCGCACGACGCATCCGGCCGGGTGGAGCTCGAGCAGCTCGTCGGACCGGAGATTGTACCATCCCAGCCGCGTCTCGTCCTCGAGCACCATCCCCGTGCTGAACGCCACGAGGGCATGTGCCTGCGCGCTGGCCGCGACGGGCGCTGGCGGCAGACTGGGGCCCTCGAAGCTGAAAGTCCCACCGCCGACACCCTCCCAGTCCTCATCTCCGTCCTCCCCAAAGCCGTACACGCCGCTCTTCCCATCATCGTCATCAAACCGCGGAGCAACAAAAGTGATCGGGCTGGGCGCCCTCGCTCTGGGCGGAGCAAAGTCCGTGCTGACGACTTTGCCGAGCAGCCAGCGCTTGAGGTCGGACACCTTCCAGCTGTCGTCAAAGGCGGCGCTGAGCCATTGGTCGGTCCAGACGATGCGGATGGCTAACGTAAACGCGCGGGGAGGGACGTCGGTGTGCGAGACGGAGGCGAAGACGGGCGCGGACATCGGCAATCCAAGATCGACGCGAGGACGTTGACGCGGGGACGAGTCGCGTCGCCGGCGGCAAGAAGTCGTGTCTCGCCCTAAGCACCCGTGGGAGCTTCCCATCAATCCCATCAGCGCATCAAGACGTCTGTTCATTTAACGCCCGTATCTCAGATTCGCTTCTTCCCCGTCATTGGCAGCGATGGCGCACATGTTCGGCTCGATGGGCGGCCTCGGCGGCATCATGGCCCGTCGAGCGTTCGCGCCCGCACATGGAGGAAATGCCAACCGGGCGCTGACAGATACGCCGCCCACGTTCTCAGAAGTCGTGCGGGGCTTATCGTGGACATTCTGGGCTGCGTTCATTGGCTACCTCGGTCTCGTAGCCCTCTTCCTCTTGGTCCGCGGCGGGCGCTCCCTTCCTGGCCCTTCGAGTACGGAAGAGATTGAAGGTGTGGGCAAGGAGCCGGAAAAAGCTGGAGGTGTCTGGCACGGATGGGGAAAGAAGTATGGCCCGCTGTTCGGCTACACGTTCGGTTCTCGCTCTTTTGTTGGTACGTATCGCTTGTAGTTTCATGGACCCTTGACTAATGCTACACAGTTGCGAACAACCTCAAGACTGCCAAGGAGCTACTAGAGAATCGCGCGTCGATATACGCCTCCCGACCCCGCGCAGTCGTCTACCACGAGATCATATCTGACACCCTCGACGGCGCTTCTGGACCACCAACCAAGCACTGGAGCAAATGGCGCGCCGTACTGGAAGCCGTTCCGTCCTCTTCACCGCAGTTCGTGCAAGAAGCGGCGCACACGGCCAGGGAGTTGCTCGCGGGGAAGAGTGTAGAAGAGGCGGCGGAGAGATATGTTGCGAGTTGCATTAGCGTGAGTGTGTACGGAGAGGACGCAAGGGTCAACGCACTGGACGAGCCCGTCTGGGAGGCGCACAAGGGCGCTCTGGAGGGTATGCGCGAGTGCGTGCCTTCTTCGACTCGCGTTACAGTTCGAAGCTCACGGTGATACAGAGTCAGGTAAGCCCTCACGGCTACGATCAAAGCAGCCGGAATACCGAGTCCCTTGTTAGCAAACCTGGCCTGCGCGCAGTCGAAACCTGGCCCTTTCTCCAACACCTCCCACCCCATCTTCAGCCTTACCTCCCACCCTTGCGCGCGCTCCGACTGGACGCCGAACAGACATACCTCACCTCAGTTCTCTCGGCAGACTCCGAGACACCCGCTGTGGGAAAGGCGAATGAAGTTGGTTTAGGCGAGAAGGAGACGGCGTGGGCGCTCGCGGCGCCGTTGCGCGAGGGTGTTGAGCCTACAGCTGCCTGGCTGCGCTGGTGTATCGGTACATTCGCTCATTCTCTCTTTCTCTTCCACACTCATGGAGCACCCAGCTGCATCTTTGATTTTCCCCGCCCACCTCGAACCTATCATCGCGGAAACATCCGCCCTCCCTCACCCACCAACACCTGCCGATCTGTCCTCCCTTCCCCGTACCCGCGCATTCGCGAACGAGTGTCTGCGGTACTGGCCAACCAGACCCGTCATCGCTCGCGCGACGCTCAAAGAGGACACATGGGTTGATCGTGCGAGGAGTAGAGTGTACGAGATATCGAAGGGTGCCGGGGTCTACGTGAACGTTGAGTGCGCATACTCGTCCTGTTCTCTTGTCAAAAGACTGCGGGCTAATCATCGTGACAGTGCTATTGTGAAGGACGAGGCTTCAGTGGAGAGCGCTCGCGCTTTTGATCCCGAGCGCAATATTGAGCCATCTGAACTGGGAGTATTCGGCCTCGGCGCACGGAAGTGCCCAGGTGCGAAGCTTGCGGAGACGATCGTCGTGCTTGGCTTTGCGCGGTACGTATCGTCAACTCTGCTTGGATCGGCATTCGTGTCCTGACAACCTTCTCAGTATACTGTACGCGGCGCATGCAGCTATCCCATCTGGCGGTGCACCTCCGCTTGGGAATGCGTTCGAATGGTCCGGTACGGCGCGTGGGCCGGCGAAGTTTGAAGCAGTATTCGAAGCGAGGGAAGAGGTTGCTGGCATACTAAGGAAGGAGAGGGAGCAGTGGGCTGACGAGTGAGCTACATCGGTGACTACGAGTAGTAAGAGTGCCGTGTCTCAAATGTATTCTGCGTAGAGGTACCTCTCAAGGAATTGAAGGTTCGTCTTGACACACGACGATTGGGCTCGAGCGTGGGTGAAGGCATGTGACCGCGTCGGATTTCCCCACAGTAACACGGGGCGCGCGGGGTGGTCAAAGGGAAACGCCACTCAGATCGCAACGCCCACCTTTGCCCTTTACCTGGCACGTCGTTCTCTCAAAATGGAAGGGCCTCTTACCATAAACGACATACCGCCTGAACTCCTCATAGAGGTGTTTCAGCACCTCGCAGAACTCGAGCCGCTGGGAATCCTCGATTACCCCAACGACGACGTTGCTACCACCCTCGGTTATTCGGATCTCCGCGACTCCAGTAAGATGATCGTGGATGCCGGACGCTCCGAAGATGGAATAGACCGTGACTATCACTATCACGATTACTACGAGGGCTCCATGTCCGCGTCTCCCACGTACTCGCTTGCTTGGACGCGCGCTACGCACGTATGCGGCAGGTGGCGCAGCGTTGCGCTTTCATCCCCCTCGTTATGGACGGCCATCCCCTTCAATCTTCCCCGTGATTGGCTGCTGGAGGTCATTCGCAGAGCCCAGCAGGCACCTCTGGATATTTACATCCCCGAAGCGTCATGGTACCGCGAACTGATGGTCCTTCTCTGCGAGCTAGGCGATCGGCATCGTTTCCGTCGCATAGCTTGCGAGAACGCAAATGCAATGACGTTCAACATGCTGGGGCCCAGACTACTGAAAGGACGCGAGTTCGATACAGATCTTGAAGAACTGGATGTTGTCACCACGTCGTTCCCTGCCGCGGATATCAACGCCTTTCGTTCCATGCGCAAGCTGAGCGTCACGTTCAAATTATGCGAACCCGATTTTGGCGCGTTCGATCAGAATGCGGCGACCCTTATCCCTCCCTCGCTCACCGAGTTGAGACTCGCGGTCACATCTCTTGTAGACCCCCAAGATTACACTCTATCGAGCCACTGGATCGGAACTCTCCCCAATCTGGTCGTGCTCGACCTGGACCACCTCCGGTTTGAGTTTCCGATCGGACAGGATGAGATCTTTCTCCCGCGTCTACGCGAGCTGCGGATCGCCGAGGCCCGCGAGTCCTGCGGTTACTTCGTGCGGTTCGCCCGGATGCCTCATCTGAGGAAGTATACCATGCAGTACAATAAGCCGGTCTATCCCACTACCACAAACCTTACCGGGGTGAGGGCTATGGGCTTCGGCCGTGTTCTCGACGATGTGGACGAATCTATACCCCCATTACACACCCTATCACTCTCACAATTCCTTTCATCTTTTTCCGGCCTGATCCACGTTCACGGCTGGCGCTTCGGTCATACCGGCAATGACGAAGACGACTTGCGATTCCCCATACAAGACACGGAGACGAGAATCTCGGATGCGGATATCTCGCACAACGTGATTTGGGACAATGCGACGGGGGATGATACGACAATGGCCAACTTCGCCACAGTACTCTTGAGTCATCCGGCCTTGAGCTCTCTGCGAATGCTTTCGCTCGACTTGCATCCTAGATTGGATCTAGGCGACGTTCACGCCTGGACCGACCTCTTCCAGCCCATGCGCCAGCTTCGACACCTGCGCATAACCTCCCCACGGAGTGATATTGGCCTCCCCAAGCCGATACTGGATGCCTTGGTGGCACATCCGTGGATCAGCGATGGATTCGTTCTGCCGTTCATGGAACGGTTGACGCTCGTCGACTGGGACCCTAAGAAAGAGCAATCCGGCGATGATCTTCGCACCCTTGCTCTTCTACGCGTCAACAACACCCCACTGAAGTCCGTGCACATTGTCAGCTGGCGCCGTTGCTTCGACGAGGACTGGCAAGAGCGCCTCGCGGAGCTGGAAGGCGTGGCGACCGTCTATGAGCATCTATTCGTGCCTTTGGACCGCATACGCGCTACGGACGAGGAAGATTCCGGGCCGGACTACGAGTACGAGGAGTACGAGGGTTCGGATGTAGACTTCGACGATACGGACGATGACGAGGAGATGTGGCAACCTGGGGTCCCGGTCGGGATGTGGCACGATATATTTTGATTGATGCGTATAATGATTTACTATCTTTCTATTTACAAGTCGCTGTATATGTTCTCGATGTCTCTTACGCGTGTTATATGGAACAAGAATGCATTCGCCCCGTTAAAGGTAAAGCCATGTGACCGCGTCTACACGACGAGACGCGTGGCGCAGTTATCGCTCTGATCTCTAGGTCCATCCATCCCATTTTCCGCCTCGACCGCGAACATGCTGAGGCGACCTTGCGGTCATGCCAAATCGTACTGTCACTCATGAGCCACTACTTGAGTTACTCTTGGACGCATTTCAGCATCACTAGGACCATTGATTACCCTCCTGAAGATTCAGCCAATACAGCCCACCCGAAGCCCGTTCTCGGACCTGTGCTAAGGACATAGGACTCGCTTGTGATATCGACGACGAAGGCGATTCGTGCCCTGCACATCCTCTTCGTCGCCTACATTTTACACCCTACTTCACGTTGATAATCGTTCAACGTTTACGGCTGACGCGCGCGCTCTGATGGCCGCGGCCGCGTGCGATATACTGATGTAGGGAGAAAAAACTAGTGTCAGACCGTGATATTCCTCTATCTAATCCGAGCCATGACTAAGTAACTGTGTTGCGGGACGCTAGTGTCGGTACAACAAGCATCAAGGATATGTACGGAAGTTGCCGAAGTGTCAATATTGCCGAAATGAATGACGGTTTGTTGCCTAGTCGGCAACCACGACCAGCTCTGTGGGGCCGACGAATAGCAACGCACCGCACAGTCACCCACATACCAGCGTAATCGACTTGAGCATGGCTTACAAGCAAGGTGCGTAGGGCCTTTAGCCATTCTGTGTATATCCTGCGATACTGAGACCCAATGGCTTTCAGGTCGCGTGGCTCAGGATGGGCTCTCCGTCGACATATTACACCGCATATTCACTCAGGCCCATGATTCAACACCATTGGAGGCATTCAACTCGGAAGGTTTCCCATCCTGGCTATCCCCTCTGCACGTCTGCCGAACTTGGCGCGCCGCTTCGCTGACCTGCGCGTCGCTATGGCGCCACGTTCCCCTTCAAAGTCTCGCTCTGACCGACTTCGCCCTCTCACATGCCAAATCATTGCCTCTCATCGTATACGCTCCTCCGGCCGGACACTTCGAGTCTGCTGCAGTTCGCACTGCGTTGCTACTCCGCCCAACACGCATCCAACAGCTTGCTTGCCTTGCCACGACGGCCACGTCAAAAGCGCTCAAGACATTGTCTGCTTTAGAGGTCCTATGCCTCTGGATACCCTCTACACAGAGTGGAGTCGCCGAAGACCGCGATATACTCCGAGGACAGTTGACCGCAATAGGGCTGGGCGGGGCAAAAGTGCTTGGACCATTGCGCGAATTGCGTCTACATGCAGTGGAAAGCGGACTGTATCTGACGCCTGGCGTCTTGCAACATACGATCATGCTCACGGTTCTTGAGCTGACTCTTGACGGTCGTATATGGGATAACTTAAGCTCTTTCTTCCATTCGCTACGCGCGCTATCCAAGCTTCAGTCGTTGGTCATTCGAAACGGTGTCCTGCCACATGGTTTTTCGGAGGATCCATACACCCCGGAGCCACATGGGATAATCGAGCTTGCACACTTGCGAGAGCTATGTCTCGAAGCCGATACAGTGGTGGTCGCGCGAATTCTACAATGGCTCTCGATGCCAACCTGCACGCGGGTTGCGTTGACTATGCTCGAACAGGACGAGGATAACTTCGAACCTGAACCTGAACAGGATTCGGACGGTGAAGATATCGAATACCTCGACGCACCGGTTTGGCTTATCCGGGGCTCGGTCATCGACATTCTCGTCAGCCACTTCAAAGACCGGCAGGCTGATCGATTCCCCCTTCAGCACCTCTCCTTGCATTCGATGGACGATGATTTTCATCGTAATACGTGGTACAGCCCCTCTGATCTCGCGTCTTGCCTTCGCAACTTTCCACATCTCGTCACTCTGAGCATCATATTTCACGACCAACCGCGGGATCGGTGGGAAGCGACAGCTGAAGAGCCTATCGCGCTCTCGGAGTTAACCCATCTGCACCTCAGCGGCATGTCCGAGTGGCTCTTTCCGGTCGCCCGCGCCATCGCAGCACCAAAACTACTCCATCGCTCCCTCGTCCTGCAGACATCACCACCGGGTTCTTGGTACGACTCGTCGAGGTATGATTACTCAAAGTCAAAATCGGCTACGAAGAACGAGCGGTTTCCTGAAACACATCTTCGACAACTTCGGGAGGCAATCTGTCTACCCAAGCTGTCCAACGACAGCTCAGACTCCTACACTCGCTTATACATCACACCCCTTCGCACCACCAACTACCTACCCGGCTTGCGTCTTCTTGCAACTGGGGTGACAGGCCCAAATCTGCCTCCTGTGCTCGATCTGTCTCTGGACGAACAGAATTTGAAACACGGGGATTTCAACACCTGGGATTATGCGGCGGTTCTAGGACGCATACTCGCCTTCATTCCGCTGACCTCCTTGCATGAGCTTCACGTCGCGCACCCCTCCGCGAAGGACGGTCTCCTCACAGACACTGTGCTCGCAAGCTTACGATCGGCGCGTGTTCTCGATGTCAGATACTATACTGCGACTGGCCCGCTTCTCGCGCTACCCAATCTGCAATACATCTCACTCAAACACCTACCCGCCATAACGGAGCTGCCTTCGACGTCTCCCTCGCAGGCGATTTGCCTCGATATTACCGGATGCACAATCACCGAGGCGGATATTGATCTCAAGCGTAAATGGGCCGGTTCGGAAAACTTTACATGGGATGGCATCACGAAAAGGAAACGCGCTCCGACATGGGCCATGAGTGAGTGTCCTTGGATGGTGGCATATGCACAGGAGATCCTCTTTTGGAAGCCGGACGCTTGGGGAGAATCGTTTATCAGAAGCTGAGTATTGGCGTAGTACTGTCTTTACGTCAGGGGTGTGCCCTTTTGCTTTACGAAGTAGTAGCATAGTAATGTCCTAATGAGAACCTGGTCTTGAAGATTAATATTGACACAACGACAGCAACCAATATGCGCCGTCCATGGTGCATGAGGCGCCCTCAGTATGATATACAAGCACTTGCAGGCTCATTTCAAGGAGTGTAACCCGACGCGTGTACGATAGGTGACGCATTGCGGGCTTCGATACGAACAGGAGTCTAGGTATCTGTGGGAAAAGGCATGTGACCGCGTTTATCCAAGATGCGCGTGGAGGCTCGTGGAGGTCGCCGGCCTGATTGCGACATCCATCCCAAAAATCATCTGTACTTCTATGCCCTAATGCTTGCTTCAGACAGCCCCGCCGCTATGCGGAACGGTATCACTGTCCATGATTTGCCACCAGAACTCCTTCTCGAAGCGTTCCAGCATCTCGTAGAGCTCAAGCCGTTGGGGACCATCGATTATCCCGAAGAATGGGATGATGCTTCCGACGCTTACGACTCGACCACAACCTCGAGCGATGATGACTACAGCAACGACGAGCACTCTTCAAGCTCACAATCGATCTGGCATCCCTTCTCTCTTGCATGGATGCGCGTCACCCATGTCTGCAGCCGATGGCGCTATGCCGCCCTGTCAGCTCCATCGCTATGGTCGTTCATCCCTCTCAATTTGCCACGTGCTTGGGTGGACGAGCTCTTTCGCAGGACCCAAACCGCGCCCGTGGACATCTACATACCGGAGGATCACTGGGGCGACCGTCTGACTACGCGCATGTACAACATGATAGGTTGCCCCCGTGTTCGCCGAATAGTCTCCAAAGACACCCAGGTCCCCGTCACCGAGATTCTCAGGGAAAGATCATCCCGCTACCAGCGGACATATACTAGACGAACTTTCCATCACTACATATCTCTTTCCTCGTCTTGACTTGACCGCGTTCAAGCATCTGCGCCGGCTGGATGTCGACTTCAGAAGCAACATTGTCGGCCTTGGCGCTCTCTCGATCCTCACGGATGTCAATATTCCATCGCTCACCGAGCTGAGACTCGTTATGACTCGCCCCTATGCAGATACCAGCGTCACTCTACCCGGCCATTGGACCGCTGTGTTGGACAAGTTGACCGTTCTTGAACTGGAGTCCGTCCAGTTCGATTTTACGTTGGGACATGAAGAGATCGTTCTTCCACGCCTACGTGAGCTACGGATAACAGAGAATGCGGGATTCTGCGGGAACTTCGTGCGGCACGTCCGTGTGCCCTATTTGAGCTCATACGCTGTGCGATACGATTGTCCAGAATATGGGCCATCTATCGACCTTAGAGAGGTCAAGGCTCTAGGATTCGCTCGCGTGCTCGACGACGTGGACGCCACGATACCTCCTCTACACGCCCTTGTCGTCATTCACATCCTGACGTCCTACTCCGCGCTCTTCCACGTTCACGGCTGGCGCTCAAACAACCACGACGGTCATGATACAGAGGACTTTCCTCTCCAAGTTATGAGGATGGCACCTATAGACGCCCATATCTCTCACAACATGGATCTCCCGAACGATACGGGAATGATCATGATGGCCAACTTCGCCACAACACTCTTGAGTCATCCGTCCCTAAGCACATTGTGCATGCTCTCGCTTGACTACCAGTCCCGAACTGGCACTTGGTGACACGGCCACCTGGGTCGAGCTGTTACGGCCGATGGATCTGCTGCAGCACCTTCGTCTCGTCTCGTCTTCGGACAAGTACGGCGCACCGACACATATACTCCGAGCCCTACAGAGCCCGCAAGCCGAGTCTGGATACGTGGTGCCGCTCTTGCAGAGGTTAACCCTCGTCGACTGGAACCCCGACGTAGACGCCCGATTGTATAACGAGGAACCCGAAGAGCCGGGGTTAGTTGTGCGTAGGATCGCTCTACATCGCGGGAGCGACACGGACTTGCGGCATATACGCATAGTCAGTTGGCGTCAGTGCCACGGTGAGGCGTTAAAGCAGTATCTCGCGGACGTGACAGGTGTAGAGATGTCTTACGAGCATCTATTCGTGCATTTGGACCATATCCGTGCTACGGACGTTGAGAGTGCCGTCGACTCTACATCTGCGACCCCTCTAACTCCCTTTGAATCATATGTAGCCGAGATTTGGTCGGGGATATAAGAACTCGAATTCAGCGTGGATCTTTCTTGACCTTACTTGAGTGCTCGCTGCATGAATGCGTGTGCCAGCGAAAGTGTCTTCAACGATCACAACATTGTAGATGATTGAGAATGAACGGTAGTGAATGTAGTGACGACCCGATTAATAGAGTATATGAGCAAAGAGTACAGGCAGGCGAAAGGTCCAGCTATAAGACCTTGAGAGAGCGTCAGATGTCGAAAGGGTCCTCAGAGTGAATAGCGTACCTTTGGTGCCAACGCAACGATCTTGCCCCAACCCTTCATTCGCAGGTCCGCCGATACGACTCCTCCTATACGCGACCCGAGCATTTCCTTCTTGTTATTCAAGAGTACTGCCGCGTTGTCATCGAAGCGAATGAGACGGCCGTCCGGTCTCCTCTCGGCCTTGCGCGTGCGGACAATGACGGCGCGTCGGACGTCTCCTCGCCGGACCTTCAATGCCGCGGCGGAAAGCAAGGCCGCGTTCGGTACTGGCCGTGCGCGCTTGACGACACAGACAATTTCGTCGCCAACACCTCCCCAGCCATTGTTGACCTTATTCTTGAGCACGTTGACGCACTCCACCAGAAGTGCGCCGGAGTTGTCAATGACCTATTCCTAAGTTTGGTAAGTATTCAATCAAAAGATAGTAGTCGCGTACGTTTAATGTACTCTTGAGACCGATCATGGCTGGCGGAGAGAGAAGCTGGCGCGCGCTTGCACGCGCGCCCGCCGCGTCAAGCGCGTCAAGCAGAGTCCCACGGATTATTTCGGCGACTCCGCGCTACTCCGCCACTATTCGACTTGGGACTCTCCCGACGCATCTTGGCCCCGTACCTCCATCTACCCCCCGCATAGCTCAATATGCCCGCATCGCGCAGAGGATCCGGTGTCACGACGCTGCCCTCGGGCATGACGCTCGCCTACCACACTCGCATTCAGGGCGAAGATGACCTCCCGCATGCGACCAAAAAGTACGGCTATATTGTTGCAAGAATGCGACTAGATGCGCTGAACTGTATATCAGGACGATGGCGGACCACCTTCGCAAGTACGAGAGTCTGTGCGTTGGTTCAGATGTCTCGAGTCGGGATGGGTTCTTCATGGGATGCTCAGGTTCACCCTTACTCCCCAACGCATGCGCATGATAGTGGAGGCCTTCAAGGAGACTCTGGAGCTTGGCCTCGAGAAACCGGGACAGACAGTGGTGCGTGCCTCTACCCGATTTCCTCTCCGTGGTGCTCTACGCACGATTGCGATCTACCTATGCTTGCTCCGGTAGCAGCAGCCGGTTTGATCGATGGACAAGGCTCGATTGATACTATGATAGCAAGTCGTTTGCTTGTTGAGCCTCCCGAAAGGGTCTGGATGTCCATCTGATGTTGCTCCTCCTGCTATCTACATTATCGCTATCCGCTTCTACGTCATAAACTACGGTCGCTCACACACTACCCACACTCTATGCAGCCCATGATCCCAACATACGTCTTTGGCTGGCCAACTGGGGATGAGACCGGGGAGTTCCTTGCAGTGGATCTCGGTACGCAGTTCGTGGTTCGATTGCCGAATTGAGCCTGATGCGCATCTATCTGACAGGTGGCACAAACCTTCGTGTCTGCCTTGTCACTTTGCAAGGCGGTGGAAAGTTCGAGGTCACCCAATCCAAGTACAGGCTCACGGAGGAACAGAAGCAGGCCGATGGTCAAGCCCTGTTCGACTTCTGTGCAGACTGCTTGAAGACGTTCATCGACGCCAACTTTGATGAGAACTCGCTCAAGCCCAACGAGCTCTTGCCTCTTGGTTTTACGGTACGCTCCCCGGTACTTGCTCCTTGCATGCAGAGAGAACTGACGTTATAGTGACCTACAGTTCTCGTACCCATGCACGTGAGTGGCGTGTTGCATTCGCCACATAATATACCTACAGAGAACCAAGTCAGGAACGTATCGACCAGGCAACACTGATTCGATGGACCAAGGGCTTCGGTGCTGCCAACACTGAAGGTCGCGACGTGTCGGAGATGTTCAAGGAGAGCCTGGCCAAGAAGGTCCGCCGATCTGTTCCTACACTTCATAGCTCGTGTCTGACGCTTGTGTCGGAAGAACGTTCCGGTGGAGGTCACGGCAGTCATTAACGACACAACGGGCACACTCATTGCTTCGGCGTATGTCAACCCTCGCACACGTCTCGCGGTCATTTTCGGCACTGGCTGTAATGCCGCGTACATGGAGGACATCAAAGGTATTCCGAAGATCAAGCACCTGGGACTGGACGATAGCGCTCAGATGGCGATCAACTGCGAATGGGTGCGCGCTCTCTATCGGTATTACATCTTCTTGTCTCTAACAATGCACTGTTTCAGGGTGCATTTGACTCTTTCAAGCACGAGCATCTCCCGCGTACAAAGTACGACGTGACCATCGATCAGACATCCAACAAGCCCGACGAGCAGGCTTTCGAGAAGCTAATCTCCGGTCGCTATCTTGGCGAGATCCTCCGTCTGGTCATCTGCGAGCTCATCGACGAGGGTGTGCTCTTCCTGGGTCAGAACACCTACAAGCTTGAGATTCCGTATGCGTTCGATACGGCCTTCCTGTCTCTCATGGAGAGCGACCCTACAGAAGAGCTTCTCATGATCATTGGCATCTTCAGTCACTTCTTCGCGCTCGAGACCACACTTGCAGAGCGCCAGTTTTTCCGCGCACTTGCGCGCCTTGTTGGGCGCCGCGCAGCCCGTCTGAGCGCCTGCGGCATCGCTGCAGTTGTCAGCAAAATGGGCTATTTGGAGGACGGATGCTCCGTCGGCGCCGACGGCTCTCTGTACAACGTGCGATCATCCCACTGCGGTCCCATTGACGGCAACTGATGCCTGTTTTCATTTAAGAAATACCCGGGATTCGCAGACCGTGTACACGAAGGCCTGCAGGACATCTTCGGTGACAAGGGCAAGAACATCATAACCTACCACGCCGAAGATGGCAGTGGCGTCGGTAGCGCGATTATCGCAGGTGCGTCCCCTCTTTCGGCTTGTTCGCCGCCAGAGGCTGACTTTGAATAGCCATGACGAAGATTCGGAAGGAGAAGGGCGTGTATACTCACGTCTGAGCAGTTTGCGTGTGTGCTTGTAGGGTCCGGTTGTGAGGCATGCTGGGCTTCGGCTGTTGCTCGGCCCGATAAGGAAACGAAGTGTAAAGTAGGTTTGCATAGGGCAGCTGCGCTCTCACGCAGGTGTACGGATAGAAGACATGTATGTTTTACAATGCAGCTATCCGGACTCTAGGCTGGGACTGTGACATGGCACTACGTACGCTTGTTGATTCTGCTCTTGAGTTCAAGATCTACGCCCGTACGTTGCCCTTTGTCTGCATTGTTCACGCGCGCTCATCAGCGGTCTTACCCACAGGTCGCGCCACGGTCGTTGTTGCTAACACCAAAGAAGCTAAAGAAGAGTGAGAAGCTCGGTCGTCTGATGTACAGAAAGCGCTCGGTTTGTGATCCTCCCGCGCTTGCGGCGTTCCGCCAAGTGCTGGCGGATATATGGGCGCGTCGGGTCAAACTGTCTGACGCTGTTCCCGCCGTCCTCTCTGTGCGGGTGGGCCATCCATGGACAATTTGGGCACGAGCGCGCTCGTATCTGTCCTCAAGGCGAATCATGTCTGGACAGGACTATACTTCTGGGAATATGTGACTTCTCTCTCCTACGACTGGAAGTACCTTACAGGGCGCAAGGAGCGTAGATGGACAACATGGGTGTGTTCCCGTCAGTTTCGCTCAGAGCGGATAATCACTTACCTGCGTCTTGCAGATCTATCTGGGCTGTCGCTTCATGACCGTTGTGTCACTTTCCTTGCTCCTTGGGGTCTCTGATTTGTTCACCCACACACCGTTCGATTGTCTTTCTCTATATCGTGTCGCTGCGGTAGGTGTATCTCGCGGCTTGATCTTGTTAAATTGATACTTATACCAGTATACACAGCTGTGCTCCTACATATCATTTCAACTGGCTTCGTTGCTTGTAGTGCTGAGAACGTCTGTGCAGCTGCTCATTACATGGAGTTTGACTGATGAATCCCACAGCCTGGTGGCTTGGAACTACTGGCGGCCGATGGTTGCTTTCGTCGTTGCGGGTTGGGCGACGAACCTCGCTGTCATGATATGGAGTACGTTCGCCCTTGTTTTCAACTCGACCGGCAATGCCACGATGCATCTTGATGCTGACACTCGTCACAGGTATCGTTGGAGTACGTGACCCGGTCGTTCGATATGAAGTGGCCGGGACTGATGAGGCGTATCCTAGGCTTCCGCATTTTGGGAGCGGAGCGGGGACGGCGGTGTATGCGTCAGCCCTTTCGATACTCGCAACAATCGTGTACTTGAAATTGTCTCCTTCGCTATCGACACTACTCTGGTGTTATGCATGCTCGTCGGCTTGAGTCGCAAAGAAGATCGAGGCCCTTCGTCAGGGTTGTGGGGCATGCTACATCGTCAGGTGCGGTGGGTGGTCTACGATGCGATAAGATCGTTGACTGATCCGACTGTACACCATACATAGGCGATCTTATGGTTGGGCGTAGTGTTGCTAGCCGAGCTTCCGGCAGTGGTGCGTTGATCCTCTTCGTGTGCCTCTGACCATGTCTGAAGCCGAACAGATACTAGCCGTACTTGATCTGGAAGGTACGTTTCTTGTCATGGAGAAGCTTCGGGACCAAAATGTTGATCATTTCCGCAGCTGCGTTTCACCAAGTGAGAGACTGTGTACTCGTTTGAGGAAGCTCTCGTGTGCTGATGATGGCTCTCAGCTGCTCCTGTTGCCCAAGAGTACGCATCCCTTTGTCTACATCTGCTACATCTTCGAGTAATTCAACCTGACTAATGACGCACAGTCATCATCATGTAAGTACAATCTACTATTCGCATGGACTCGTCTTAGCGGACTCACGATTCATCTTTGCAGTACTATCAGTGCTACAAGGATGTACCGCGCTCTCAATCAGTTCTTGGCCATAGATGCCACTCATCGGTGAGTTTAGCTGTCAGAATGGCATCCTGCGCCGCTGACATGACTCATTCTTCAGTGTCATACACCTTCCGGGAGCAACGGACACCACGATTGCTCTCGAGGCCATGGGTAGTTCCGGGAAGAGGATCCAGCCGCTTGTGGTGAACGTGCATACGGAGCAGGTTCAGTTCACCTCAGACACAGACGAAGCTACTCAAGAAGCTGCAAGACGCGCTATGAGGCATAGGAATCGGTATCGTGCACGTCCGAAAGCCTCTTCTCTGAGTGCGCGGGACCTACATCTACTATGAGCTCGCAAACGGACCCCATCTGCTAGGGCACGTCCCTCCTCATGTTATCCATGTATGGTCCTAGAAGATACCCCAATGATATCTCAAACTCGAGGCTCACGCTCGATGAGCAGAGATACGACTTGAGTTCGGGATGCACACCCCGATGAGACCTTCCTCCGTCCTTCATGTGAGCGGGCGCTCATCATCCCTTGCTATCCACACGAAACGCCACAGTCGTTGTTCAGATCACCACGGGAATCATGGAACAGCAAGAAGCACGGTCGTCTGACGGAAGGCGCTTGCGTTTGTGATCCTCTAGCCGGCTCCAGGAGGGTATATGGACACGTCAGCAGGGGAACCGACAACGCTATCCCTGCCATCACTGGCCGCGTAGACTGGTCATGGTAGTTGTCGACATCGGTCCCCGTGCCCTTCTTTCGATCGCCGATTACGACCATGCGTGGACAGGCATCTACGTTTGGGAATACATCACATCGCTGTCGTATGACTGGGGATATCTCACGGAACGCAAGCAGCGTCGTTGGACGACATGGGTGAGTTGTTTTGCCATTGGTGGCGAGGGAAGCAGAGAGATACTAATTCGGGACGATCCAGATATACCTATCGTGTCGCTCTATGACTGCTATATCTCTGTTCCTATTCCTTGCCTATGTTGATATTCGTACCGGACAATCTTTTCATTGTTCACCTCTATATGCCTGCATGCTGGTGCGTGTATTCTGTGTGTTACTACGTTCAATCGCTCAGTATCGCCGTATATGCAGGCCTGCTGCTACATATCTTTCCAATTGTCTACGCTTCCGGTGGTCCTGAGGATGTATGTCCATGATTTTGTCCTCATCAGACGCTTGACAGCATGACAGCTTAGTCGTCTGGGCCCATTGGCCCCCAATCGTCATCTTTGCAGTGGCAGGTTGGACGAGCAACCTTGCCATCATGCTTTGGAGTACGTCTCCGGATATCTGGCGTGACGAGCGTAGCAGGTCCAGTGGCTGATCACAAACACAGGCATCGTTGGGGTATGTAGTTCAGCGTGTATGACCTTAACCCGGGCATTGAACGACACCAGGCATCCGCGTCTTGGGTCCAGATAAGCGATGACGGCGGTACCGGTGGGCAATGTCTGTCCCCTTACGACGCTCGTAACAATCGTGTGCTCGAGATCGTCACTTTCGGTGTCGACACCGCTCTTGTGCTCTGCATGATCATTGGACTCCAGTACAAAGAGGCTAGAGGTCCTTCCACTACCCTGTGGAACATATTACATCGTCAGGTGCGCTTGAATACTCTCCGGTACAAAACCGTAACCCGAAAGCTGATTCGCACAATGCATGCAGGCATTCATATGGTTGGGTGTGATATTGCTGGCTGAGGTCCCGGCTGTCGTGCGCACATCTCCATCCCATTACCAGCCTCTCATGACTGAACTGCGTGCCCATCACGCAGGTACTCACGTTCGTCGACTTGAGAGGTACGATTCTCACAGAACTGGTGTACGGTCCGACTGATCTTAATCTTCGATCCCATTCAAGATCTGTTGCGCGAGGTGAGAAGTCCTGTATCTAGTCCATGAGTTAGCAAATTCATACATCCACTTGCAGTTGCATCTCCTCCCGAAGCGTGGGTGCTTCCCTCCCTTCTTCTATGTATGGTGCGAGCTAACAACATCCACAAAGTGACAATTATGTGACAACTTGTACTGCCCTCCGAATACGAACGGCATGCTGATTCTATCTGTCATGTAGAACTATCAGCAGCAGCAGGATGTACCGTTCTCTGAACTCCTACCTTGTAGAACGGACCGGCAGCAGCCATCGGTGAATACCGGTCATCCGAACTGTGATGGTCCAGCTACGAAGACTCATGTTCTTTTACAGACCGACTCACGCGGGCATGGAGAACACAATCGCTCTTGAAGCGATGGGCAATACCTGCAAAAGAGCCCAACCTCTTGTCGTCAATGTACACACCGAACAAATCCAGTACACGTCGGACGCGGATGAAGCCACGCAGGAGGCAAGCAGGCGTGCATTGAGGCATAGGAATCGTTATTACTCGCGCCACAAGGCCGCATCTCTTAGCGCCCGAGACATACAGTTTCTATGACTCACCTGCACTATCGTTTTATGAAAGAGGCCCAATGAGCGGTACATGCATGTGCGAGTGATACTATGAATGTGATGTCTGTATTAGGGGAGCGAGGGCCCAGCGCTGATGAGGGGTATATGTGCTTGTTCAGGTATACAGTGGCATGTACAAAGCTGGAGTAAGCAAGAGGGGTGTGAGACAACTGACAATACAGGGCGAAGACGAGTATCGAGAACCGGTGCAGAAGTCATAAACGGAAGACTGAGTACTGAGTACGACGTGGGTGATAGAGAGGCAAGCAAAAGAATCGGAAGATCGTAGAGTAGCAAGTATGATACAGATAAGAGCATTCTTCGGTCATGAACGGTCTGCGACAGGTAACTGTATACGAGGTATACAATGACGCGCGGGGAAAGCCTATACACAGGAGTAGACAGCAGCACGGGAAACGGAACTTGCTAGTATATACAGAAGAATGGTTGTGCACAACATATACAGCGATTGAGAGCAGATATCAGCTGAGTGGTATCAAAGGCAACGGGGCTATGCGATGGAGAACAACCGAGAGTAGGAAGGGTTGGCTGGAGTAACCATCTGGCGGAGCCTAAACCGGGGGCGCCAGAGTGAGTTCATTGACGGCCGCAGTAGCATCTGTGATAGAGATGATGTCCTTATGAGCCTTTTGACGAGCATACTGCCCACGACGACTCCCACCGGGAGGCATCTGGCAGGCACGCGAACGCTTGACGCATTGGTTGCAGCGCCTCTCCACGTCGCCTTCCGAGGGCAGAGTACACGCAATCTTGCGTTCCCGGCAGAATAAACACGCAAGAGTGAGTTTCTTGCGAGGTGCTCTCTTGCCCTTGACCCCGCGCGTGGATTTCGCGGTCTTCTGCACAGGCGCGGGCGCAGGTGCTGCGGCTACGGACGTTGTCGATGCGACTAGAGGTTCAGTCGTGAAGGGAGAAGTGGTGTCATTCACTGGTGGTCCGGGAGGTGCCTGCTGACGCTTGAAGTGATTTCGTGAGAGGGCAGTATACATTAGGAGATACTAGCGAACGCACCTTGCGTGCCTTCTCGTACGACGGAAATGCCGAGTCGTCCTGTATGACTTCAAACGTCTGGGGAGCGGTCACGACTGAAGGCGAGAGGGTCGGAGTGCGGATGAAAGTAGAGCTGGGAGTACTCGCGGCAGGAGTTGGCGGGGTTATGTCCGTTTCGAGAGGCAGCATGCCCATAGGCGGTACCGAGTGGGCCACAGGGTGTGTGGGGAAATGTTCTTCTTTGGGTAGTACGGTGGCCTGCGCGGGGTTCGTGAAACCCCTCCTGACGATGATCGGCGCGTCAAGGGCATTCGAAAGCGACGAATATGTGGAGATTTGCGAGGGACTGGGGTTCGTGAAGTCAATCTGAGAGGCGACGGTCTCGGGAGAAGAGTGAAGAGTATGATCGGGGTATTCGGGTAGGTAACGCGGAGCGTAAGATTGCTGGACCTGTTGTGTCTCATAGCTGTAGTGATCGTAGTTCGCCTGGTGATGGTAGACCTGTTCGGGGTAGCTGTTGACGTGGTCATCGTATTGAGCGCAAGGCTGGGGAGCTTGGGACTATCCTGCGAATCAGACATGCACCGCACTATCACAAAACTCGCGATCTGGCATACCGGATATTCTGCGAAGTCGAAAGGAGCCTGAGTATAGTTAGGGCCGACGTAGTGTGGGCCGTCTCGCCACGTGTGGTGGTGGGAAGAAAGGCGGTCATGCACTGAAGAAGATTGGAATCCGGCATATTGCTGATGGTGGTCGCTTCCTGCACAGAAGCCGCCCGAGTTGTGGTCGAGCTCGCGCGAGGGCCTGGACTCGCCGTCGTGCGCCAACATGTTCCCATCGCCGGAAGCACAGTCGTGGTGGTTCAGATCCATACTCGGAAGAGATAGATCAACGGCGCTTCGGTGGACTTGAAGAAGGACTGTAGCACACCCGTTCGTCGAGCGTGGGACAAGCGAGGGTCGGGGCGAATTCAGGTGTGCGTGCTGTGTAGGGCAGGGGATTGAAAAGGTGACAAGGAGGCCAAGGCACCCAGCGCACGCTATAAGGAGACGCCCCCCGCGTGATTCGACTTGTTTCCAAAAGCTTGGCTCAACAATCCTCTAGTGCTTTGATAGCAGACATGTTTCTCTCAACAGCACGTTGCCGTTCGGCTTGTAGCGTAGGTCGCGCGTCAAGCTTGATCCATGCTCCTCATGCAATTCTCAAAACCTTGATTCCGGTGCTCTGGCGTGTGTCCCTGCCCTCAGCATGCGCCGGATTCGTCTACAACGATATTGAGATACTAGTCATTACGAGGAATGACGACTGCCAACCCTTCCGCGTCTTCGGCTTCCGTCTAAACACGGCTTCCATCACCCACTCCCTCTCACTGGTGGCACGTTCACTGATCAATCGCCTGCTAGGAGGACCTCACTGGGTAACATACTCTCCTACCGACTACTGCTCTCATCAGACGCAGGAGTGGAGCTTGCCGCGTTTCTACACTATCAGTGCCTGCGGCCCGCTCATATCCCCGAATGACCATTAGCTGAGCTCGTCTGACCGTCCGACTCATCGAGCAAGCGCTGAAGTGCGCGCGATAAGAACATCACAAAAGCAGCAGACGTTCTTTCATATGCGAGGCGCGCAGCCGTGCTGAGGACTGACCAGCGTCCGATCTTGTGAGATAGAGTTATGTGCGCGAATGAGAAGTGAGCGCCATGGCTCATGATCTGCCTATTACGCCTATGACTGAAGGCGAAGACATGCCTCTACCAGTCTCTTCGCCTTTCACGCATCGGCCCCCCATTGGTCGCTACACCCTCTAGCTGTGCCCACAGCACTTCCCTGTGGACCTTGACATTTGCGGTCTGATGTCCGAGCTAACCGTGCGACAGATGCACTTGTGTGGGTATCTCGAAGAGTTGGGACTAGTGCAATGTACCCGCTAATCCGAGAGCCCTGCTGGGAAAGATACATTTACGCTTTCCTGTTAACAGCCACGTTGTCCAGGTTCGCGTTGAGCGAGGCTAAATTCACCTTCCTCATCGGGACTTCCACGCCAGCCGAGCGAAGTTGAGGCAAGCAACATTCTCTTTCGACTTTGCTATCCAGCTTCTATCGTGCTTCCATAGTCAGTTCCGACATACCTAGCGATGTCTCGGCGGCTTCTCGGTCACCTATTTGGCTCGTGTCGACGCTAGTCTATATGCTCCCTTCAGCCCGAATTGCCCCCGGCTTTGCCTCACAGGGCAAGATCTGTCGTGGTCCTTATTTGAGCGCTGGTGGTCAATGTTGACGCTATTCGGCCCTAACGCATACTTACGGCAGAATTCATCACGATGATGCTTTTACCGCCGACCGCCCCTGTCAGATTTGATCGTGCTTGCGGACACCGTCCCATGATATCTCTCTCGTAGCGTTCCGGGACCGACTCCTGATTTACAGATAAACAACTAACACGAGTCGGCACGCTTGCGATGATCCGTGTACCTGACGGTGTTCGGAGCGATGTCTCCTCCCCTTCGCGAGGATCTTCCATATTTGGGTCTACTAGCTCCCACATGCTCGATATCGATGAATTATCATGGAGTCCTTCAAGCATAATGATTGATACAACTACCAGTCTCTATCCTGAGCACTGATTGATACTGATGTGATCTGCGGACGCATTCCGGGATCGATATCCGACCCGAGATTTGAGGCAGATGGGACGTTCAACGAGCCTGCCCATTGCCTCGCTGCACCTCTGCCTGCGCGACCGCATTCCTGTAACGGCTGCGCATGGGACCGCGTGATACAAGTGTTTGAGGACTGATAGCCTGATGTGCGCGACATACACGCATTAAATTACGCAAGTTATCGAATGTCTGGTCGTGTGCCCGGTAGCGTGCCCTCGGTATGCGCCGGCGACGATACCATCTCAAGGCAAAGACGTAGTCTATCGATAGGCATCGTAGCGTACCATGCAAGTCATGACATGACAGCACTCAAAGATCCGACCCGTACGAGTATAGCTGTCATGATCATCTGGACGACTTATGTCCTCCATACAATCGCGCATTGCCGCACTGACAGCGAGAGAGTAGTCTCGACACGTGCACTTCGATCCTGTGTGAATCTCCACTAGCACACGGAGACGCAGCCGGCAAAGGCCTCAGGTGAGAGCCAGTCGTAAGTAGCTGAGAATGTGACTGATGTCTGGTATGTACTAGTTCATGCCTGGTCTAATGTGTAGAGTCGGCGAGGCGGGTTTCAATGCGAGGCCGCCGTGACGCGTTTCAGTCTCTGAGTCACGCCACCGCGTAAAGGCAGGGACCGGGATCGGGTCGCGCAGAGCCGGTCTCATGCTACCCCGCATGACAATCAACCACTACCGCCTCGATGCCCGGCACAGTCGCTTCTTCTTCGCCTCATACACCCATCTTGTAACGAGGTCACCCAAATATGTCCGCCGAGGTACTTGAGAAGGCGCTGGGCTTTGAGTATCCCTCTCAGCCGGTGAGTCTTGGTTCGTGGCAGGTGCCACTCGCTTGTGCTACCGTCACCCGGGCCTGCGCACAGCAATGCATGTCGTGCGGTGAATCAATATGGAAGCTCATTGACATAATTGTTCTCTTAGGTGTCATGGAACAAGCGGGATCTCCTCCTTTACTCTGTCGGCATAGGTGCCAAACATTCCGACCTCAACTTGGTATACGGTGCGTTGTGACCCCACATGTCCTCTCGGGGCGCCATACTCAACTATTATAGAGCTCGGTTAGTGTCAGCGCAGACAAGTTAGCACTGCTTTGACCTTCTGCTAGACAAGGGTTTTGCCGCCTTTCCAACATATCCAGCGGTCTTAAACCTGAAGAGTGAGTCTGAATTAGCTTATGATGATGCCTTCCGCGCAACTGCTGACCTTGCGCAGAGGACGGACAGGATGTCAATCTATTCGCCGATGCTATCAAGGGGAGGGTAGGCCCCCCTGGTCTCCCCAAGTTTGACCCGAATCGAGTTGTACGAGTAAAGCGCGTCGGACATAGTAGCCGGTCATTGACGCTCTTTGGAAGGTCCACGCTACCCAGACCATCGAGGTACTCAAGCCCCTGCCGCTTGTGAGCGGCGAAGGCTGGAAGATAGCTCAGAAGCTTTCGGGCATCCAAGAAAATAGTGCGCGTCGGCCGTATAGCTCGAGTGTGTAGACGTCGGCTCAACCTTCGAATTCACAGAGTCCGGCGTGATCATCGAGACCGAGAGCTTGCTTCTTGATCCCCAAGGGACGCCCTACGCTAGACTATTTGTGCGCATCTTTCGTGTTAAACCTTCGCCACATACTCACATCGCTTACGCAGGGCTCTTCCTTCAACCTCGGCGCAAAAATCACCGGTCAACGCTTCGGGAAGTCTGTCAGTTCACCGCCGAAGGCCAAGCCAGTCCCTAAGGATAGGAAGCCCGATTGGGTCATTCGTGACCAAACTACCCCTGAGCAGGCTATAGTCTATCGCCTGAGTGGTGATTACAACCCTCTGCATATCGGTAGGTCGCGGACTTGATACCTATGTTCGTAGTACTGATGATATACTCTATCAGATCCCAGCATCGGAAAGGCGGCAGGGTTTGGTGGTGTCATCCTGCACGGTCTCTCGACCTTCGGATTTGCTGCTCGCGCCCTTGTAGCCGGTATCGGAGGCAATAACCCCAATTCACTCAAGTACTATGGGCTGCGATTTACGTCTCCCGTCAAGCCTGGAGACGCCCTCGAGGTTTCAGCTTGGGAAGTTGGTCCAGGGCCGGACGGTACGAGCGAGATCGTGTTCGAGGCGAAGAACCTGACCACGAGGAAGGTGAGCTGCATCAAGTGCAATCAGACTATGGAGCTAGAGCTGATAATGGTTAAGGTTGTGCTCGGAAACGGCATGGCATACATTCGCAAGGCCGAGAAGAGCAGGCTCTGAAATAAGACCGGTGATTCTACCCCAACTTACACCAAAGCTCTATAGCGATGCACATCTTCCGAGTTGCTTATTTATCTGTGAAACTTGACTCAGATATTGAAATGATACAGTTCAGCCCATGTTTGATGATCATGGCTACATAGGTGTCGATGAACTCGGCAGTGCTAGCACAAGAGTTTTCCATGTCCTCATGATCCACTGGGTGATCTTCTCATGCACAAAGTAGTGCTTGCGGCCGCATCACGCAGGTCTCGGCTGACATGTTACTTGCCGCTAGACAGTGTAAGTGGCTATGGTCAACAGCATCACTATTCAGCTCCTCTGCCCACCGGAACCCGCATCGTTCCTTCCCACTCGGGCTGCAGGCAGTCCTGAGCATGCCTTCTGAAGCTCCCTACCCGTCGAATAAGCTGCGAAGCATTCCGGACACGCAGTCTGCAGGACTTCGAGGCGCCTGTGGACCGCTTCCAGCGCCAGCGCTCTCGGTTCGTTCCGTGTTCGTGTCCGCGGAGGAGTTAGTCAATACACTGGCCTGTGGCTAGTGGAGTAGCGAAAGCGTTGACATGAGCGTTTAGTGCCTGCTTCCCGCATGTGGCATGGGAATCTTGACGCACCATGCGGCCATGGGTCCAGTATTCACTACTTACGGCTGTGTGGGGCATTACTACGCACTTTCCGAAGCATATCACAATGTCATGATTAGCAGCACGGTCCGGTCACAATGTGCCATCGCGTTCTTGTGTTTATCCTGTAGCTTGTTACAAAGAGGTACGCCTATTCCGTCAGCAGACTTTGAGGCTGCCATATTAGTCAACACATGTTCTCTGGTGCATGTCTCCATCCACCTCGTGTACAGGGACGAATTCGCGTACAAGGCGCACCATAAGCTCATGTTTATTCCGCTCAGTACCCGAACCTGACTCTCAGCGCTCTCGCAGCGGATGATATCTTCTTAATGACCATTACAGGCATAGCTCCCGGAAGACTACCTGCTCATTGCGGAGGATGTGGATGTCCTTCGCCTCGCGGGGCCCCGAACTCGGACCTCTCGGCATGGTACATCCGCGTCCTTGACGCCTTGGATACATCGGGACAGTACAGCACGTACGCCATCCACAGTGCGTACGTGTTGCATGTTGGCTGAGACTATACATAGCCTAGCACTGGCTGGTAGGTTCCTCTTCACTGACAGGCCACCTGTAGGCGCCGGGAACGTATGATAGCGAATCACTCCGTTCGACGCCCTTCAATGCGGAAACAAACGACGCATTCCCAAAAGGATCTTCAGTTCGGTGATGTAGAGATGATGAAGAGCGATAGTTTGTGAGATGATCCATGCAAGTAATTGTCATACAGTCCGTCGCGCAACAGCCCTTATTCCTTCTCATTGGTCTCCTTACTAGCCTTCATCATCGCACGATCCTCCTCCTTTAGCTCCTCCACTTTAGGTGCCTTCTTTTCACCCGCACTTTCGCGATCATCCTCATCTATAGCTTTGCGGTCCTTCTGTCCCGCATCGTAGTCGCGCGCAATCTCCGATATCTCCTTGCGTATCAAGCGTTCCTCGGTCAGGAGCTCGTTCCAACGCTCGATGTCGAAGCCGCGTGCTTGATACAGCGCCGTCCGACGGTTATTGATAGAGCTATCCAACACAGATGTATACGATACCTGATGCAAGTTAGCGCATGGGTCAAGTGTCACGGGTGGAACCAAACCCACCTCACGTCCTTGATACAGGAACCAGAGATAACCGAGAATGACAGTGGATAAACCGGAAAGGTATGTTATGGGTTCCATGATATCCCTGTACCGCGTCGGTCAGCACATACCCTAAGAACTATGCACTCAAGCTGCGACTCACCAGCCGAAATCCCAGAACGTCAGGCGAGCAACCAGGCCCCAGTACGCGACCAGCATCCCGAGACCACCGAGGGCAAACCGCTTGGCTCCTTGGTGCGCCTCTCGGTCACACGCCTTCTTCAGGTATTCCATCTTCTTGATTTCCTTGCTGATGCGTTGCAGGCGTAATCGTAGAAACCGTGTCCGGTCAGCAAACGTGGGTACCTCCACCGGGAGTTCGTATACATGCTCATCCCCGCCGTCTTTTCTCCGCACAATGCGCACGACGAAGGAATTTGTACGGGCAGCTTCTCGGACAAAGTCTGCAAGGTCGGTAGAATCGGACCATTGTTGCGTTTTTCCGCTCCGGGTTTGACTGCGAATGGTGATGTCACACGAGTGGTCGGGTAGGGAGGCAGATAGTAGCCGCGCTACGTGCGAAAGCGGTTGCGCAGGGTGGAGTAGAAATACGGTTGGGACGGGTGCAGCTTCCTTGTCGGTGCTCCTCGTAGATAAACCTAGCCGATCGACAAGGCTTTCCAACGGTAGTATGAGCTTGAACAGGTGTGAGGAGGTCGGCGAGAGCTTCCCTGGATTCAAATGAACACCGTTCTGAAGTCTCGTATATTGAGAAGCGTACCTTTCCCCTCCGCTATTTGTTCTAGGTCATCCGAGTCGATATTGTTGCCAGACTTCGCCTCTTTCCCAAAACCGGCCGAATCACTCAGCCACTCTGAGTGCTCGACATTGACAGCCTCCGGAGAATGTATGGAG